GCTCTGCTCTAGAAGCTCCAGTTGCAACTCTTTTTGAGAATCTTTAAAAACATGGTTTTCACCCCCTAAGATCTGAATAACTTGAGTTTCAGCTACTCAGTATGTCCCACCTCCTTCTGCCTTAGCACAGGTGGCCAGCTGGGAGCATTGAGGGACATAATAAAGGCAGAGGGCTAAGGCAGACTGCTGTCCATAAGGGGTATGTGTCTGCAGTTCACTTCCCCTTCTTGTGTGGCAGAGCTAGAATGCTCTGGTAGGAAAGGCACGGAGCCAGCCCCATCTGTTGTCTGTCGTTTGCTTCCCAATGTGGGAGGAGCAGCAATTGTAAGACCACAAGGCCAGGCAATAAATATGGAAACGTGGCTGGGACTTTGTGTTTGTGCCCAGGAGGCCTCGGGAATTTGCCCACTTTTGACATGATTTGAAGCAATGGTTATAATCTGCTCCCTTTAGAAATAGGAACCAGAGGCCTATCTAATCTGGAGCAGGTTCCTGATGTATAATCAGAGAAAGGAAGGAAAGGAAAGAGAGGCTGGGAGGAAATTCATTTGAATTCCGATAGACTCTTATCTCATCTGAATTCCAAAAAAAGGAGGGTGATCCCCACCCACCCCTGCATCACAGCAGCTCACTTGCACTAGGCATTTGCTGTGACCCAGCACCCTGCTGGGTCTGTTACAGAAACTAAGCCTCACAAAGAGGACATGGAGCGGGTGCTGTGACTAACACGGTAACCAGGACATAGTGCGTAAATGGAGAAGCCAGATTGCAAGCCCAGGCCTTGTGACCCCGTGGCCCTGCCCGGAACCACTGTGCCCTCTGCACATCTTGCCCTTGGAGCACTTGTACCCTGATTTATACCCATTCCTATGTCTCTTACTGACCCACTGGCCTCTGAGTCCCTTGATGCAAGAAGTGGCTTCCTTATCTCTGGAATCATATGGCCCTGCAGTGGATTCTGTAGAAACGGAACCTGATATGGTTGTTCTTGGGCTGGTGATCTGTTGAGGGAGGATTTTCAGGACAAACTATAAGAGAGAAAAACAAGAGATGGTTGGGGGAAGGGGGAAGCTCGGGGCAGATAGGATTTCAGCAGAAGGTTTGCTGACCCCACGGCAGGCTCTGGAGTGTGGGTTGCTTCAGGGTTTGTCCCACTCAGAGACAAGGAGGCTGGGCTCTTGCAGCCCTCACCCTCACGCAACCATCCTTTCCTACAGCTCACACCCTGATGGGACATAACCCCCCAGGGAGCTCAGGGTGGGTGAGGCAGCACCCACCGAACCAAGGCAATGCTCCAGAGACAGGTGCAGCCAACAGCCACAGCCCCCAGGAAATGGATACATCGTCCCAGTGAAGGAGATGGAGACAGTGCACCAACAGCATCTGCTGTGGTCATGGATTAAAAAACAAAACATGTCAAATGCCATATGAGCCAAGCAAAGCACACCTGCAAACCTGTGTAGCCACGGCTCTGTGCACCCTTTGTAGTGCATGCTGCCAGAATCCAGGTCCAGTGATCAGCTGAGTTAGAAGTCATTGCGTCAGGTACAGGAGACCATGGCCGCCTGCACAGCCCTCAGCAGATGGCTGGTTTGTACCAATCCACCTCCAAATATCTGAACCAGAACGCAAAACATTCACTGAAACACACACACATGCTTTGTTTTTTTACTTGGATGCAACACTACTTCCAGTGAAGGGAGAACAGGAAATAAGACTGGTGGACTTTTTAATTTGCAGCACAAAAGGGTTGTATTGATCCTAACTGACCCAAGAGTTGAAAATAAAATGTGAAGAAGGAAACTGCTGAGCCCAAAGCAGGGTGGCTGATTGACAGCGTGTCAACATTCACGCGATGCCACAGCTAAAGGAAGGGTTTCTTTCCGTGATTCCAATATGGGCAGCTGTGCAATTGGACCAATATTGATTTTCCCTGTTTGCTGCGCACTCTTTTTTAAAAATAACTGGGTCTGATCCTGTTTGGGTGAGCATAACAGGAAAGTGATCATCTATCCATGAGGGTAAAAGGAAATCTGATCCAAAAAGCTCTGCCGACATTCTATTTCAATTTTTTGGAGCCAGTTTTCGATTTCAGTAATAAGCCACAGTCTTCCTTGTGATAAGGTTCCGCTGCCCATGCAGCTCAGCTGGTCGGCAGTTGGACGCCTTTACCAGCCTCCCTTGTTTCCAAAGGCCTCTCACTTCCCCGTTGTCCAGGTATCATTATCAACTGAGGTGTTGTTTTTCCTCAGGTCTGCAGATGCTCTGCAGCTTTGTATTTTTCCTTTACAGCTATTCCCATATGCTCTTTTTTCTTTTTTCATTCAGCACAGCATCCTGGGGGTGCAAATGCTGGATGATAGTGTGGCATTATGTGGGGCAGCCATCCGGCAGAATCTCCCCAGGCGTCTCTGCCAACCTGGGGTGATTTAATAAGTACTCCGATTCATCCTCCGCTGATTTTCACTGTCCCTGGCCGGTAAGGCCGAGTGAGAGCCCCACGTTAATTATCAGCTCCAGCCCTCAGGTGTCGTGTGGCCATTCCTCCCCATGGTGGGTCCCATTTCTGGTTGTACGTTAGAATCACCTGGGAAGACTTAAAAAAATGGAACTCCTAGGTCCTACCTGAGACCTTCCAAGTCAAAATTTACCCAAGGATGAGCTACGGAATCTTTATTTTTTTATGAGCTTCCCAGCACCCACCCTAACATGAGCCCTCTGCCCAGAACAGTGTGGTTTTAGCTTAAGATAATGTCAACAAGGGACATCTGGCCTGGAATAAGCCAAATGGGAGCTTCTGGAGGAAGATGAAATGAGCTTTTCCACTCTTATTCAAGGCCATCCCAGAATGGAATGGAGTGGGGATGGGTCGAGGTAGAGATGCAGAATAGCCTGGCTACCCTGCATGCTGCTTACCTGTTCCCAGGTAAGCCATCCATCCGTCCATCCAACAGACACATACAGAACTCACGCTCTATATCTAAGACTCTGGGCTGTGGGGGCTGTAAAGAGGCAACACCTTAGCTCCTGCCCTCCAAGAGTCCGCAGTTCTCAGCGTGGTGCAAGCCCCGTGTTTCCCCAGGGGAAGCTGAACTCATCTCTCATCTTAAAAAGAGCAAGCAGGGCTCAGCTTAGAGCCTTGACCAGGCAAGAAAATAATGACTGCTTTTTTCCCACTGTATGGATTTTTCTAAATCAATGGTAGGTTAAACTGGTTCTTAATTTATGGCAATGATATAAAACTTCCCTTTAAAATAAGCCTACTAATGAACGCTACAAAGTGGTATTACTACGTATGCATTTGAATGGTTAAAATGAGAAAGACTGACTATCAAGTGTGGCTGAGGATATAAACCAATGGGAGCTCCCATACACTGTGGTTGGTAGTGTAAATTGGTGTAAAACCACTCTGGAAAACCAGCAGTTTCCTATAATGTTAAACATATATAAATCATACAATCCAGTAGTTCCCTTCCTAGGAATTTACCCAAGAGGAATAAATGATGTTCTTAACAACTTTATTCATAGTATTAAAAGCTGGAAAGGTGTCCATCACCAGGAAGATGGATAAACACACTAGTCGTCCATACTGTGGAAAACTGTTCAGTGATAAAAAAAAGAACAGACCCCTTGCAATCACACAGATGAATCTAAAAAAAAAAAATGCTGAGTGAAGGAAATCAGAGCCAAAAGAGTACCTATTTATTATTCCTTTTATATGAAACTGTAGGCATATCCAATCTATGTGATATAGAGCAAATGAGTGTCTGGAGCTGGGGTCAGTGAGTTGACTATAGGGGCACAAAGGAACTTTCTAGGATTATATTATAGACATGTTCTGTGTACTAATATAGTAGTGGTTATAGTTGTATATGAACTCCTCAAACTCTATGCTTAAAATGAGTGCATTGTGTATATAAATTATACTTCAATAAAACCAATTGATTACATGATACTCAATTTGGCAGAAATCTTGAAGTTGGTAGTGGAATGCCTGAGGTTTAGGAAGTGGCATTTGGGTACGTGGTAGCAAGCAGACAATATCCTAAAAGACGTACCAATGAAATGCTGTGTAACTTCAGAGGGGGAAACATTTCTTTCTATGGGAAGATGGGACAGTGGTAAAAGTTTCATATAGTAAATGACATTTCTGTTGAGCTTCTGAGAAAAAGTAGAGCACGTATGGAGCCAAAATGAATATGTAAGTGAAATTAACATTGAGGGTTTGAGACGGGGGTGGGGGAGGGAGTCATAGAAAGCCACATGTACCCTGAGGGGAACAGGAAGAATGAGGGTGACCCCTCCACTTTGGCACGTGACCAACACCTTTCGAGTCAGTGCAGCCTGGACAGAGGGCTTGAGCAGCAGCACCCAGTCACCGATCTCCCCCTCTGTCCTCTACTTGAGCACTTGAGCAATAGCAAAGCAAACCAGCAGGGCCAGCACCCGGGTGAAGCTGTTGAGGCCTGCAGAGCAAACGGGTAGGTGGCAGGGTCAGGCAAAAGCCATGCGCACATACAGCGCCTGAGAGTGAGGCGGCCTGTGCCTCGCTGTGGTCCCCGCCTTGCTCTCTGTTATCTGGCTCATTCATAACCATGCCTGAGTGCCTACTCCAGGCCAGGCACTGTATGAGACATCAGGTAGGTGCAGGTCCTCAGGGGCTCACAGTCTAGCAGAGTCAGGAAAAATCACTGTGGGAGAAGCCCCGAGGCTGCCGGTACTCAGAGGAAAGTCACTGGACCCAGACTGGGAGGGAGAGTCGGGAAACATTGTAGGAGAAAGTGAAACCTCAGCTAAGATTTAAACAAGGTAAGTCCAGGGTATGGGATCCCTGTCTCAAACCCTCAGTGTTAATTTCATTTACATATTCATTTTGGCCCCATATGCGCTTCTAGATCTCCCTGATCCGGGATTTGGAGGTTGGGCTTAGGAACTGAGAGCCCATCTGGGTACCGACTTGCAAACATCCATGTGTACCGTGTCTCCCCACACCTTTTTAGGTTTGTGCCATGGCTGAGGAAGCCCTACAGTGCCCCTCAGTCCCAGGTGGAGTCCATCCCTGTGACCTCAGCATCGGCCAGCTCACCAGCAGTCCCAGTAATAGAATCTCCCAAGATTGAACTAAATGATTGTGTTAAGTAAGTGAAGGTGCAAAGCCAGATTGTTTTTTTTTTAAATAGCACTCTTCTCTACACTGACTTACGTTCCCAAACTCATCCCTCATTTATTTATCCAGCCGTTCAGCTGTCAACAGCTTAATGAGTACCTTCTACGTTTGAGGCTCTGGATTATGCATATGGGATACAAAGTTGAAAGTCATCTCTGCTCTTAGGAAGGTCATAATAGCCTCCTAAATCCTGGGGGACTGAGCCCCTCCGTCTGTCTAAGGCCTATAGCCAAAGTCAGGTCAAGGGCAGCAAGCAGAAAAGGATGTGACAATTGGCCAAACATTATATCCTCATAGTAAAATGCTCTGATAAACGAGGAAGCTTACCACTGAGCACTGGGGACACATCCAATAGTCTGAAGAATTGCTAGAGAGCCAGAACTTCCCAGAACTTTCTGTAAGTTGGACATGGGTTTGATAGGCCAGGAAAGAACGGCTGGAGCTCACAGAAAATTGACCAGCTTCAGTTCCGGGGCTGTATGTTTGGGGGCGGGAGTAGTAGAGCACAGAGCAGCTGCCCTCTTGAGAAAGGCAGCCTTTGAGTGAGAGCCCCACTTACTCTTTGTGGAGAGAAAGACAGGGCTGCTATGTACTGAAGACCATGTTACGATGCTGCTGAGTGAGTGATTCTCCATATTCCCCAGGACGATCCTTGGGGATGAAGGCGTTGGGTCAGAAGAAAGAGAACACAGAAGAGCACAGGTGCCCACTGTGGACATCTCAGAAGTACGGTCTCCCTTCCTTGGGCGGGTTGGCAAGCCTAGGTCCTTCCGGTAAAATAAAGGCAGAGCCAGGAGTGAAGTGGCAGGTGCAGCACCGGGGTTTGGCTGGGATGAGGCTGCGGAACCTCATTCAGGTCACTTCCCAGCCAAGCACCCTCAGTGGGAGCACGGGCACCCCCGCAGATAGATTTTCTCTGTAATGGAAAAGCCATTCACTTCTAAACCTTTGTGAGCTTGTGCTCTTCCCCATCCCTGGATAGAGGCTACAAAAGGAGAAAGGTTTTCCTCAATAATTCCATAGTAAAAACAAAGGGGAGATCAAAAAAGTTTAAAAAGACACACCCTTAAATTCTCCTAGAATGATGGCCTATGAAAATAATCAGAAATACAAAGATTTATGTGCAAAGATGTTCGTTGCGACACTTTAGAAATAGTAAAACATTGGCAAAATAAATCTGTCGATGACATACAATCTTTTAAAATAGGGTTTGTCTCAGTAGCGGCAGAGTGGGGGCACACAAGCATTTTCATACTTTGTAGGTAGGAGTGTGGATTGGCACAGCCTCTGTGAAATACAGTTCGGCAAGTGTGTCAGAATTGAAACTGCACAGTTCCTCTGTCAGGATATCACTCTCCAGATACACCTTTATATTTACATAAAGACCTGTAACTATCTTTGTACACTGCAGATTTGCTGGTAAAAGCAAGAACAATTGGAAACAACTCCACCCATGGGAGACAGCTTGAATAAACTAAATTACACCTGTGCAAAAACAGTGCTGTGAAATTCTTTTTAAAAAATGAAACTGTTCTCTATATACTGATTTGAAGCTCTCTTGGCTATATGAAGTAAAAAAAATACTTCATATTCTGTTTTTTAAAGCACTTTACATGATGCTTGTGAAGAATATTTAGTCATGGGAAGATGGCATTCATGTAAACTAAAAATTCAGAATACATATGCATATACATAGACACATGAATACACATTACAGACACACGTGCATGTATCTACAGGAAGACCTGATGATTGATTTTATATTTCTCTCTTTGAAGCTTTCTGCATTCCAAATTGTTCAGAATGCGTATGTATATAAAACACTTGTCTTTTAAATGTTCATTCTTTTCTTTTTTTCTGTTTTCAAAGAGATTTGTCATAAGAAAACTCAAGAATACAGAAAAATGAAAGCAAAAATCCTCAAAATCCCACCATCCGTAGAGAAATTTTAGCAAACCTCCCAGACATCTCTGTTTGTGTATACAAATCTCTAAATGAATTTACACAATGCTTACACCTTCAGGTGTGATACACGGGCATATGTAATTTTACATAAGTAGAACTGCTTTTTCACTCAATCGTATGTTATGCACATCATTCCTGATCCATAAAAATACATTGCATCCTCCTGCATGGATAGAGGTACCACACACACTTCATTTAAGTGATCCCCTCTTGTTAGATACTAAATTTGCTTCCAGTCATGCTATTATAAATAATGCTGCAGTAAACATCCTGGTTGCATACATTTGGGGCACTTGTCCAGTTTTTTTCCATAGGAAAAAAAATGTACTGTTTTAAAAATTTAAGCCACATACTTCATTTTTTTTTCAGTGATAGGGAAGAACACATTGATGACGCATTATGAATATTTGCTAGCCTTTCTTCACACCTCTAATTTCTAGGGATTAAAAATTAACTCTGCTGAAACAGAAAGAATAACTGCAAACCAGAGCCAGGTGGAGTTTCAGGAATGCCCATGGGTCTTTGAACAGGAAGAACTGCTTTCCATTGGGATAGAAGAGGTAAGAAACACCTCGGAGGCCCCAAAGGCATCTGATTCTAACTCTCCTTACTGAGCACCTGCGACAAGTTAGAAATTTAAATCTTGCCAGAGCACTACTACCACCATTACCATCGTAAATTTTCAGGGTGCTGGGCAAGTCATTTTTCCTGGAGTCAAACAAGTCAAAGTCAGGAACTGATCCGTGTAAATTGACTGAACTTGAACTTACCCTTTGCAGGTCCTTCATCCTGATAGATGCTCTCATACAGAATGACTTTCTCTACAGGTATTTGATATTTTGCCCCTCTTTGGAGTGCTGCAGCCACACAGTAGCCGCCAGGTATCTTTCACCTTCTACGGACACTGTGACATCATTGCACAGGCTAAAGCTCTGTGCGAAGTGGAAGGGGGTCCCACCTATGAGATAATACTCAGAGGAGAGGCATCCCTGATCAACTACTCCTTTGACACCAAGGATATCAACTGTGGATTACAGGTATTGCCAGCCATTGGGGGAGTTTGTCTAGTTTTACCTTAAGCATCATTGTAGTCCTTGTGCTCTAAGCCCTCCCAGAACCCCCAGGCATCACAGTCTCACAGGTTCCCCTTCCCTGATCCCTAATCTGCCTCCCCAGCTCTCATAATCCTCCCACTGCCAACTGTTTGCCAGACATTCTCACTTGGTTTTCTCACCATGTTCTGAAATGCGGCATGTTAGATGCTAACATTTGCATCTTCCCTCTTCAGCCAGAAACCCATTCCAACCTGTCCATTTTTTTATTGGCAGCACTATGGCCTCAGTCCCTTGAGTTTACAATCTCAAGGGTGTTTTCCACGCATTCTGTCCTTTGCTGCCCCACATCCTTCAGCAGCCAGAGTTGGCTAGTTCACTGAGCAGGATACCCCTGCATCAGTTTTCCCTTCCCGCTGCCACTGTAGTTATCATGCTGCAGGGTCTCTTCAAGCCATGCCTAAGTTATTTCAGCAGTTCTCAAACTGTAATATGCATACACCTCACCTGGGAATCTTGTTCAAGTGCAGATTCTGATGGAGTAGGTCCAGGGTGGAGCCTGAGAGTTTGAATTTCTAACAAGTCCCAGGTGATGCCAGGGCTGCTAGTCCACGGACCCCACGGAAGCAAGGGATTACCACACACTCATAGCTTCTACTGCTAACCCATCTAAACATCACTGCCATACAGATTTTCCCAAGATTGCAATTTTGTCTTGTCAGTCCCTGAACAGTTAACCCCAGCAGCATTTGGGAAGAGAACATGGTATTGAGAAAAGAGCATGGTTCTGTAGTCAGAAGAACTGGGCTGTTATCCTGGTTTTCTGCTGACCGTAACCTTGCACATCACCTAACCAGCCTCCCCAGGCCTCAGTATCCCTCATCCATAAAATGGGAATGGCTATCCCCCCAGGTGGTTGTGGTTACTTAAGGAGAGTGTCTGCTCAGTACTGTGCCTGGGTCACCCAGTGGATCAGAGCTAGGTTCCTCCACCTGGTGAGGTTATCCTAAGTCCCTCTATTAACTGATGCTCCTTACACATTTAACTTTGTTTCACACAATTCCCCATTGTAGCCCATTTATTTATATGTGGCCAAGCTGGTTTACCCACTGGCTCTAATGCACCACAGCACTTCCTGCCTCCATACTCTCTCTTATATTGTCCCTCCTGGCCTCCCCTCTGCCAACCCCAAACTACACATACTGTGAGACCCAGCTCAGCTCCACCCCTCAGCTATCTTTCTCTTACTTTACATTCATTTGGCATTTAAGTACAGTCTTTGCTATAATATAATGTACTTTCTAATTTTTGCTTTGGAGTAATTGCCAGTTTATTCTGTCTGTACATCTTCTAGTCCCAATTAGATTTTGTGTTAGGTACTCAGAGACCATACCCTCTACCAAATTTTAATGGGAATTAGACCCTTATTATATAGCCCTGCATATATAATTGCTGAATTGTGTGTGTGCATGTTTGTTTAAAGATTGTATCTAAAATCAAATTCACCCAACATGTATCGAGACCTTGTCCATTGCATTGACCAAATAGAATTCTCTATCGTTCCTTATCTCCAGGGTCCTCTGGATAAATGGTTCTGGTTCAACTCAGACTGTATGCTTTGAAGCAGCTAGTCCTTGCCCTAAGAAGCCCTAAAATAGCCTCAGTTTGTGATTATTGGACCTGCTGGTTAGCTGCTGAATATATTAGCAAAATCTGAGGAAAAAGAACATGTCTGGCCTATTATTCCTATGTCTACTTAAATAGAAAAATTCATTCTAATTCTGAACTCAAATCTTACCCAAAAAAAAAACAAAAACAAAAAAGCAGACCTTAGCAAAGGAAAACTTGCTTTAAGGCCCCTCTAATATGAGTTCTTTGTGGTGAAAAGCTGAGGTACAGGGAGGTTAGATGCTCACCCCACAGCCATACTAAACACAGGTGTTAGAACAGCTGAGCTACAGCCAGGTTTCTGGGGTCTGGCACTCCTCCGCCCGAGGAGGCACCTTTCTGTGATACTGAAATGTGGATTGGCCAGCGTCTACATCACAAGAAATAATGTCTGTGAGGCACGTCTGTCTGCCCGCCTTTGTCAGGGTGATAGCAGCACCTCGAAGGCGGGGGCAGAGGAGTCACTGTTCTCCTTCTCCCCTGAAGCTGTTTGACCACATCACGGAGAATGAAATCACGCTGAAGAACACAGGGAAAGTTGGCTTTGAGTTCAAGGTTCTGACTGACCACCAGTCTTCAACAGACAGCCTTCTGCCCGGAGTGCCACTAATCCTGCCTCTCTCTGTAAGTAGCCTTCCTGCCTGTGAGGCACGCGTCATAACCGCAGGGGGGCCCAAATTCAGGTCCGCAAGCACACCCCAGAGGCATGTGAAATGATGCTAAGTACTGCAAGGATTAGGGGTGTGACTTATTGTTGTTTAATTAAAACTAAACAGCTCTCAGAAGCAAGAAAAATCAACAAACCCAAGAGCTTCATTCACTTACTAGCCAAGTATTTCAGGAGTCCTGTATGAATCAGGCACTGTTCAGGCACGTGGCCTTCAACGACAAGGTTCTTTTTTTCACAAGTATTAAGAACAGCTTAGTTCCACTCTGTCCTCATACTTCCCTGTAACTCCTTGAAGCTGAAGGTCTCTTCTCCACTGACTACAATAAATACAAGAAAATTTTCATTAGGTATGACAACACCAGTAGACTGTGATGAGTCTAGTTGGCTTTAGCAGAAATGGAGGAGGTGGTGCCTTGTCCATATTATATTAATCTATCATAAAGGACCTTTTGTTGAATTTTTCTCATGAAAATAATACGTGATTGTTATTTAAACATTGAAAAACGTGAAAAAGAATAAAGAATGAAATTATAATTATTCATGAACCAAGATCCAAAGATAAGAGTTCTTGGAAGACAGAATCCATTCTTCCTCTAAATTGTCACATTTATTTATGTATTTGTTTATTTAATAATCACATCTATTGCTAGTCTCTATTGCTATTGATCTGTTTGCCTGTCCCTACATTTATACTATACTATTTTAATTGCCGTAGCTTTAAAATGCATCTTAATATCTGTTAAGTCAACTCCCTTTTTATTCTTTTTCCGAATTCTTAACTATTCTTTCTAATTTAATCTCACATTTCTTTAACTTCCTAAGTGGAGTTGCAACTTTTTTCTTCCTTTCTTAATTAATAATGAAGAAAATGTAAGACTAGGTGTTTGCCTGAGTACACATTTAACCTTATCCCATAATTTTAAAGAAAATTATAGATTTAAATTACAGAAGTCAAACTTGCATATTTTATACATTTTAATGTCTACTATTATAATTTCCATTATTTTCTAAGCTAGAATTGTAGTTTTATATACAAGTATAATTTTAAAATATATTTTTCTTTTGTCAAATTTCCAAATGACTAAGAATTTTTTTTTGTTATTTAAAATCTTATTAATGTGGAGTTAATATTGAGTTTTTTTTGTATCATGGCCATATATCATGAAATATATGACCCTCTCAATACCTACTTTATTAGTTTATCAATATATTTTAGTGGCCCAAAATGATTTTTGTAATACCAATGAGTATTTGAAAATAATGTTATCTGAGTCACAGAAAACAGATTATGATGAATACCTACTAAATTAACCTCTTTTAAATATATTATTTAAATTTGTATAATTTTGTTTATTTTTTCTAAGACTAAGAATGGTACATAAAATATTTTCATTTGTCTATCTATTGTTTCTACAAATATATAAAAATTTTTGTTTTATACATTTTCATTTCTGTTATTTGACACACAAGATTTCATGACTATTATACATTCATCACATCTTCCCTTTTAATGCTTTCTACTTTAAATTTACTTTGTTTGGCATTAACATTATGATTCCTCCTTCTTTTTGCCTTATATTACTTGTGCATGTTCTATTTCATTTTGTTTTAGGTTTAGCCCTCATAAAACAAAGTTGGATTTTATTTTTTCATCTTATCTGAAAGTCTTAAATTTCAATAGAGAGACTTCAGAGATTCATATCATTATATAATTAAAATGGTATTATTTCTTTCATTGTATTTCATTTCTCCTATGTTTAAAATTTGTTTTCTTTCTATTCTTTTTATCATAATTGCTGTTTTCCTTGCCCTTTTTTTCTTTAGTTTTTTTAAAGCATTTGAACTTCCATTGCTGCTGTTTGTATAAATTGGTACAGTTGTACAATTGTATAGAAGGCAGTTTGGCAATATCTATCACAATGAGCCTTTTGACCCAGAAATTCCATTTCTAGGAATTTATCCTACCTACATGTTCCCACATTTGCAAAATGATAAGTATTTAAGAATATTTCCTATATAATAGGTAACAGCAACAGCAAAAAGCCAAGAGAAACAAACTGAAATGTCAATCACTAGGGAACTCATTTTTTAATGTATTAAAACTGTACAGCAGAATAATGCGCAGCAGTTAAAAGGGATGAGGCAGCTCTAGATATACTGAGTTAGTTCTAAGCTCATTAAGTAAAAATCAGAGAAAAGGAAGTTGAAAAATACTGGGTAATTATATAAATATTAAAATATTTATAAATAAAAAATTTTTAACATATCTAATATCTGAATTCAGTTAGCTAATATTATTTTATTTACTATTTTTGTATCTTTGTTAATAATTGACAGCTGGGCCATAAATTTCCTTCTTCACGCTGTCCTTGATCAGTCTGCATATTGTGAGAAGAATTGGGCATTTCTCTTTTTTCTCTTCTCTGGAATGGTGATCATCTGTTTTTTGAAGGATTAGCAGGCTCACTCCAGATATTCCTTTTTGGGGGGTAATTTTTTCACTTATTAAACTTCTATATATTCCTTTTTGGGGGTAATTTTTTCACTTATTCAACTTCTGTATAGGATATAAATCATTAAGGCTTTTTTAAGTTTTGGTTATTCATATTTTTCTAGAAAATTGTTAATTTCACAAAGATGTTTCAGTATATCAGCATAAAGTTTTCTCATAAGCATATGATTTATAGATTATTTTGCTGTGTCTATATGAACCTCTTTTTTTCTTTTTAATTTTTTGTTTTTTGCTGCCTTTTCTCCTTAATCAGTCTTGACAAGTTTTGTATATCTTATTAGTCTTTTTTTAAAAAAAACAGTTTTGGTTTTATGAACCTCTTTTATTTCTTTGTTCTCTATTTCAATAATTTCTTATTTTCTTCTCCAGGTTTATTTTGTTGTTTGAACTAATTAAGTGAGTTGAACCTATAGAATGTTGGTTTTCACTCTTTTTTCTTTTTTAATATATATATTTAAGCCTATAAATGTTTTTCTGTGTATTAGCTGTCCTTCATAAGGTGTGGTATGTTGTGTTTTTACTGTGGTTCAGTTTTAAACATTTCATAATAATTAAATATTAAACATTACATAATAATTGCTAGTATATCTTCTTCCTTGGCCATGAGTTCTCTCCTCTACTCTGAATATTTATGTCTTTCATCTATTACATCTTCAAGTATTTCTTCTCTCCTATTCTCTCCCATCTTTTCTGCTACAGCAACTATTTGACATATGTTGGACCTTCTCATTCTGTCCTCTGTGTTTTTAACTTACATTTCACAAGTGCATCTCTTTATCTCTCTATGCTTCATTCTGGATAACTTAGCTCCATCTTTCAGTTAACTAATTTTCTCATCAGTTGAGTATAATCTACTGTTTAACCTCACTCAGCATTCTCAACTTCAGTAACCATATTTTTCATTTCAAAAAATTCCAAATTCCACTCATTACATCTTTCATTGTGATTTTAATTACTTTATTTATCTCTAATCATTCTGCAGATTCTTTTAAGTTATCCCAATCAAGTTATTAGGGGCACCATTCTTCCTATTTGTATGACTGTGAACTCTCCTTCATGATCAGTGATTTCCTTGTATGATCTTTAATTTTTGACTTGGGCTCTTATTCAGCTGAGACTCTCCTCTCTTTGAGAGTCTCATTCACCCTATGTTGTACTGGTGATTCTACAAAGTACTGTTTTATTTATTTTTGCCAGGTGCCCCAGTGGCTAGACTTTTGAGTTCATTCTTTGGCTTGGATTAACCACAGTAATGCGTCAGTGTACCTTAAGACTCCATGTGTATGCATGATACAGGCTTGGACATTCTATTTTTCCTGGGATACACTTTTTTCCCACCTACGAGCCCAGAGAGATAAAAGCTTCTTTGATTCTTCCCTGAAGAGCAGAGAAAGAGCTGGGTTTCTCTTGTTCCCCTTTCCGGAGGGGCAGCACATCATGGCTCCAGCCTTGCGCAGGGATCTGCGCTAGGTCCCCACCTCATATGGTCCAGGCTGCCTCCTCCCTATTTGAGCCTCTGAATATTAGGGATCTGCTATCACCCAGGGCCACCAAGGTAAAGGCTCTGAACTTAACCACACTGACAAGGTTCCCTCTGTTTCTTTTCACAGTGGGGTATTTATCTTCTTTCAGCTCAGCTATATATTAAAGAGAGTTTTGTTGTCTTTGCTGTCATTGTGCCTTACACAGAACTCCTGTGCACTTGTGGCATGAGAGGGAGCTATCACAACGCAGTCCTCAGCATTGCCGGAGCCAGAAGTGGGAGGATTTCTCATCCCCATATACTTTCCTGCTTGGGGTTACTCCTCCTCCCTGGCTCTCTGTTCCTGCTGTTTAGATACAGTGGTTTCTTGAATCTCATTGGGAACATGGGTTAGATATTTTCTTCTTTCTTAGAGGAACTCATAGAAAATGTTTACTCTTATTCCTCAGAATAACCCTTATGTCAGAGGTCCTCAGCATCATCTCCCTTTAATGATTCTCTAGGACAACTCCTAGGACTTACCAATAAGTTGTACTCATGACTACAATTTATTGCAACCAAAATTAGCAAAGTAAAATCAGCAAAGGGAAAAGACATGGGGCAAAGTCTCAGAAGAAACCAGGCGCTGGCTTCTAAGAATCCTCTATCAGTGGACTCATGCAGAATGCTCTTAATTCCCCCAGCAATGAGTTGTGACAACCCAGTATGATAACTACCAGGGAAGCTCATTAGAGACTCAGTGCCAGAGTTTTATTGGGGTTCAGTGACATAGGCACCTGCTGCCAGCACATACCAAAATTCCAGACTCCCAGAAGGAAAACAGGTGTTCAGCATAAACCATATTGTTTGCACAAACAGTTTAGGCACAATGAGCCATCCTTGGAATGATGAAAACCCTCCCAAAATCTAAGTGCCCAGACACCAGCCAAGAGCCAGCCTTGCAAGCAGGCATTTCTAAGAGTAGCAGTTTCAGGACGGCTATGCTAACTTCTTCTCACTTCCCTCTTCTTTTGAACTGGACCCTGCTTTTTTGTGTCTAAGTGGGATTTTTCTCCATAGTTTCTCCCTTTCTATATTTACCAAATTTCCTATTATGAAACCAATTCTTGTGATGGAAGCAGATGTTTATAGCATCCCACAGTATATGTGAATGCTTGAACATATAACAAAATAGAAAAAAATTTCCTCCTCAGAATTCCATGAGAGAACTATGTTTGTTGGAAAAACACATTGGCAAGTGCCTGACATGAAAGCTGAGACCTGCTCCCCTCCCACCTCCCACCCCCACAGCATTGGGTGCAGGAAGACCTGCTTCATGGGAAACAAGACTTTTTTTGTGGACTGCCCAAGAAGGGGTGAGGAGAAAAGAGAGTGAGGGTGGGAGGGGGAATCCTGGAGACCACAGACCATTACACACTCTGCAGTTTGACTCACCTTGTGACCCCTGCACACACACACATCCTCTCACACATTCCAGAGAATATGCGAAATTCCGTAAGTTGCTTCATGTGAGTGAATGCTTTGTGGAATTTGGTGACAAGGCTCAGTTCTGTGCTGTGAGACAGGCATACAAGGAACAGAGAGTGGAGGGGAGGGAAACGAGAGAATTAAGCTCTGGCTTCTCATAGACACCGTGCAATGACATTTAACTGTGCCAGACGATTTGGGGTTTGAGATAAGTTTATTAACTTTAGTGGGGCTAGAGGGCCCCCAGTGTGTGTGTGTATATAGTTAAATAGACTCTGGATTGATATACATGGCTATGTTATCATTATTTCCATGTCAGTGGTAACAACTGGTGATGAATTCACTTTTTTCTTATTTTCATTCTCTAATTGTTCTTCAAGGAATATGTGTCACTTATGACATCAAAAAAATAATAGATATGTTCAAATATTTTAAGGGGTCCATTTCAAAAATGACTTTTAAAACACTTCTAAATAACTTGAACTCATACTGACATCATCTTTCCCCAGTTCAGATTCCAGCCTGATTTGCCTTTTCTGGCAATTTATAGCCATGAGGTTCTCTCACCTTTTATTTTCTGATTACCGACCTAGAGGTTATAGTTTGTGACCTTAGTCATATATTTTTAAGTTTTCTTGTATGATACTTGGTTTATACAAAAGAAATCTATGTAGCAAATATTTAACTTAAGCACAATAATAAAATGAACCTACCACCCGTCTTTAAACCCAGAACATTTGAAGCCATTAGTATGTTGGCTTGCATGCAATCTAATATACTGCAACCCACCTGGGCTCCTTTTCTGTATGTCCCTACTTGCTACCCTCCAGCCAGGAACCGCTAGTCCAAGTTTTGTGTTTATCATTCCCTTTTCAAAATACAGTTTTATTACATATACATGCATCCTCAAAGTACTTTTGGTTTGTTAATTTATCAAAACTTTCAAGTACCTACCATGACCAGGCCTCCTTCTAGCACTAGTAAACAAAACAGACAAATAGACTCACCCTCGTGGAAATCATGTTTGGGGTGTTACTTTATCTTGAGGCTTTATAAAAATGGCATCAGAAAATGTAACCTCATGCAATTTGCTTCCCCCCCACCCGATATTCTGTTTCTAAGTCTAGTCCACATTGTTGCACATAGCTATGGTCCATTTCTTTTCACTACTTAATAGTGAAACTTTTGTAACTGTATTGAAAGTAATTTCCTTTTTCCTGTGAGAGCACATTTGTGTTTGTTCCCTCAAAACTTTTGCTATTAGAAACCATCCTACCACGAATATGCTTGTACCTGCCTCCTGGTCCACAGGTAGAAGAATTTTCCTGGTGAATTTTCCTGGGAGTGAAATTTCTCGTCATGGGCTTTGCATATATATTCAACTTCATAAGATGGTAGAAAGCATTTGTCACAGTGGCTTTTCCCATCGACATTCCCACCAGATGTATTAAGGATTGCTTTTGACACACTGTCACCAAAATTTGCTAAGTTTTGCCAATTTTGTGGTTTAAAAAAATTTCATTCTGATCTCCGTTTGCATTTCCCTGATTACTTATGAGGATGAACATCTTTCACTGAGCTTATTTGCCTCTCATGCTTCCTCCTTTTGAAATGCCTGTTTACATGAATAGCCTATTTCTCTGCTTACTTTCCATTTTATTACAGCTTTGTAGGAATGAATCCTGGGGGAGTAGTGTGAGCGGAGAATAAGCAGCACAGTACTGGGATTATCTAGTTCATCAAACTGCCGGAAGAAGGGGTCCATTGTAAATGTTAAAGCTCTCCTCTGTCTTTCTTCTGCGTAGGGTTTTATCAGTTCACATGAAGAGCAGGTATTGAAGGTTTACTACTTACCTGGAGTACCTGAGGTCTTTCAAAGGAGTTTCCAGATACAGATCGCCCACCTGGACCCAGAAAATATCACTCTGAATGGAGAGGGAATCTTTCCCCGAATCTGCCTCGATCTTCCCAGGAACCTCAAAGGTACTACCACCCACTATAGCATTTCCCTGCTGGGGGACAAAAGACGCGTTTTAACTTTGCTTGTTTAAATGCTGATGGCTACTCCCAGTATTTGCTTGGTAGACCCCACTAGTTCACTTCTGCATTGTTCCTCAACTGCAAAAAAAACTCAAGAGTTGAAATTGACTTGGTGACCTAAGATCAGCAAGACAAGATTTGGTCCACGGCAGTCCCCAACTAATTTTGCCATCGCTGAATTATTCATAGGGGGATCAGGACATTACAGTTCCAAAGGCCTCTCCCTCCAGCACACATTCCTTCCACCTCCCGTCTCCCCCTGGGTTGTCCTTTCCCAGCAGCACCCTCACAGATGGCCCCTGAGAAGGTGAAAGCTGATTTTACTGCAAGAAGTAGAATTCCCAAAATATGAACTGCACAGAAAGGCAACCGAGGTTCTGACCCCTTATTTTGGCATTATCCAGTTTGGAGGCTTTGAGTTGTTTATTAGTTGTCTGCCACATACCTAGCCAAAGCTTTTCTGGTAACATCTGGTCCCTGGAGCCGTCCCTCTGCACCAAAATAGTTCAGTCTTGGCAGATTCCAAAGCTCAGCTGAGCAGCTCTTTTAGCCAGACTCCCTCTGGCTCTTCTTCTGAACATGGGGTACGGTAACCCCATGAACCTCTCTTCTTCATGAACCTCTCTTCAAGCCCCTTGAAGTCCATGTTCCCTCAACAGCTTCAGACTAAGCCCTCCCACCTCGGCCTTTCTTTCTACTCTGCTCCGCAAAGGCGGTAACTTGCCTGTTGATGATCATCCATTAAGTCTAATTTCTGCTCCCTGAACATATGAGCACAAGTATTAGTGAATCTAAGGCCATCTAAGGAACCTTTAGAGTCCCAGCCAGACAGAAGTTAGTCCGCCTCCACATAAAATTTTCAAGAAGGAAAGTCTTTGCCACATGGTTGAAAACTGGGTGCCCAGCTGGTCTCATTAAGGAAGTAGACATATTTGGCCTATACACAGCTTTAAAATAATTTAGATCTGAGTACCTTTAGTTGGGTCTTTGGTGCTCCATTCCACCCCAGTTGGCACTTTCTATGTTTCCTGGTAAGCACTTTCATTACTTTGCCTACCTTGTCCCTCAAATTTTTTAATTTACCTTGACTTACTGGTGAATTTGGGTGTCTGAAACCTCTCCACCCATTGACTACCTTGCCTGATTTAGGGGATTCTATCTTATTTAGTTGTAGCTAAAGCAACTTGACCCAAATATACTGTTATTGTTCCTTAAGATTTAATAAACATGAAAACTGATCTAAAAGATGACCCGCCATCTGGGTATGTCCAGCTTGGAGAGGTTGCCAGGTAATGTGGCTTTTAGAGCTAGAACCAGGAAAGCACCAAAGAAGCTGGGATCCCATGACTTAGGATGACTTAGGATATTACAAGTGGCTTAGGATGTCACTGCCCTCAAGTTCTTGAGAATCAGCTGACGGCTCACTAAAGCATCTCATTAACCTCGGAAATCTCTGATACAAATTCCATCCTCTATCAAATTACCTCGTCCTCTGAAGCAGAGAGGACGTAGCAAGTGAAGGAGCAGCTCACTTCCCTTCTCACTTTCTTGACTGAGCCTGGAGTCTGTGCTTTAGACATAAATCATATATTTCTAACCATCCAGATTTCCTTCTCCTTCCAACTCCCACAGGAAATGAAAAGTATGAAACTTTCTTGAATCAGGCCAGAGAAAACCTAGAAAAGGAGTACAACAAATACGAAACATTTGTTCACTCAGATGTGACCGAGGAAGTGCCTGAGGATGAATCTCCTGAGGTACCATTAGCTTCACCCTGTGCAGAATGAATGTGACAGGATGGCATGTGTGAAGGCCCAGAGGCAAGGAGGACATAGTATCCTGAGGAACAGGAAGGGGGAGAGGATGCGGGAAAGCAAAGAAGGGGGTGGGGGAAGAAGGGAGCCAAAACAAGCCTGATGGTTTGGACCTTCTAAAACAGTATTTCTCAAGTCCTTTCACTATTACCCCCAAGCCATTTTTCCCCTAATACTCCATGAAATATTTTATCATATGTAAAATGCAATCTCTTTGAATGTTTGATAATAAATTTTTTTAGCTTTTTTATTTTGAAATAGAGATTCACAGAAGGTTGCAAAAAAAGTTTTCCCCCATGATAACATCTTTTATAAGTATAGTAAGATATCAAAACCAAGAAATTAACATGATACAAGCCACAGAGCTTATTCAGATTTCACCGGTGTTTATATGTACTCATGTGCATGGTTCTGTGCAATGTTTTCACATGCGTACCTTTGTGCAACCACCACCATAATAAGCCACAGAACTATTCCATCACCGTGAGGGTCCCTGTGCTTGTTGGAGAGATAGAATTAAAAAAAACAAAATCTCCCTCCAAGCCAGAAAAATCTGTGCACAAAGGTAGAAGAGAAAGAAAATAACTTCATAATTGAATAAGCATTAAACCAGAATGTGATCCATGTGACAGGAGTCTGCTAAGAGACTATGAAGACAGAAAGAAATCTCAGCCTTTTATATAGCCAAGTAAATGCAATCCATTATATACATGTTCTCAAGGTAAACAGTAACTAGTCCTTAAACAGGAGCTATAACTAGCCCTCAAGTAAGAGGACTTGACAGTGCCATTTGTCACGCCTGGTTCATCCTAAATTCACATGGTGATTGGCGTGACCATCCGTGTTAGCTAAGTGGTTATATCCAAAGGAAAAACAGGCCTCTTACATTTTCATGACCGGGTCCTCTGACGTTCAGCACCTATCCTCCCACAGAAACTGGGAGATACAGGCTCTGTCTTCCCTGATGGTCCCGCTTCGAAGAGAAGGTTCCCAAGGCCTTGAGAAAGACACTCCTGTGTTCTGAAGCTGACAGGAGGCGTGTTTAGCTTGTAAAAAGATGCACGGACATTTCAAAGAGACAGAGGAGTAGTTTACAAGCTTTCTAAAGGAAATGCTCCAAGAAAATGGAGCAGGGAGAAATCTTCCCTTATTTTCAACAGGGAGAATGAGGCCTCTTATTTTTAATTGTGCTTACCCTTACATGCTACCCCTTTACAGTCACACCCAATCTCCCCATCCCTTACCCCCAGCAACCACTATCATCCTCCATCTCTATATTTCTGTCATTTCAAGAATGTTGTGTAAATGGAATCATGGAGTATATGACCTTTCAAAATTGGCTTTTCTCATTCAGTGTAACACCCTTGAGATCCAGCCATATCAATAGTTTATTCCTTTGTATTACTGAGTAGTATTTCATGGTATAGATGCACCAGTTTGTTGACCCCACCCTATGAAAATTTTAATACCACAGTTATACTGTATATCTGCTTATGTACTGTGGCCCTTGGGAAATCCACAAACCATTATAATAGTTAAGATATTTTCACCCTCCACCCCCACCATAAAGCAGTTTCCCTCTCTTAGGTGTGATATTGCCCCCATCGAGAATGCATGTTCTAGAAGAATTTGCTCACTTGCTCTCTCTCTTGCTCCAGTTAAGTGCTCAGCTCCAGATGGAAGTAGAGCGACTTATAGTCCAAGGCTATGCCATAGAACATCAGAAAACAGTTATCCCTGATCCCACGGAAGACTTCTGCCATCGTAGTCACTGCAGACTGGCCAAGTAAGCGTCCTTCCACGTCGTGCTTGTTTCAGAGTACAGCAGAGCCAGCAGCGCTGCCTGCCAGGGCGCTCCCCGGACTAATGGCTGACCATCTAGGAACGAAAGCCCTGCGCCTCATGTATCTGCCATCCTCTAGCATTCAACCATCCAGCCAGGTCTCTGCCTCTTAGAGTCAGAAACCTCTGGCTCTGTCTAATGGATGAATCTGGTTCCAGGTTCATGAGGGGCCAAGCTGAATGTGTCCTGGGATAGACATCTGGAGGATGTATCTTGTTCTAGTCTCTATTCTGGACAGTGGTTGTCTTCCACTCCAGAGACTAGAACTGTACAGGGAGATAGAGTGTCACAATCTCACTTTTGGAAGAAACTGGTAAGGAGAGCTCGTTAATCATTTCAGAGTCCAGCTGCCAGAGTATATCCTGGACTTTGGCTACATCGTCTTTGGTGACGTCCGAACCCACATCATCAAGATCACCAACACCAGTCACTTCCCAGTGTCCTTCTACGCAGAAAAGCGCATCCTTCATGACACGGGTAACCATGCTGGGGAGACCCTTTCCGCACTTTGTTGTTTCCACCAAGGGGCCCATCTGTTCTGTCCTGGAGTAGTGCTAATGCTTCTTCTGGAAGCCAAAAGAATCACTGTGCCATAACCGATATTTGAATGGTCATCCTTCCTCCGAGGGACTCTATCTAAGCATCTCTGTTTGTTATTTCTCTTTCATACAAAGAAATTTTGTCTTGGTCCAGGCTTCAGTACTGAGCTAGATCGTGTAAAGAATCTGCCTTACTGTGAAACAGAAACATTTGAAGTGAGATTTGACCCACAAGGGGCCAACCTTTCTGTTGGGAACAAAGAGCTCCTCCTGCCCATTAAGGTAAGGTGCCCACTGGGCCCAGCCAATCCCCCCAGCTCACAGCTCTGCTTGATGATCACCCCTGGGATGATGCAGTTACTATTTTCAGAGCTGTGATGCTCTCCCCAACGCCATGCCATGTAGTAACAGCAATTTTATGCCTGCTCTAGGTGGTTGGAGGGCCAACAGTTCATATCCATCTCCAAGCCAAGGTGACCATTCCCACCATGACACTGTCTTCTGAGCAAGTGGAGTTTGCCCCAATTCAGTGTGGACAGTGCCTCGTGGAAACTATTCAGCTTTCCAATCATCTCCAAGTCCCTTGTGAATGGTTTGTCCACAGCTATAAGCCAGTTAACAAGGTAAATGAGCATTGGCACCTTTGGTCCCCCTTTTTCCATGTTCATTTCAGCCAGATTCATAATTCTAGACCTTTACTCTCCTCATTTCACAATCCTGCTCAAAGACTTTCAGTGACAACCACTGTCTCCCGCATACAATCTCAGCCCTTAGCCCAGCCGCACACAAGGACCTGTCAGGCCATGCTGTCTGGCGAATGTCTTATTCATCTTTGTGTGCCTGATATCTACGCATTCCCTGACACCTGGAAGGTAGTCACTTAATAAATATAGGTTGAGTGCGTGGAGAAGAGAATAGGTTCATTTTCCATAGAAGATGATCTAATTGTCTAATATCTATTCACTAGCTGGAGAAACACATGCCAAAGTACTTAAGACGGAAACTACATACTGAATTAAATCCAAAGACACGGATCTTTGAGATCCAGCCCACTTCCGGGGTCTTGGATCCTGGTGAGAGATCCAATGTACAGGTGAAATTCATGCCCAAAGAAGAGGTAAGCTTTAAAGAAATGTGGTTTCATTCAGACTCTATCTCTTTGAGCTTTACTCAAAGTCCATGCTTAATTGGGTCTCCAGGGAACCTTTGAGTGACCCATGCCTCACTATTCTGAATATGATATCAGGTGCTTCTGGCCATCAGTAGCATGGCCTGGCAGCTGAGAGCACCAGCTCTGGAATCAGCACAGCTTTCTAACCTATTGCTTTTTAACAGCAGACCTAGGTTAGTGGCCTCCTGCCACTGCACTTAGAGGCTGAATGGCTTTGAGTAAATTCCTCAGCCTCACTAAACCACAGTGTGCTCAGAAAGAAAATGAAAAATAATAATATCACATGTTGAATCCCTGAGTGCAATTCCCAATAAGCTCCAAAAACTGGAAAAAAAATTCACAAGTTGCAGACCCAAACTCATCTGGCAGAAAACCCTCATTGGAACTGACAGGAGACGCTTAACCTTTATTTACCTCACTTCGTCTGCAGTCAGAAATTGCCACTGTGGAAATACTGAGGTGTTCAGTTACAGGGGACCTGTGCCAGACCCTGCTGAAGATACTATGTAATATGGGGTATATGCATTGTGTTTATCTTTTTAAAAAACCTGAATTTGAAAGTGTCTGTTTCTAGGGTGTCATGTTAGATATTGTCAACTTGCAATGGCTACCTTCTAGGAATATTTTGAGGATTAAATGAATTAATGTGAGCAAAATGCACAGCATACTATTCTGTATGTAGTAAGAGTTACTATTTTACTCTTATAAATAAATAGTAACTATTTACTATTAGTTGTGACACATTCCTGGTAGACATATTCCTTGGGCCTCACAAGCAATTCTTTTGTGAACAACGCATCAGCACAAAGCTACTCCTGACAAAGAACACAGTAAAGATAAGATCCTAGAACCAGAGACAATCTCAAGATGTTACACTGTAAAGAGTTTTGTTCAGTGCTTAAGGCATTTGGGAGATGTTTTCCTCTATTCTTTTAAAAGAAAAAGTCAATGTGATTTTTATAGAATACCTATAGTTAACCCCCATTTTCCTGGTAATGGCCTTGAGAAATGCTTAGAATCTGCAGTGAGAAAGAAAATAAGAAGTGAATTACTTCATATCTGATTCTAAAATAAAGCCTTTATTTTTATCTCAACTCTTTTAAAGCACAAGAGAATTAATATGTTTCTCATTCTTAAAGAGCCTTAAGACTGTCAGAATTTACTCAAGATTTTGGAGGTCTTACTGAATGAGGGACATATCAACAAATATAGTACAAAAAATAGATTTGTTCAGGCAGTTCCATAAATGTTGAGCTGGAATCAGTCGAAGTTAACAAAATGTTTCCATCAGTTGGGAGAGGAATTTATTGGCTGCGTACAAGAACTAGGTGAGCCTTTCAACCCATATGATCCATGCCTCTATCTCCATCAGCCTCAGCAGCACAGAGAGATCACTGTTGTCCACACCAATAACTCCTAGACATTATCATAACATGTGTTCTGAATACTCTGTGTTAGAAAACAAGGGAATGAGTGAAATGTTTTAAAAATAATTCCTTAAAAAGCAATTAAAATACAGAGTTTGGGTCATAAGGTACCAGCCCACTTAGCCAGTAATTCGTTCCGTGTGTGTCTATATGTCTATACATCTGATTTTCCTCTTTGAGCTAAGACAGATAGGAGCTTTTAAAATCATGAAACCAATCATGGCCTCCAAACCCAAGCCATGAATCCAACTATATCAGAATCACCTGGACATCTGGCTAAAAATGCAGAATCCCTAGCATTACCCTGCACCTACTAAGTCAGGCTGTCTAGGGATGGGGCCTGCAAAGCCCCATTTTTAATAGGCTCCCCAGTGAAACCAGATCAGGATAGTCAGTATCATGATCAACTGGTATTTGGAGTATAATTGTATCAATGAACTGAATGCCCTGACTGATCATCCCAGACCTGCTGTTTAACTGTATCTTCAAATAATGCAAACAGGTTCATTCATATTCTCTTAAGAAAAAGCCCTGGAGACAAGATTTGAGTGCAAGCAGATTACTTGGGAAGTATAGGGAGCACTGATAGAAAAGTAGAATGTGACAAGAGAAAGGAAGGCAGCTAATCGGGTGTGCAAGGAAGCCAGCTGCCTTGGAGCCTGGAACTTAATCCCACCAGGAAACTGAGCAAACAGACAAAATGCACTTTCAGAACTATTCCTCCCAAGGACTATGGGACATGGGTGTTTATGCAGTAACTCCTGAGAGTCATTGGTTGAGGACCGCTCCCAGAAGGCACTACTTCCTCAGCATGTCTGTCCTGCCCTGCCCTGCCCACGGACAGCAGAACTCCAGAAATGAGAGCCCAGAGGTGCAGATCTGAGCACACTGTGGGGTCTGAGGTATATGATCACAGCAGTCAGAGGCCTTCTACAACTGATGAAATACTTGGTACATACAGTGCCTGGAATGCTAGTAATATCAATTGCTTTTATATGAAAAGTTTTCTCTCTTAATCTAAGTAAGATCGATTTTGTCCCCCCAGTGGTTTTCAGTTTTACATGGCATGTAACAGAAAAAAATTAAGATGCTTGTTTTGTTTTTATATTTTCCAGAAACTTTACAAACAAACCCTAGTGTTCCAGATTTCCCAGAGTTCTCAGAAGCTTATCCTGCTGGCCCAGGGGCAAGGCCTAGAGCCACACTTGGAATTTAGTCCTTCGGTTCTGGAGCTGGGGCCACTGCTGCCTTACGCACCTGGAGATGAGGCGGAGGTGGTGGTAAAGAATCCCTGCGACTTTCCCATCGAGATTTACTCCTTGGAATTTGATCAGCAATATCTCATAGAAGAGAAGGTAAACAGAAGCCAAAACCAAACTCCATTTCCTGCCCATGCTAGGCCCTACCATGTACTCATCCTCTTGTCTCTGCATGGGCACCTGCCACTCCTTCCTCTTAAGCCTGTCCTTGTCAGTTTAAAGATCACTTTATAGCCTTTCCTGACCTATTTCCTTTCTAAAGCAGCAGAATTCATTGCTGCTTTGTGTTCTCATTATATAGTTTAAACACTGAATGGAGAAACTTAATACATGCTCATGGTTAAAACTCAAACAGTAAAGAAGACATGCAGTCATTATATTTGAAGTGACTTTCTTATAGACAGACTATATTGGGTCATTTTTTTAATACACCAGTAGTCTCTGTCTTTCATTTGTGTATTTAAACCATTTAGATTTAAAGTAGTTATGTTAGGGCTTAAATCTGCCCTTTTCTCTGTAATTTTTTCTAGTAGGTGTGTGGTGGTATCTCGTTTCATTTGCATTTCCCTGATGACATATGATGTGGAGCATCTATTCATATGCTTATTTTCTATCTGTGTATCTTCTTTGGTGAGTTGTCTGTTAAGGTCTTCAGCTCATTTTTTAATCAAGTTGTTTTCTTATTCTTGAATTTTAAGAGTTTTTTGCATATTTTGGATAACAGCATTTTATCAGAAATAAAATGTATCAGAAAATATTTTGCAAATATTGTCTGTAACAGATATTTTGCAAATATTTTCTCCCAAGTGTTTTGCAAATATTCGCCCAATATTTCTGGCTTATCTTCTCATTCTCTTGACATTCTCTTTCATAGCACAGAACTTAAAAAAAAATTTTAACTAAAACTCTTTTTAAAAATTTTTTATTGAGGTACATACAATAAAATATGCAAATCTTAGTGTACAGCTCAATGAATTTGATATGTGTATACACTCATGTTAACTATCATCCAGATCAAAATATCAAACATTCTCACTAATATTTTCCCTTTCACTTATCTCACCCATCTCCTTTATAACAACCACTAGTCTGTTCCCTGTATCCATGACTCTATTTTGATTTTGTTTGTTTCTTTATAAACTTTTTATTTTAATGAAGTTCAGCTTATCAATTGTTTTTTCACAGACTGTATCTAAAAAGTCATCACCCTACTCTAGGTAGCTTTCTCTTATGTTATCTTCTAAGAGTTTTATAGTTTCATGTTTTTCATTTAGACCTATGATCCATTTTGAATTAACTTCTATGAAAGGTATAAGATCCATCTGGGTTTGGGGGTTTTTACACGTGGATGTCCAGTTCCAGCACCATTTTGTTGAAAAAACTATAGCTTGTTATATTGCTTTTACTCCTTTGTCAAAGATCAGTTGACTATGTTTATTTGGATCTATTTCTAAGATTTCTATTCTATAACATTGATCCATCCAGGTCCATTTTTACTGTCTTTAACCCGCTATCCTACCTTGAGACCGAGCTGTATGAACTACCCCTTTATCTAACACCCTAAATACCCTACCTTTTAGAAACTGCCTCTTAGTCCTCTACTATGAGCAATAATGAAATTGTCCAGTCGTCTTTTTCCTTCTCCCCACCACCCTCTAATTTAAAATATTTTCTTACTTCCAGCTAATGCCTGCTAAGAAATCATCTCATCTACACTTCCTCCATGTTTTGCTTTTTGCATTATATCTCTAGGGTCAGAGCTTATATTAATATGTCAGAAAGTAATTCTATCATGTAATCATAACTCTACACTTAAATGAACTCAATGCTAACTACCAGTCCTGGTGATGAAGCCTTTCCAGTCACTACTGGGTTGTCTGAAACTCATTCTCTAGTGGATTCCTCAGGAAGGGATCATAGGAACAATATTCCCAGAGTACTCACATGTTAGTAACTGTTTATCTGTGGCTTTATGCTTGAAGATCAGTTTGATTGGATATAATATCCTTGGGTTGCACTTTCTGCACTTGAGTATCTTAAATGCATTGCTCCATTGTTTGCCCATAAGGTTTTGCTGTTCCTGAAGTCTGACACTTAGTAATCCATGGCTTATTCGTTGTCTATTGCAGTAAAACAAATTACCCCCAAGCTTAGCAACTTAAAACAATAAACAATTGTTATCTCATGTTTTCTGTGAGTCAGCAATTTGGGGATGGCTCAGCTAATGTGATCTGCTCCTTCTGGACCGTCCCCCAGCTTAGCCTTGGAATCTTCCATCGTCTGTACATCCAGTGTTTATGTTCTGCCAATTTGGGTTCTGTATCCAGAAGTTTCTCTTCAGAATGGGAATCTGGAAATTAGTTGGCCAGACCTTTGTGTCTCTGCATCAACCAATCTTAGGAAAACTCCTTCCTTTCCCCACTGGTCTGACATGCCATCTCTGTCCTATATCAAGCTCCGCATATGAATGGGTCTATTCTAAGGTCTCTCTTCTATTTCATTGGTCAGTTTGTCTGTCCAACATCAATCCCAACCTGTCTATTACTCCAGTTTCGTAAGCGCTGGTATCTAGTAGAGAAGTCCTCTCTCTTTATTCTTCTTCATTAGTGTTTTAACTATTCTTGGCCCTTTATTCTTCCATATAACTTTTAGAATGAGCTTATTAACAGTGGTTTTCAAACAACTAAAAACGGTAATCCTGGAAGTGAGTTATCTAACAAAAGAGATTTTTCACACCAGTAAATTAGGTCATATAGGAAGTGATAGTTTTTTAGGACTTTATTTTTTATTGTGTTTTATAAATATAATACACACTAGGGTTTCCATATTTAGTAGAAAGAAAAACAGATTGCCCAGTTAAATTTTAATTTCAGATAAACAACATAGGACATTTAAACTAAGAAAAGTACTCATAGTTTATCTGAAGTTCAGATTTAACTGGGCATCTCATACTTCCCCTGACAACCCTGATACATGTTTCCTCCCCACCCCCCACACTCCCCCACCCACACATACTTAATAGCATTTCACCTGTTTTTCCCTGAATCCTCTATTTATGAGACAACCACCTTACCTAGTATAATATTGCTAAGCACACTATTTCTTAAGAACGTGTCACTGTGTTGTTTTTAAAACAAGAAGAAAGTTCTCTTCCCCATGTGAGACGCCCAGGCTCAAATGGGGCAAAATAAAGATCCTACGTGCTGAGATTCAGAGCGCAGCCTACCTTTTAGACCTCTGCAAAAGACCCTGCCCTTGTGCACACCCCAGCCTCAGGCCAGAGCAGGGGTTTTACAGATGGGTGAACAGACCCTCCCTGGGGCTTGGGAAGGAAGCTTCCATCGAGACCCACAACAGTTCCTGCTTTCCTTGAGCAGATCTTGCGAATGCTGAAGGGCTATGATTCCTACAACACCCTGCTGCTGCCTCCCCGCCTTGCAGGGGAGAAACTGCCCCCAGAGGTGTACGAGTACTTTAAGGAGATGCAGCGGTCCAAAGAGGAGCAGATGAAGGTGAAACACCTGGAGAACCTGGCTCAGGAGAATGGTGAGAACTCAACGTGGAGAGCCCTCCACTCCAGCCTTGGCTTCTGTGAATTACCCCCGCTGGGAGTTAAATCAGTTATTGAGCACCTGCCAGGAGCCAGGCAGGTGCTAGACACCTTTGTCTTTTATTTCTAACCCTTACCAATGGTCCCATTGTCCCCATTTTATGGATGCAGAGACAGGGACACATTCTGCTCTCACTGGAGTCTAGGGAGGACATAAGACTTCTCGTGTGGCTTGTCGTGTTGCGTGCTTCTCCTCCCTGCTTCTCCGTGCCCTCATCCTGTTCTTACTGCTCCCTTCTTCTGTGTAAACCACAGGTCCAGTTATTTTCTTCATGCCCATTTCCTGCCCTAGACAAGAAACTCCCATAAAGGCAGGGACTGCATATTCCCCACTTGTAAACCCAGTGCTTGGAACAGCACCTGATACGTTGTAGTGCTCAATAAATATGTGCTATTTATTAAAAATAAAGAGTGAATGAATGAGCGAATAGTGTCTGTTCCTCCCACCCTGTGCTTGTTTCACCTCCCAGGGAATCTAGTGGAGAATACTAGTTTGCCATCAAAGGAGAAGAGGAGAGGAGAATGCCTCTCTGCCCAATCTCCTGGTCATGTTCATTGAGCCCTGTTAGTCTGCTAGAACTGCCATCACAAACACCACAAACTAAGTGGCCAGCAGAGATTTCTCTCCTCACAATTCTGGAGGCTACAATTCCAAGGTCAAGGTGTCATCAGGGTTGTCTCCTTCTGAACCTTCCTCGTTGGTGTGTTGATGGCTGTCCACGTGGGCTCACAGGGTTTTCCCTGTGTGCGTGTATCCTAACCTCTTCTTAGAAGAACACCAGATTATGGATGGATGGGACACCTATAGGATTCATTTTAACTCACCTGCCTCTTTGAAGGCACTATCCCCAAATACAGTCACAGTCTGAGATACTGGGAGTTAGGACTTCAACATATGAATTTTAGGGGAAACGAGTAAGCCCACAACAAACACCCACTGTGTTCCAAGCATTGAGTTGAAGTGCTGAGGAAAGATCAGTGAAGCAAGTCCCTGCCTTGGAGGGCTCACAGTTGGGTAAGGGATGGGGATGGGTAGACATTTAAATTCAGGACTGCCTAGCGCCCAAGGCAGAGAGCTACAAGGGGCTGCCAGGTACAAAGGGCCTCATGACATCAGGGAAGGCCCTTGTCGTTCTCGTCCCCAGCTTTCTATCCCATCCTTACACACTGTTGTGGGTTCGTTTTCCATTTGGCCCTTTGAAAGGCCGTCTGGAGCCAGGACCTGAGGGTCTGGAGGGGGCCAGGAGGGCGTACGCTCTGCGTGCACCAGTGCTTCTCTGAGCACCGGCTCCCTCTGCTCCCGCTGTAGACCATCCTTCTCTGCTTCCACGCCTTGTCCCGGGAGGCCCAGCAGGCCCACGTCGCGGTGCCACCACACACAGGAGAGCTGCCACCTCTCCAGCTCAAATCCAAATCCTAGATCGAGAGGATGTCTTGGCCCTGGGATGGGGAGGCGGGGGTCATTCTGTATAGTCACAGCCCTACATGCCCACAAAAACTCTGTGGGATCGGGGCAATGAGGAGGGCGCTGGGCAGACAGTAGCAGATGTGCTTCATAATGGCTTGGAGAAATGTTTGTGATAAAGGGGAAAGCAGGCTATAGATTGGCATGTACAATAGGACCCCAAGTAGAGTCTGGAAAAAACTAAAAATGAAAAATCAGAAAGGTTGCAGCTCTCACATACAGCTGTCATAAAACTAAGCTCCAATTCCTCTGTCACCCATCCTTTGTCTATATCTCTTTCTGCAGCTAAATTTTATCATTTTTTGCTTTTCTGAATTTTCCTAATTTTCTGGTGCAAGTGTATAAGTTGTTTTTTTTTTAATATTAAAATGCAGAAACACTCTGGGCAGTGGAACTTCTTAAACAGCTGACTGATTGCAGTTCTTGTTAATTGGGTTTGGGGGGGAGGGGGTGTGGCAACCAATTCAGTGATTCTTTCTTCTGTCTCTCTTTCCTTTCCTGCCCCGTCTCCCTCCCCTGTTCCCAACAATTCCCTGTGTGTTTTCTTTCACCCTTTGCTCCCTGGCAGATGAGGAAGATATGCCCTTGTCAGAACAGGGAACCTCCACCAGCACTAAGAGGACCTCGCTCAGCCGAGGCATCTCTGTTACATCCAACCTGGAGGAGCGGCATGTCCCTGTGGTTGAGACCAAGACCCACCCAGATGAAGAGGAGAGCCTGGAAAAAACAGTGTCTCAAGGTAATCAAGCACTTTAATGTTTTGGTACCAGTTCTCTCTCAGTGGAAGTGGGAAAACTGTCCAATGCCTTTACACCTTTCCCCATAAAACGCTTCCTCCAAGCCTCCTAGCACTACTCTGTATTAATTCTAGAATATGAATATGCCATCGTTTATTTAGCCCTTTCTCTCAATGTTGCAAGTTCAACTAGTCTCCAGTATTAATTTCTCAGCAGGAGATTCCAAAAGTGGAATTAAAGAGTCAAAGAGTATCTGAATAGTCAGTGCTAATAGCTAGTACAAATGATCAGTCCTAAAGGGCCCGTACACTCCAGGGGGAAACAAGGGCTGCTTGTCATTTTAAAACAATGTTTATAAAGAAAGAGTTACTCCCGTTTCCATCAGAGCCCATGTGCGTGCTGGGTGTGTCCACGTGCACACACACGCCCACACACACACCTATATCTCCAATTTGCAGCTGACAAGACGCAGAGCATAGACAACCACTCCACGGAGGAAGTTGGAGAAGTAGATGACAACCCGGTGAGCAGGGCGATCGCCCGCCACCTGGGCATCGATATCTCCGCCGAAGGCCGCCTGGCCAAGAACCGGAGAGGCATCGCCATTATTGTCCATGGGACACCTTTGTCAGGTAGGCCACAGCTCTGTGGGGTCGCCCTTTTGGGGTTTCTGCAGTTTGCACTTGTAATTTTTGAGACAATATAAATTCTGCTTGAACTTTAGGTACCAAAGGATTATCCCCAACCTGTTAAAACTAAAACCTTCAGAGATACAGGGTGAGAGAAAAAACAGAGACACCTCATTTTTAATCAATACCACTCTGAATTGTTTGAGCTTGTTTTCTTCCAATAATTTTAAAGCATTAAAATATTAGAGAAGATCCAAGACATTAAATTATTTAAAAAGAGAAGAAAAATATGTGGAAACCCTCTGGCCTGGCAATATCATTTCTAAAAATTTATCTTAAGAAAATAATAATGTGGACAAAGATTAACTGCATGACTATTCACTACATCATTGTTTACCATTAAAAAAATGGGAGCAACAGAAATGTTCAATATGGAGTTAATTAAGCCATAGTGCATTCATAGAGTGAATTACGTAGGCATTTAAAACTGTGTCTTGTACACCCATGTTCATTGTAACATTATTCACAGAAGCTAAAAGCTAGAAATAGTCCAACTGTCCATTGACGTATGAGTAGATATACACAGTGTGGTAGAGTGGGGTATTATTCAGCCTTAAAACACTAGAAAGTTCCGACATGCTTTCTGACAACATGGGTGAACCTTGAAGACATGATGTTAAGTGAAGTAAGTCAGACACAAAAGGACAAGTACTGTAAGATACCATTTTATATGAGGTACTTAGAGTAGCCAAACTCATAAAGAAAGAAAGTAGAATGGAGTTATTAGGGGCTGTGGGGAGAGAGGAATAGGGGGCTTACTGTTAATGGCGACAGAGTTATCAGGCTCAACCAGATATTCCAGGATAATCTCCCATATCAATATCCTTAACTTAATCACACTTGCAAAGTCCCTTTACTATATAAACTAACATATTCACAGGTCCCAGGGATTAGAATATGACATCTTTGGGGGGCCATTTTTCGGCCTGCTATATAACCCATTTCTTTTTATAAGAAATATAAGTAAAATGGTTATATACACATACTTAGCAGCCATATGCTAACTGTAATTTCTCTGGATGAGCAAACTGTGGATCACTTTTTCTTTTCTCCTGTCTGTTGTTCCTAAGTTTCTTCTTTCTTTTAATGAATATATATTTTAAAAATAAGGGGAAAAACTCAACACAAGTTATTCTTTAAACCAAAAACCTCTCCCCATTAGAATCAGAGCCAGTTTGAGCTACAAGATTTTTAAAGATCGTCTGATAGAACCACGTTAAACTGAGAAGATCCAGAGAGGATGTGGGTCGCCATCACATTGCACATGGCAGATCAGTGGTAGAATTGGACCAGAATCCAACTTCCTGACTCCTGGCTCAGTTCTCTCCCCTCTTTTCTGCTGCCACCTCTGGCAACATGACAGACTTAGAGGCAGAACACTTGGAGAGATCGCTTTACAAGGGCCTCAGTTCTAGAAGCTTCTTCTGCCTAGGACACTGAACAAATGAAAGCCAGGAAATTCAGCTCCCTGACCTTTTTTATAGGAAAGTCAGCCACTGCAGTCAGCCTGGCCAAGTACTACAGTGCAGCCTGCTTGAGCATCGACTCCATAGTGCTGGAAGCCATCCTGGACAGCAGTAACGCCCCAGGGCTCCGGGCCCGCGAGCTCTGCATCAGGGCTGCCATAGAGCAGTCCACGAAGGAAGGGGAGGAGTCTGGTAAGAGGTGTTCTCCCTGACTTTGTATGCGCAAGTGGCCAGCACGCCCACTGCTAAAGCCCATCTGCTCTGTTTCTCCCACTGAACTTTGCCCCCACAGCCCCAGTGAAGGCTGCCTTGTAATACGCTGCTGGCTTAGTAGCTCAGGGAAGAATTGCCAGTTTTAGCAGCTCTCCTGGCTGCCTAAGGCAGGCACACACTTGGCTGTGCAGGGAACAGGACCATGGATAAGACACGTCCCACATCTCTGGGGGTCGGCATGCGACATGGGCTTGTTCAGAGCAGAGAAAAATTATGTAGCAGAAGTCCTGGCTTCTGGGAAAGAGCAAGTTTGGGATCCTTGGGATCCAACAAGCGTAATTTGGGAAGTTTTCATGGAAATGAGCTTCGAAGTAGCAGGAGAATGTTGATAGGTAAAGATGGCGGCCAGAACACGCCAGACCAAGACAGCAGGGAAGCTGACAGTAGATTAGAGACGGGAAGGCAGGCTGAGGCCAATTGCAGTTAACCTGGATGCCAAGATTAGGAACTTGGATTTCATTTTGGAGGAAAAGAGGAGCTGGGCTGGAAGAGAAAGCAGGGCAGACTAACTTGGGATCCACGGGGAAGATGAGCAGCGAGGAGCCCTGGACTCCAAGCCAGGCTCCGCTGACCCACCTTCATCCAGCCTCCGAAGGTGGGGCCTCTTCTCCAGCCCCACTCAGCCAGCTGCAGGTGGAAGGCTTTTGTATTCCTCAGGAGAATCACACTAGGTTTCAGCACACCGTCTCCACTGTTGTTTCTTTATTACCCTCCAGTGACTCTTACTGTAAACTCACTCTCTCTGTTGTAGTCCAGGAGGCTGCTTCGGGCCAAAGTGCCGTAGGACAACTACGACTGAGCAGTGAGACCCTGAGCAAGTTAACCTTGGAAAGTAATCTGGCTACCCCTGAAGCGAAACCTGCAAAGGCTTTGCGTGGAAGCATGCTGCTCCCCAAAAGCAAGGCAGAGAGCCACGCCTCTGGGTCTCAGAAGCAGCATCACCAGCACTCCTCTGAAACACCTCAGGTACAAGCCTGGGCTCCCTGGGACGAGGGCTGGGATCCTTCCTCCTCTTCCTCTGGGGCAGCATGACTTCATTCCTATGGGTGCCCTTCCTCGCCAGGCAGGCCCGAGCACTGTCCCCGCACCGCTTCTCCTGAGAGGAGTGCCCATCCAGCAGGTGTCCAGCAGGTGCATTCAATGCTACAGACACTAGGCTGGGGGCTGGCAAAGTAAAGCCCCTGCCCTCAAGCTGCACCAAGAGTCTGATGAAGGAGATAACCACACATTCATATTTGTAATAAAATGAAACTGATGACAAAAGAGGTGTGTAAAAGCATTAGGTTGCGCCATATGAAATCGCCAATATTTAGCCATTTGGAAACTCCGTAACAGCAATTTCGTATGGATCAACCTAATGCTAAAAGAACACTAAGGATGAAACCACTAATACAAGTTGTGGGAGGGCTTCAGGGGAGACTTGGGGAGTCATAAAGTAGTCAGGGAGTTTGAACCATGATCCGTGGGCCACAGGACTTCAAGAACAATCTCAGCAGAATAGTAGGTGCTATAGCCAGAGACAGTTGATGGTGCTGGGAGAGACAGGTGGGTGAAGAGTTGTCGGTGGGAAAGCAGTCAAGTGAGTGTAGGCTTCTAAGACTTAGGAAGGAAAGGAAAAGAGAACAGGCACTGAAGGAGCAAACCCAGGGTCAAGAGATTTCTTTCTCCAAAAGGAGGTGGAGGCATAAGCAGGTGTATAAAGAAAGTTGCTCCTTGGAAAGTATAATGTAATGATCCACCCAAGAGGGAATAAGATGCCAGGAGGAGACAGGGAAAGCAGGATTAAGCAGAGTCAAAAGAGATGGAAGCCAGCTTCCTGTAGAGCCAGTAAAGGTGAAAACAGATACAGCTGCATGTGGGAGAAGCAGGGTGGAGAACGGAGGTTGGAGAAAGTCTAGCTGAGTGGCTCTAGGATGCGCATGGGACATGAGGTCTTTGTGGAGAGTGTTGAGGAGATTGAGGTTGCAGATCATGGCCAAGAGAGTGGCAGAGCACTGATGTGTCCCCTCTCAGGGAAAGAGCCAGAAATTGGTGGTGCACCAGAATAAAGATAATTGAGAATTCTGATGGCTCAGCCAAGATGGGAAGTCATGACTTCACAGTTGGGAGATTTCTCTAAGCACCTCCTGGCAGCCCTCAAGCAGAGCTCGAAAGAGCAGTTGTCATCATTGCAGGGGCTGGATGTGCTCAGAACAAGGGGCAAGGGAGTTGAACGTGGCATCAGCATCTGGGAGGTCCAGCCTGGATAGATGAGGAATTAAGAGGAGGGCAATAGAATGTGAGAACAGGAGGAATGAAAGGGCCTGTGGACCTTGTTACAGTCTGAGAGTGCCATAGGGGGCGGAGGAGAGGTGGGTATTCCAGAGAAGGCTGCTAAGGCAGACAGAGTGGAGGTAAAAGACTTGCAGGAGAGGATGCCCACATGTCGGATGGGGCAGGTGAATGGAGGGTTGAATAGGGCAAGCAAATGGAGTGGAGGCAAAGGTCTTCCTGTGAGAGGAGGTGTGCAGGTTGGGTGGGGCGTCCACCAGGCTGACTCTGTGCCAGGGGATATCTCTGATCTTCGCTTTAGCTGTACATTCTTCTAACACCTTGAAAATTGAAATAATTGACTCAGTTTCTCTTAGAGCATCATCATTGTAACACTCTTTTCCAAGATCTATGATATTCTTTACATAGATATTTATGGATGAACTAAAACTCATATATTCATATTAAATAGGTTGTCATGGGAATCATTTTCTTTAGTTTGGTTCCACCCATCTGGACACTGAAGTAAGGCTCTTTACAGTATATCAAAGTGGTAGAATTGGACCAGAATCCAACTTCCTGACTCCTGGCTCAGTTCTCTCCCCTCTTTTCTGCTGCCACCTCTGGCAACATGACAGACTTAGAGGCAGAACACTTGGAGAGATCGCTTTACAAGGGCCTCAGTTCTAGAAGCTTCTTCTGCCTAGGACACTGAACAAATGAAAGCCAGGAAATTCAGCTCCCTGACCTTTTTTATAGGAAAGTCAGCCACTGCAGTCAGCCTGGCCAAGTACTACAGTGCAGCCTGCTTGAGCATCGACTCCATAGTGCTGGAAGCCATCCTGGACAGCAGTAACGCCCCAGGGCTCCGGGCCCGCGAGCTCTGCATCAGGGCTGCCATAGAGCAGTCCACGAAGGAAGGGGAGGAGTCTGGTAAGAGGTGTTCTCCCTGACTTTGTATGCGCAAGTGGCCAGCACGCCCACTGCTAAAGCCCATCTGCTCTGTTTCTCCCACTGAACTTTGCCCCCACAGCCCCAGTGAAGGCTGCCTTGTAATACGCTGCTGGCTTAGTAGCTCAGGGAAGAATCGCCAGTTTTAGCAGCTCTCCTGGCTGCCTAAGGCAGGCACACACTTGGCTGTGCAGGGAACAGGACCATGGATAAGACACGTCCCACATCTCTGGGGGTCGGCATGCGACATGGGCTTGTTCAGAGCAGAGAAAAATTATGCAGCAGAAGTCCTGGCTTCTGGGAAAGAGCAAGTTTGGGATCCTTGGGATCCAACAAGCGTAATTTGGGAAGTTTTCATGGAAATGAGCTTCGAAGTAGCAGGAGAATGTTGATAGGTAAAGATGGCGGCCAGAACACGCCAGACCAAGACAGCAGGGAAGCTGACAGTAGATTAGAGACGGGAAGGCAGGCTGAGGCCAATTGCAGTTAACCTGGATGCCAAGATTAGGAACTTGGATTTCATTTTGGAGGAAAAGAGGAGCTGGGCTGGAAGAGAAAGCAGGGCAGACTAACTTGGGATCCACGGGGAAGATGAGCAGCGAGGAGCCCTGGACTCCAAGCCAGGCTCCGCTGACCCACCTTCATCCAGCCTCCGAAGGTGGGGCCTCTTCTCCAGCCCCACTCAGCCAGCTGCAGGTGGAAGGCTTTTGTATTCCTCAGGAGAATCACACTAGGTTTCAGCACGCCGTCTCCACTGTCGTTTCTTTATTACCCTCCAGTGACTCTTACTGTAAACTCACTCTCTCTGTTGTAGTCCAGGAGGCTGCTTCGGGCCAAAGTGCCGTAGGACAACTACGACTGAGCAGTGAGACCCTGAGCAAGTTAACCTTGGAAAGTAATCTGGCTACCCCTGAAGCGAAACCTGCAAAGGCTTTGCGTGGAAGCATGCTGCTCCCCAAAAGCAAGGCAGAGAGCCACGCCTCTGGGTCTCAGAAGCAGCATCACCAGCACTCCTCTGAAACACCTCAGGTACAAGCCTGGGCTCCCTGGGACGAGGGCTGGGATCCTTCCTCCTCTTCCTCTGGGGCAGCATGACTTCATTCCTATGGGTGCCCTTCCTCGCCAGGCAGGCCCGAGCACTGTCCCCGCACCGCTTCTCCTGAGAGGAGTGCCCATCCAGCAGGTGTCCAGCAGGTGCATTCAATGCTACAGACACTAGGCTGGGGGCTGGCAAAGTAAAGCCCCTGCCCTCAAGCTGCACCAAGAGTCTGATGAAGGAGATAACCACACATTCATATTTGTAATAAAATGAAACTGATGACAAAAGAGGTGTGTAAAAGCATTAGGTTCGCCATATGAAATCGCCAATATTTAGCCATTTGGAAACTCCGTAACAGCAATTTCGTATGGATCAACCTAATGCTAAAAGAACACTAAGGATGAAACCACTAATACAAGTTGTGGGAGGGCTTCAGGGGAGACTTGGGGAGTCATAAAGTAGTCAGGGAGTTTGAACCGTGATCCGTGGGCCACAGGACTTCAAGAACAATCTCAGCAGAATAGTAGGTGCTATAGCCAGAGACAGTTGATGGTGCTGGGAGAGACAGGTGGGTGAAGAGTTGTCGGTGGGAAAGCAGTCAAGTGAGTGTAGGCTTCTAAGACTTAGGAAGGAAAGGAAAAGAGAACAGGCACTGAAGGAGCAAACCCAGGGTCAAGAGATTTCTTTCTCCAAAAGGAGGTGGAGGCATAAGCAGGTGTATAAAGAAAGTTGCTCCTTGGAAAGTATAATGTAATGATCCACCCAAGAGGGAATAAGATGCCAGGAGGAGACAGGGAAAGCAGGATTAAGCAGAGTCAAAAGAGACGGAAGCCAGCTTCCTGTAGAGCCAGTAAAGGTGAAAACAGATACAGCTGCATGTGGGAGAAGCAGGGTGGAGAACGGAGGTTGGAGAAAGTCTAGCTGAGTGGCTCTAGGATGCGCATGGGACATGAGGTCTTTGTGGAGAGTGTTGAGGAGATTGAGGTTGCAGATCATGGCCAAGAGAGTGGCAGAGCACTGATGTGTCCCCTCTCAGGGAAAGAGCCAGAAATTGGTGGTGCACCAGAATAAAGATAATTGAGAATTCTGATGGCTCAGCCAAGATGGGAAGTCATGACTTCACAGTTGGGAGATTTCTCTAAGCACCTCCTGGCAGCCCTCAAGCAGAGCTCGAAAGAGCAGTTGTCATCATTGCAGGGGCTGGATGTGCTCAGAACAAGGGGCAAGGGAGTTGAACGTGGCATCAGCATCTGGGAGGTCCAGCCTGGATAGATGAGGAATTAAGAGGAGGGCAATAGAATGTGAGAACAGGAGGAATGAAAGGGCCTGTGGACCTTGTTACAGTCTGAGAGTGCCATAAGGGGCGGAGGAGAGGTGGGTATTCCAGAGAAGGCTGCTGAGGCAGACAGAGTGGAGGTAAAAGACTTGCAGGAGAGGATGCCCACATGTCGGATGGGGCAGGTGAATGGAGGGTTGAATAGGGCAAGCAAATGGAGTGGAGGCAAAGGTCTTCCTGTGAGAGGAGGTGTGCAGGTTGGGTGGGGCGTCCACCAGGCTGACTCTGTGCCAGGGGATATCTCTGATCTTCGCTTTAGCTGTACATTCTTCTAACACCTTGAAAATTGAAATAATTGACTCAGTTTCTCTTAGAGCATCATCACTGTAACACTCTTTTCCAAGATCTATGATATTCTTTACATAGATATTTATGGATGAACTAAAACTCATATATTCATATTAAATAGGTTGTCATGGGAATCATTTTCTTTAGTTTGGTTCCACCCATCTGGACACTGAAGTAAGGCTCTTTACAGTATATCAAAGGCAGCAGGAAGTCCAAATCCTGACTCCAATAAGCTCCCTGGCAATAAATAGGTAACTTAAAACCCATTTAGGATCATAGTACAAATCAGAGCTCATAGACCCCCACATGTGGCTGCCTGCACTGCTTTGGTGTGACAGGAATCAAGTGGTTTGGACAATAGCCACCCTGTAGCAGTGCTTTACCCAGAGATGGCTGTTGGGTCTCCTACCACAAAAACTCTGCAATAACTGACACTATAATTGCAAATGGGAAGAAATGTGTTGTCTGTAATATAATGAAGATATGATCTGTAATGTAAGGTCATTGAATTATAAATCACTTGTTCCAGGAAAGCACCAGATAAAAATCCTGATCTTGGGAATATTTAATCCAACACTCTTGCTTCTCAGTTCCATGGCCCCCCTGGCTACCCACTACCATGATCATTTCTGGACCTTGCCCATCATCACCCATCAGCTCCAACACCTCTGTATCACATGGCCTACTTTCTGACAACCATCTTCTAGCTTCCCGTGGTTTATTTCCCGTGGGAAATAACTGGGCACACTGAAACCTCCAGTCCACGTCTTTGGTGCCTACCACCCTTTCACTTCCTTTCTCCTCCAGTTTGGATTCCGTGCTCCGTCTGCCTTGCCCATCCCCCTCTGTTGTTCTCTCCAAGTAAAACTTCACGCAGCCCAGGTAAACCCAGTTCTGTGCCTCCTCTATGCAGGGTAGCCGAACATTGCTGGAGAAAACCCTCATCTCTCCTGAGTGGTCTTAATTTTCATTTAAGACCACCCACCTCAAGTGGGCCCTTTGGTCTGTCCTAGTGAACTTGCCCTCCATTTCTTCAAGTGAACTGTTTCACTGCTCTCATGACCCTCCAAACCCCTAAGACGCTTTCCTCTTCCACCTTCTTAGCTACTGATCTCTCCTCTGACTTCACGGAGACAGAAGACATCCACCCTATCCTAACTCTCCCAGCCAGCCTTCATCCTAACCCAGCACCACGCCTTCCCTGCAGCTGAGCAGGGCTGCCCCAGCTCTTATCCAGGGCCCTGCATGCACGCACGGACCCCACCCCTTCCTCCCTTACAAGGGCTGAACGCCTGCAGCTGTCCGCTAGCTCCCAAGTGTGTTTTTCCCTACGCATTGGATCGGCCAGTGAGCACCTGTGCATGCCGTATTACCTCCCATCTTTAAAAATACTTCCCCAGGACCCCCGATCTGCCTCCAGCTGTTGCCCCAGCTCTGAAATCCTCTCCACAGCTATTCCTCCGAAGAATTGCTGCACGACTGCCTCGCCACCCTCACCACTGTTCTCTCTCCGCCTGTCCAGCGAGGCCTTTCTCCTCACCACTCCACCGCTACTCTTCGCATTCATCCTGCCCAGTCCAGCGTCCAGTTGTCTGTCCTCAGCTGGCAACCCCTCCTCCAGCAAGGCTCTCTCCACTGCTTTCAGGACCCCACGCTCTCCTCCTCATCGGGGGCTCCCTCCACTCCTCCAGCTTCTCCGTCTGCCCCAGATCACTCGCTTTGGGAGGTAGGCTAGAACTGAGACGCCTCATTCCTTTTTCTTTATAGGTGACCTCGTCCAGTTGATTACTTAAATATTTTCAGTTTGCTTATGACCCTCAGATTTCTTTCTCCAGCCCTAACTTCTCCCCATGCTCAGTTCATATATCCAAACTCACATTTAATATCTCTGTTGAATGGCTTAGAGACATCTCAGAATTTGTATGTCTGAAAAGAGATTCTCACTCCCTCCCCCCAAACCAAACAAGACAAAAAAAAAATCATTCTTCCCTTAGTTTTTCCTTTCTTAATAAGTAATTTCACCATTTTCCAACTTGATCAAGTCAAAACCCAGGGATTCTAGATGTGTATCTTTCTCTCACATCCCATCCCAAATCCTATCAGCTCTACTTCCAAAATAGATCCTGTATCAGCCACTTCTCACCCCTCCCACCACGGCCATCCTTGTCCCTGCCTTGGCCATGGGCATATCTAACTAACTAGTCTTCCTGCTTCCACTCTTGTCACCTCATGCAGCAGGTAGAGTGACCTTTAAAAAATAAAAATCAGATCACTTATCTGCCTTAAACATGCCAACAACTCCCCCTTATACTTGGAATAAAATCCACATTCCTTCCCATGGCCTACAAGCCCTGCACATTCTAGCCTGGCCATGTTCCCCACTGCTCACACTGAGAAGGCTCTCTTTTCAGGATCCTGTCTCATTCTTTCACACCATCCAGGTAATGCGGCCAGTCTCTCTAACAGCCAGTGTCCAACCCTGTCATTGCCCCTTATTCCTCCACCTGATTCTCTTCACCAGCACTGAACACTCTCTGTAATCAATTACTGATGTATGTCTTTGTGCGCTTCTTTTCTGTTTCCCCATTTGAATGCAAGGCCCACACAGGCAGCAAGATCACCAACCTTGTTTGTTGCATCCCAAGGACTACTGGGGTCCCTGGTGCATAAAAGGTGCTCAATAACTATTTGCTGAATGAATGAACAAATGTGTGCTTTTCAGTACATATACAAAGCACTTTTCACAGTGTTCCTGCTCAAAGCTTCCAGCAGTTCTCTAAGGAAAATAGAAATCTTCCATTTTACAATGCCATCCCCACTTTACAGATGAGGAAATGAAGCCCAGAAAGATTAGGTGATTTTCCCGAAGTCACGTGGCATGCAAGTGTAGGAGTTGTTGGGATACCAAGTCGTATTCTAACTGCTGATCCTTCTCCCGCTCAACAGGTTTCCTCCAGCCCTCTCCCCTTGGGGCCTGAGCAGCGCAGGCTCAGTGTCGGCACCAGTATTGGAGGTGAGACCGGGCTCATGAGCTGTGTGCTCCCTGAGGAATTACTGGTTCAGATCCTGGCCGAGCGCATACAGGTGCGTCCCCACCCACCTGCACAGAGCTGCAGAGCTGCGGGGGTGAGCTGAGATTCTGGGCCATCACCCACCTACAGCAGCTCAAAACCCCAGAGCCCTGGAGAGGAACGATGGATTTCTTCACCCCCAGCAGTCATTTACTTGTCCTTTTGCTGCCCTTGGCAGCCCCTGACCCTGTCTTCAGTCTGCTGAAGCCACTCACCTTAAAGGACCAGTGAGCAGAAGGTTATACACACTCCCAAAAAAATAAGAGTCATGGTACAGACCTACAGTGGTATGTTAAAAAGTATAACATGGAGCCATTAAAGTTAGAGTCTGAAGCTATCCATGTTCATTGCTGTAAAACTGTATTTTCAATATATTATTGAGTGAGAAAGGCAGATTATGAAATCCTATGTAAGGCACAATTACATTTCTAAAAAATATTTATAAATATCATACACAGTAAAAGTTCTCCAAGTACATGTTCACTGGTTATCTTTGGATAGCAGGATTACAGATTTTTAGTCTTCATATATTTTTTGGTTATTTTACAATGCCATATTGCTTTTAAAGTCAGAAACACAATAGCTGTTTCCCTTTTTTTTTTTAATTTTGTAAGTGTTGTGCAGTTAAAGAAAAGAAAATAAGACCAGCAGGATTTGGGAGGGGATCACTAAATTGCTAAATTACTCACCAGGTCCTGGAGTTGTGCGTTTGCTTTAGTTTTTCAAACTGAACCACATTTAAATATAACACAATTAGACTTGAGGTTCCCAGATGTGGAGGAATGTCATCACTGGAAATGAGTCACTTCATTCGTGCTACTCTGTAAAGGTACTAGCACTCCCCGCTGATTTGAGCAAGGCGGTCTTATAAGTAATTGTGCAGGTGTTTCATGCATCCGATCAAAGGCTGGGAATCGTGAGTAAAGTCCAGAGTAAACTGGTAGAGCTGGGCCACTCAAACTGTTGGTCTCTGAGATACCGAGTTCCCACTGCTTCCTTCATTTCCTACAAAGGGGAAAAACACAGCAGCTGAACTAGTAGCGTATTTAGTGATGTAACTGATTTACATTCTGGCACAAGGTTCTTGTCTCATCAGACACTGGTAGTAATCAGTTCCTGGCCAGCGGCGGCCGGTCTGACTCTGAGTAACTGCGGTACGGCACGGGCTGCTCAGTTGCTAATGTTCACAAAATCATTACACTCCACTAAGAAAGCTACACAGGGCCCGCCAGGCACTGCTGTCCATGCCGTCTGCTGTTCTACACGTGGAACATCGTTCCTTTGTACCTCCCTTCCCTGCACCTCGGGGGCCTTCCCAGACCCTCACTTCAGAATTACTTGTCTTTCTTTATTTCTACAGAGACAGAATAAATCCTTTATTCTACATATACATATGACACAGACCTTTCATGATTGATAAAACATTCTTGTTTTTCTCTTTTACTTTGTGGCAGCACCTTGAATGTAGCAGGCAGAAGGGCAGGGTAATGGTGTCTGCACTGGGGCCAGGTAGGTCTGCAGAACCAGTTGCAGCAGCAGGGAAAGAGCCAGAGGACAGAGCCACCCCCGGGTAAAGAACAGATGACCTTGCGGCCGTGGTAACATCTGCACCCTCTCGGGTTTCAGCTGAGTGACTGCTACCGCGGGGTGGTGTTCGATAGCCTGGAGACGCTCTTTGCTCGGACTGTTCCTGCCGCTCTGCTCTGCCTGCTGAAGGCCATCGGCAACCGCGAGCACATCTACGTTCTCAACATGGCCCAGGATTACACAGCCATGAAGGCCCAGGAGAAGGCCAAACAGGAGCAAGAAGGCAAGGCCCCATTCCCTGGGCTGCCTTCCCAAGCCCCGCCAGGTCTTTCCTTTCCACAGAGCTTCGGGCTCTCTGAAACGCCTCCCCAGGGCCACTGCCCGTGGGCCTTACTGACACGATTACATTTCCCATTTCACTGGTGCCCCACCTCTGCCCTGTAAGGTGGCTGGGAGTTCTTATTTCCCACTCTGCATGTGAGGGAAGTGAGACACTGGCTTGTTGAGAGACTGAAGAATGAAGGGGGACCCCAGCTCTTCCCACAGCAGGCCCATCCCCTTTCCCGCGGTATCACAGTGCATCGCTCCACATCTCTGGGATACCGCCGGTGTGAGGGGGGCACATGACTGACTCAGGTGACCAGTTAGCCTGTTGGTTTTATGTAAGCCAATTGTTAATGTCCTATAAAACTAGAGGTGCTGATAAACTTTACAGAACAACATCTATATTTTAGCCTTCTACGTACAGGCATTGCAGCAAACGTTTTGTACACTTTAAATGTCTTTACATGGCCCTTCAGGTTGTTTAATCTTCACAGTAACCTTGTGAAGGTGGTTGTGCCCATTTTTCAGATGAGGAAAATGAGGCTCTGAGCTATCAAGTGTTATATAAGATCACATAACAAAGTAGTTGCAAATTATAACTCTAAAACCTTTACTTTTTCTGTCATTACACCTGTGGCCTGGAAAAAATATTCAGTGTTTGAAAAAAAGATACATGCAGTGTAATGATGGCTTAAGTTTCCAGTTTAGTCAGAAGCAGGCCTAGCAAATCCTGGCGCCCAAGGGAGGAGGTGACACTGTCCCTGGGAGGCAAAATCCTGCTCTTGCTCCAGCTCTGACCACGTACTGCCCTTCCTTACCTCTCTCTTCTGGAACAATCTTAATAGACCAGTGTTTTTCTATTTGGCACATTTACAAACACTGAGCTCTCTTAGTTCTTAAACAGACCTCAAAGACTGCTTCCTCGTATTCTCACCCAGGGAAAAATTAGGAAGAATGACCAGGCACCTCCCGCAGTATTTTCACCTCCAGCTTCCTGGTTCTCTGGAAGGCTCATTTCCCCACAGTGATCAACTTGAAAGAATGAATCTCCTTTCATTTTCTCAGTTTTCTATGGATGGAAGTCTTCCACGTGGCATTACTGGGCCCCTCTTCCCTACATCATCTGCATTTGAAAAAGCCCTGGGGCTGCGTACAGTAACCATACTATTACATTAACATCTAATTTCTATTGAATACTTAAGGCTACGCCAGGCACCGGGCTAGGTGCTTTACATGATTGCCTATGTGATCCCCACAACAGCCCCATGGAGGAGTCATTCTTCCTTAGCACTACCCCTTGCTAAGTGTACGAAAAAGAACTCAGACACAGATCTCTGAGCCCTCAGCTCAAACCTACAAAAATGTAAGGTGAGCGTGTTGCGCCAGTGAGGTGTGAAAAAGAAACCAAGAGCCTTTGTGCTGAATGTGAGCCACACTTCTGGACCCGGAGTCTGTAGGGCATGGAAGATGACTCCCCTTGGGCTGCAAGTGGTCCTGTCACCCTGAGCAGTTGGGTGGCATGTGCTCGTAATGGGTAACATCAATAGGTGATGTATTACTTCCCTATTACTGCCGTAACAAACAACCACAAACCTGGGGACTCAAAACAACCCAGATTGATTATCGGACGGTTCTGGAGATCAGAAATCCTAAAATCGAGGTGTCAGCAGGGCTACATTCCTTTAGCAGCTCTAGAGAAGAATCCTTTTCCTTGTCTTTTCCAGCTTCTAAAGGCCACCTGCATTCCTTGGCTTGTGGTCCCTCCCTCACAGCCCTCTGACCTCTGCTTGCATTGTCACATCTCTCTCCCTCTGCTTCATCATCACGTCACCTTCTCTGACTCTGACCCTCCTGCCTCCCCCTTATGAGGACCTTTGGGATTATATTGGGCTCACTCAGATAATCCAGGATCATCTCCCCAGCTCAAGGTCTTGGGCTTAGTCACAGCTGCAAAGTCCTTTCTGCTACCTAAGGGAAGCAGAGGTTCCAGGGATTGGGACATAGACATCTTTGGGGCCACTGTTCAGCCTACCGCAGATGGAGACCAATTTTGAATCTGTGTGAATGAAGGAAAGCGCAGCAGAGATTGGGAACTCAGGCTGCTGCACGAGCCGTCTCTTATTGGCACTGACCTTCTGCACCTGGCTAGGCTGAGAACTAAGCTACTGGGGGACCCTGCAGCCCAAGCTGGTGAGTGACTTCTCGCCTTCCTGTGTCTGTTCCCCCCACAGAGTGCAAACGCAGGGAAGCACTTAAGAAAGAGGAGGAACGTCTCCAATACATGGATGAGGAAGAATATGATGCCTTGGCAGAGGAGGAGAAAATCACATTCGATCGGGAGGTTCAGCAGGCCCTCTGGGAGAGGCAGAAGAGGTGGGAATGAAGGGCTGGCCAGAGTGGAAGTGGTTCCCCTGAAAGCAATTTCCACTGGGCACACAGCCCATCCTGGATCCCAGGGTCATCCTCCAGGGACCGGGGGAGGCATGGCAATGGCCGCAGGAGGCCCAGGAGGATGACCTGCTAAGAGCAGGAAAACGGATGTTGCCACCCAGGGTTCTGGTCACTGCAGCCCTTCAGGGCTTCTCCCATTCTCCTCTCCTCCTTCTCTCTGGAAGGCGTTTGGGCCTGGGCAGAAGGTGACGTAATGTGGTGGGGCAAGGGCTTCTGGCCCCTGTGCTGTCCTGGAGCAACCCAGGGGCCCCTCTCTGCACATGGGCATGGTGGGTGCTCCCCAGAACTCAGCCATTTCGCCTTCCTGGACCACCATCTGGGCCTTCAGCGGTGCTCACCGTCCCCTGAGATCTGACTGCCTCTCCCACTTGGTCCTCAGCCTGGCATTTCACCAGAAACCCTGGTGAGGCTTGGGCAGGCTCCGAAGCCAGAGCTCCTGGCCACACAGCAATACCTGGGCCCACGACTGGATGCCCTCCTCACCACCTAGGGCCCAGGAGACTCATGCTGTCAGATAAGGGGGCAGGGGCAGCAGAACATGTGGCTCTTCTTCCCTCAGATCTTCCAACATTCTGGGGGATGGAGGCTCCATTGCCTACCCCTCCCTAGAATTGCAAACATTGGAGGGGACAGAGCCAAGATACTTGCCTACAGTATACCCCCCTCTCTCCTCTCCCTCTACCTCCAGACTCCCTCTACTGACCCCAAGGAGCTCTCATGTCCTCTGCCCCTGCAGCGTGCCCTCATCACTTCTCCCACATGGTCTGTTATAAACATGCCCGGTCCTCCCAGGGTATGAAAAGCTGCTGGATTCCAAAGGAATCTCTTTTCAATGACCTCATTGCATTCAAGCATTCATCTCAGGGTAGACTTAGAAAATGCAAATCTGATCCTCAAAGCTCAGCAGTGAGTTATTTGTGTGTCACACACACACACACACATTAATGAAGTAATAATGGGTCAGCTTCAGTGAGTACAGAGCCACAGCACCCAAAGCAACTATGAATTCCTGGAGCTGAAAAATTTCAGGGGTGCTATCCCCTCCATATTTGTTTGCACTTGGTGCCCTCTCTGCCATTAGCAGCAGGGCAGACATGACTGAATTCCCAGCAGGAAGGGAAAGAAAGAGAGAGGAGGAGAGGAATGTGGCTTTCAGATCCAGCGACGTGGCTCCAAGCTGGCCATGGTAAGGACTGCTATTAAAAACACCATTTCTAACAAGAAATGAGTATCAAAGGTGACAGTGTAGGAAGCTGGGTCTCATCTGTACTGCCATCAGAACAATCTTTGAAAGTTGTTTTTTTTTTTTAATGCTAACCTCAAGCTTATTTTCAGCCTTGCCTTATTCTCCTATGCAAGATTAGAATAGAAATACAGATTGAGAATTCCTCTTAGTTGGTTTTCAGTTCATCAGTTTTGCTCAATGACCATTCAGAGACAGATGAGAGCCACCCTTTCTTCTTTCTTTGCCTCTTTCCTTCTTGTCCCTCCCTCCTTTCCTCTCTCCCTCCTTCCTTTCTTCCTATTTGCCCAGCTTTCTTTTGTTCCTTCTCTCTTTTTATGCTCAAGAAAGCTCTGCCCCATGTCTCCCCACCAAGCAACCCCAGGCAGAGGAAGGGCTCGGGCAGGAGGGTTTAGGGTTTTCTCTGCTCCTCTGATACAGGAAGCTGAAGAGACTAGCAAAGGAGACGCATGAAAAGAAGCTACAGCAGCAGCTTGAGCGGCAAAAGGAAGAAGATGAGCTGAAACGGAAGGTCAGAAAGCTAAAGCAAGTACCAGTCAAGGAGGAGCTCCCCCCGAAGAAATCTCAAACACCAAGCGGGCAGGTAGCAACCTTCACATGCTTTTTCCCAGAGGCAGAAGCAGAGAATCAGCACTGCAACGAGCCAGTCAGTCTGGCACATTTCCCCTCCAGCAAACTCCCCTAATGCTGTTTGATTTTGTAGGAGAGCAGAATACAGGCGGAAAGGGAGCAGCACTTGGTGAACACTGGCTGTGTGCCCAGTGCCGTGCTTGTGATTTCCCTAATCCTGGCCTTTGGGCATCTCCCCGACCCTGCCAGGCTGAGACATGAACCCCACCTCGCTTGGAGAGAGATGAAATCACAGGTCCAGAACCTCACCCAGTTATGTCTGACCATAGGCCTTGCTCTTTCCACTGTCCCTTGCCGTCCCCTGAATGGTGCTAAATAGGTTTGTATGAAAGACTTGCCTCCGGTAAGCCACATAGCAAAGCCCCTGTGCTCAGTCCAGAGCTCATCCTTGACTGGAGTCAAGGAAGACGCTCCAGGATAAGCTTGTCCTTGCAAACAAGTACCAAGAGTTTGTCCACCTGTCGAGCACAGCAGTCACGTCCTGCCCCCGGGATGCGGGAAAGGCAGAGCAGCCAGAGCAGGGCCCAGGTGGGGATGACAGCCGAGCAGCGTAGCTGGTGTGCACGTGGCTGTTTTCACACCGTGAGTCCTGAGGATGGAGCTACAACCAGACTTCCAGACAAGGTGCAGACTGGTCCCAGCAGGTGGATGGGAGACAGTGGCCACATCTGGGGAGATGTAGGGCATAGGAGTCAGTGTCCGGGGGTCCCAGTCAGGTAGAGCTTGGGAAAGAGTGTGTTCTGAGCATACAGCGCTGGGCACAGAGTTGGGATCCAAAACACGCAGACCTGGAGTTCAGATGGAGACCTGGCCTCCAGCCTCTGCTGGGCTTCCACATCCTCCAAATACAAGTCGTTCCCTCACGGGGCCCTCCTGCCACACAAAATCCACATGTTAGGACATGGGACAGGACGTCCTAACAGAACTCTGGGTGTCCTGGCAGTGACTACAGACGGTGAATGATACCGTAGGAGCTAAGGCCCCCCTCCCTATACAAATGAGGTGAGTGAACCCGCTCCCCCAAGACTGGCCTGTCAGCTCTCTCCGGCCTCTGTTAGGGATCAACAAGTGGAGCAGGGGTCAGTGCACTGAGGTGGAGGAAAGGCCAGCCTTGGGCCACTCGTGCCTCCAGGCCTGACCTTAGGGAGAAGAGCTCTCAGTGCGAAAGGGGACACGGGCTGACTACAGACAGTGAGCGTTAGACTGAGCTGGGTTCTGTGTCACCAAAGAATAACCTCAAACCTATGGAGCCTCCCCAAGGAGGAAATTGGAGCCCACAAAGTAAGTTTAAAAAGGGTAACAAAGAGAATAAAATCGGTTTTTCTATACCAGGTTCATTAAATAAATACATATTTTAAAAAGCCTGGGGCACAGCCAGATTCTAAACTCCCATTGTACCCCCCAATACCCATTAAATACATAATCTATGTGATTTCAGTACCTTGATACTAACAGACACTTTACTCTCCAGCAGATACTGTTTTGTGTTTTTACATGTATTCATGCATTTAATCTTTTTTTTTTTTCGCTTTTTTTAAATTGAGGTACATTCAATAAAATGCACAAATCTTAGTAAATAGCTTAATGACTTTTGGTATGTGTGCACTCATGCAATCATCATCCAGATGAAGATAGCAAACATTCTCACTAATTTTTCCCCCTTTAACTATTCACCCTCCCACTCTTTTCTCCTATGGTAACCACCAGTCTGTTCTCTGTGTCTATGAATCTATTTCAATTTGGCTTCTTTGTTCATTTGTTTCATTTTTTAGGTTCCACATGTAAGGGAAATTATATGGTATGTGGCTTTCTCTGTCTGACTTATTTCAGCTAGCAAATACCATCTAGATCCATCTATGTTGTTGCCAATGGCAGTATTTCACTCTTTTTATGGCTGAGTAATATTCCATTGTGTATATGAACCACATCTTCTTTACCCATTGATTTATCAGTAGACACTTAGGTTGCTTCCATATCTTGGCTATTGCAAATAATGCTGTGATAAACGTCAGAGTGTATATATCTTTTAGAATTAGTGATTTTGTTTTTGGGGGGGTAAATTCCCAGAAGTGGAATTACTAGGTCCTTGTGGTATTTCTGTTTTTAGATTTTTGAGAAGCCTCCATACCCATGCATTTAGTCTTTGATAGTCCTCGGGGGTAGTTATTGAAATTACTATCCCCCTTATACGGTGGGAAAGGGATGCAAAACGCTCCCCCAGGGCCCCGCAGTAGCAAGGGTGCTGCCGGGATCGGACTGCTGCCCTCTGTGGCCTCTCCCAAAGCACGTAAAAGCAAGAGCGGAAGGAGGATTCCTGGGGCTCTGCTCTTGTGGACCCTTCAGAGCTACAGCTCTCAGCCAGGAGTGCATATCACAGGCACTAAGCATCTTTTTCAGAATGCACAATGCCAGGCCCCAACCAGATCTACAGCAAAGAAGGACCCAGAAAAGATGGTCTGATAAGGGGCCCCCAGCTGATTCTTCAGCACAAGCCTAGTGTTTATAAGAGGTGCATGGAATCCTGGGAGGCTTTCTTACAAAACAGAATGTCCTCTTGTTCTTCCTTCTGACTTGCTTTCCCTTCGAGAACTTTTAAAGCATATTTTGTATGTTTTGCCTTCTAGATTCTTACTTTTCCCAAACTAGACATCAAGATGGACACAGCAGAAAAGAAAGTATCTGTTAGGGAGCAGGTGGCATCCGAGAAGGACGAACTAAGCAAGAAGAGAAAGCACCAGCTGGCAGATACAAACATGCTTGGGTTTCCTCTTGTCCAGGAACGAGAGGACAGTGAAGGGGACCTTCCAAAGGACACTGACAAGCCTATGGCCCAGAAGTTTAAGACCTATGAGTTGACTCTGAAGGATATCCAGAACACCCTCATGTACTGGGACCGGAAGCAAGGGCTCCAGCTGCCTCACGGCGGGGCGGATGACACGCCACGCGAGCCCGAAGACCAGCGCCAGGTGCCCTCGGGCGGGCGCAGGGGCCGCAAGGAGCGGGAGCGTGCGGAAAAGGAGCGCCTGGAGCGGGAGCGTGCCAAGAGGGAGCGTCTGGAGAAGCTCCGGGCGCTGGAGGACCGGAGTGATGGAGGAGAGGGCGACACAGAGGAGGAGCACGAAGGGAAGAAGGATCTGGGTGTGCCACTCATAAACATCCAGACGCCCGACTTCGAAGGCCTGAGCTGGAAGCAAGCCCTGGAGAATGACAGGCTTCCCCAGGAGGATCAGGTACAGACTCTCCCTCAGCGTGAAGACGTGGCATCAGGTAGCAGCCGTTGCGCTAATGTTGGTAAAAGGGTTTCTTGGCTATATTCCCTTCATGCTATGAAGCTCTGATGCCCCTTGAATTAAGATATTCTTGGTTTAAAGGGCCTTTTTCCAGTTGGCAAAATTCACAGAAAGTTCCACAGATCTAAATTATTCAGTCTGACTTTCTAAAAAACCACCTGTACGTTTGATTTTTTTTATACTGACACTGGTGTTAAGGGCTGGCAAGGCACGTATACTCTGCAGGGTGAAGCAAGAGTCTCAAATATACTTAGAACTTTTCACACAAGCTTCCCACAATGTCATAAATTATGCCATGAGAAAGCTTTCTGTTCCTAGAAACAAAAGCATTGCATATGCAGCAGTGGTTTGGAGGGATGACAGGTACAGCCCTTGTGCAGGGACAGACTTTTTCTGCAAAATACCAGTAAGCAACTGCTTTGGGCTGCGGACGATGCCCTCTCTGTTGCAACCACTGATAATATGTAAATGGCTGGGCGTGGCCGTGCTCCACGACAGCTTGGTTTACAAAAGCGGGTGGCTGGTCAGACAGTTTGCTGACCTCTGGTTTAGTTTATTCAGAAACTAGATTCAGCCTTAAGAACAGCCGGAGGGGTATGTCACAGGTAAGGGTTGATGGGAGGAGAAGAGTATTTCCACAAGAGGGCGGACTTTGGTGTGATGTGGCCTCACAGTGAGAATCTTGCCACAGCGGCCAGAGGTGGGCTAAAGCAGGAAGAGACACCAGCCAACTCCGCAGTCACCCTGTCTCTCCATTCTGCCCCTGCTGGACTTGGAGAAGGAATCATGGGTGGTGGGGAGGGGTTCTTTTTTGTTTTTTTGTTTTTTTCAGAAATCTGTTCATTGAAAAAGAACATCAAGTCTTGCTTTATACTCCACTACTGTAGCCAAGATACCTTCTTGCCTTGTTTCATTCTCCCCGCATTCCAAGCCACAGGTCAGACGGACTATTGCTGAAAGAACTCCCTGGCTGTTAATATCATAATTGATACAATTTATTCATCCCTTTCCTCACAGCCATTCTAAACCCTGGAAGTGAACTCTAGCTACACATTATTAATCAGGAGATGTCTTTAGCTGCTTGACCCCCGGGTTAGAAACACAAGGTTACGTGAAGACAGTTCCCTGCTAGGCCTACCAGCCCATTTGGTCCACAGGATGGGCGCTCAGGTAGGCTAGAACACTGCTGTTCTAATCCATTAATCCAGAGCTAGTGTGCTTATACTGGGGGTTTTACAAGCTGAAAAGGAAGTTGCTACTACATTTTCAAGCCATCTGCTCTGGAGAATGCTCACTCATACATCAGAGCCAAATGGAAGAACACTCCAGAAATAACCTGTCACTCTTGAGTATCTCTTTCACTTCTCCCTTCATTCCCATCCTCTACCCCATTCCCAGAACCATTGCTTTCTCTCTTTGCTATATTTGACCTGCTCCAATCCAAACTCTCTTTCGTCTTTGGAAAGAAAGAACACTTAAAGGTAAGAGAAAAAAGTAACATGGGATCTGAAAATAGATGGAATGACTCTGTACTAAAGACATCAGAACCTTAATAGTTGGTCTCTTAAAACTAAATAGATTTTCTGAGTGCCTACTATGTGTTAGTTCTTATACTGTGTCAGTCTGGTTCCTGTCCTAATGGAGGTTACAGTCCAGTTGCAGGGACAGGCAATTAAGCAGCCACAGTAAAGTAACAGGAGCTATGATCAGAGAGGTACAGAGAGCGTCAGCCTGGTCTGGGGGCGAGGTTCTGGAAAGACTTGCAGAGCTGTGCCAGAGGCCTTCACACTCCTTCCCTGACATGGGCCCACAGCAGGGGCATCTCCCAAGAGTCTTGATGGGGAGGCGGGAGGGTCTGAAGGCCCCTGGGCTCACTAGGGGAGATGGTGAGAGGCAGCCCACTGTGCACAGGAAATTAACCACGGGCTTCTCCTTTAGATCCTGGACATCTTGGGTCTGGGTGCCTCTGGCCCACCCATCCCGCCTCCCGCCTTATTTTCAATCATCTCCTACCCTGCGAAGCGACTGCCTTCGGCCACGACAGAAATCCTGAAGCACTTTGTGTTTGTGGTCCCACCATCTGAGGAGCGCCCCCTGCTGGAGGAGAAAAGAGAAGCACAAGCAGAAGCAGAGATTTCAGCCCCTGCAGCCGCTGTGAAGGTAAAGAGCCGGCGGCAATTTGTCTTCTTGACCGTGGCGCAGAGACAAGGTCAGCCTCCACGTGGCCACACTTGAGTATGGTATTGGGTATCCTGATCACTGAGTTTTCCCTCAACGTTTCAGGAGGACCTGCCTAAGGACCCCACAGGAGCTGCTCCAAACTCCCCCTTCCCCAGGACTGACTTTTCCTGCTTCCTAAAAGGAGACCAAAAATGACTGATTCTCATCTTCCAACCTTTCCGATCCCATGGGTGGTTTAGGGAACTTGTCAAATTATTCTGAAGCTCATTTGCAAGAAAAAAATAAGTAGAGCAAGCTCCTTTTTAAAGAAAGATACAAGAATGTATTATGAGGCTAAGGCAACTCACACAGTGCCTGAGAAGACAAGAATCAACGGACACAAGTCGGGGGAACACACCCCACTGGTGAAAGGGCAGGTCATTAAAGAGACTGAGGGGGAAGATTGGATATTTGGGGTAAAGTCATTTTTTTTATCTCCTCACCTAACACAATATAGTAAAATTCATTCTGCTGGGTTAAAAGTACAAGCTATCAAAATGAAATCATATAAAAGTAAAAAAAAACAAGCAATTAATAGAATAAATTTTACAGGAAAAGTAGATTTGACCAATAATATGCAGAAGGCATGTTTATTAAAAATTATAGAGGAGCTTTTTACCCCCAGAGAAGTCTAGTGGCCCAAAATTTGAATTTCTCTACTCAGCCTCCTACAAGCCATGCACATTAGCAAAGAAATAAAATCAGAGGCAAAGGCACTGTCTGCAGCTCAGCTTACAACTGGGTCAGTTTACAACCGGGTAGGAAATCAGCATCAGAGGTCAGCAGCGTCAGTGGGCAGGCCTCACTACAGCAGAGTCCAAATAAACAGATAAAGACAAAAAACTGCCGCCATCGGAGGTGACTACCACACCAACCTCCTTTCTGGAAATTGGTCAATAACAGGAAAGAGTTAAGTCTTTAACTTGTCATTTTTTAGGAGGAACTCTAGTTTATTAGGGAATTGACAAAGGAAAGTTTTTCATTCCAGAAGAATGGCAGCTAAAATTATGAAAAGAATGGTGGACTTAGAAAAGCACTATTCTCTTAACCCTAGTGAAATAGTTACTAAGGAGCACCAGTCAATAGAAAAAGCAGTGATTTGTTGGGGAACAAAGCTCTCAGTCTGAGCCACAGCATCACCCCAGGGTCAGCTGCAAAGGGGAGAGGCTGTGTCTTCATGGCCAGATGTGACGGGCCCCACTCCAGCCGCGTGAACACACTTTACACCTATAATTGTCTGTCAATCTGACATTATTTGTCCCCGGTTGTGACAGAGTGTAATACACACCATCCACTGTGAGTCTAATCAAACTTGGAAACCCAATTTTCAGTTTAGAGGAAATACAGGGAAGAAAGGAGTAAGTTAAACGGCACTCTGAGAATAGTCAGAAAATTTCAGGCTGTAAAGGACACAGATCTGGTCTCTTCAAAAAGCCAATGTGCTTGGGATGGGGGGATCGGTCTAGATTAAAAGATACTAAAGAAACACAACAAAATGCAGTAGAGGGACACGCTCCCTGCTAGCGTCAAGCTTTCCATAGGGGTTCAGCCTCCTTCCCAGGGAGTGGGGAGCCACGGAAAGTGGTAGACCCCTCTGCGCTTAACCTCCTTGCTACTCTGGTGCAGCAGGACTGCCCAGCTGGGCTCTCGGCCACCGCCCGTCCCAAGCCTGCCGCGCAGTCACCCCAGCCCGCGGGCATGCTGTAGGCCTCTGTGACTCCGGAGTGTGTGCGTGTAAGAAGAGTATTTACAACCTTGTGCTTATTTCTAATTAAGGCCCAGGAAGAGCAGCCTCTCTCCTCTAAGGTGAGCAAACAGAAAGGGAGAGAAAAAACGGATCAGGCCCGAGAGAGTCAGAAGGACAAACGTCGCACGGCCTTCAACAGGAAGGGCCTTCCTGGGCCAGCCCCTGGAACCATTGCTCTCCTCTCAGACTTGGACCTGAACAACTTCTCTGCGCAGAGCTCCCAGGAGAAGTTCACCAGGTGGGCCGCCGAGCAGCCCAGGGAAGGGAACGCTGAAGGCCCACATGGTGGGGTGGCCGTCACCACCCCGGACGGGAACAGAGCTGTCCCGTTGCGGGGCCCCACGGTCCACCATGCCTAACCCCAGCTCGACAGGACTTCTCCTGGGCTGCGGTCCTGTCTTCTCCCGGCGCAAAGACACCGTTCTCACTTCAAACCCCACGTGGTCACTTGCAGGCTGAAGCACTTCCGGTGGATCGTGCCGGCCCACGGTGAGGTGACGCTGAGGGTGCACTTCTCTTCTGATGACCTCGGGAACTTTGACCAAACGTTCAACTTCGAGATCCTCGGGACTCGCCGCCAGTACCAGCTTTATTGCCGAGGCACCTGCACTTACCCATACATTTGCCGAGACCCAAAGTAAGTGTGCTTCCCTCTAAAAGAACAGGTGGATAGACACCTACCAGGCCTCCCCATGGTACTTTGAACAAGGCAGCTCTTAACACTGATGTGAGCAGGGTCGGCATCCCAGCCTCTTGTCTGTTGGGCTGCAAGGTCTTGAGCATTGACCAAGCCACGGGAATGCCTGCGGTGAGACTGAGGAAAAGAGAATGGCAGAGAATGAAGAAGGGAAAGTAGTACTTCCTTTTACTGTAGTACTTCGTATCCTATAATATCAATACAGGTGACCCTTGAACAACATGGGTTTGAACTGCATGCATCCACTGACATGTAGATTTTTTTTTCAATAAATACATTGGAAACTTTTTGGAGATTTGCAACCATTTAGAAAAAAAAATTTCCTTTTCTCTAGCTTACTTTACTGTAAGAATATACTATAAAATACATACAACATAGAAAATATATGTAACCTGACTGTTTCTGTTATCTGTAAGGCTTGCAGTCAATAGTAGACTATTAGTAGTTAAGTTTTGTGGGGATAGGATCAAAAGTTATGCATGGATTTTCTACTGCACAGGGGGTCGACACCCCTAGCCCCCAAGTTGTTTGAAGGTCAGCTCTGCAATCTCCACAGGTGGGCCTCATAGTTCTGAGCTACTGAACACTGCTGTGCCCCTTATACACTGCACAAAGGCACCTGGCCAAGCAAGCTAGTGGGGCAACGCCCCTGGGGAACAACCCCTTTTACAGCTTGTCCACCAAGAGGAGCTTTTTTGCAGTTCTCACCATAGAGACCACATTGGACAAGGAACTCAGAAGCTAGCTGATGTCCACCAGACTAGTTTTCCATAGGGATCCTCAGGAATTTTTCTAGCTGGGTGCACTAGAACAGGAAATCCAACTCAACTCTGTCATAAGCCTCTCATGATGAAGGCCACCACTGGGAATCTTCTTACTTGAGTTTAAACCATCGCTACTGTGGGTAGGGAGAGAGGAGGAGTGAGAATAAAGACTCAGCAAAGGTCCTCCAATTATGAGTCATTCTGTCTCCAGACCCCTGGACCGTTTGCTGAACGGGGAGTGTGGGGCTCATGTAAACATCAAGCAGTGGCAGTGAACTTCCTTTCAGACAACCTCTCCTCCTCTTCTCTGCCTCCCCTGTGTTCAGAGTGGTATTCCCTCAGTGGAAGATGGACATGAAGGAAAATGAGGTTATCTTTAAGAAGTATGTTATAAGCTTGGAGACGTTTCACTTTGGGCCACTGCTTTGTGGAAAGTCAAGAGATAAGTAAGTGTTCCATTATTTCAAAGCAGATTTGAGATTCCTGGGTTGGACTCATGAATAGGGTTCCTGTGTTGATGTAGCTTTTACTAATGCTGCCTCAGTTAGCCCTGGGCCACAGGTCAGGAGAACTAAGTTCTCATGTCCTGAGTTTCTGCTAAGTACACAGGTGAATGGGGGTGCCATTTTCCCAGATGGGGAAGCCTGGAAGAGGGCCAGGTTTTGGTGGGGGAAGGGTAAGATCAAGAGCTCACCTTGAGATGCTTGAGAAATATAGCTAGTAGCCACGGAAGGCGGGAAATAGGCTCCATGTTTGGGTTCTCAGAGGAGAGTCTGTCTTTGAGACAACAGAAGCCACGGGCGTAGATGAGATCAGCTGAGAGTTCACAGTAAGGAGAGAAGGACCAAGGATGGAGCCCTGAATGCCTCCGCCACTCAGAAGAGGAGCCAGCAAAGGAGACATGAAAGAGGGCCAGAGCTGTGGAAACCAGGAAAGAGGCTGTGGTCATTCAGAGAGGCATGTATTCAGGGAAGCACCAGAATTAACCAGGGTTTGGGGCCACACAGAACTTGTCCCAGAGGAGAGGGATGACTGGCCCAGAAACAAGGCCCAGTGCAATGGGTATTATTCATGTATTCTTAAAAGACCTTTATAACCTTGTTGAGCTTCAATGTCTTCATCTGCAACCACCCACAGATTTATGAGACTGAACTGGATAATGCACACGGAACTTAGCACAGTGCTGGATGGTGACTACAGTCAGATACAAAGGCCACCACCCCTACAGAAGTTACGCAGAGAACGCTCTCTCTCTCTGACTCTAGTGTGGTCTCTTCCATTTGTTCTCATTCATCTTCCATCAGAGCCTGTCTAAAGAGTTTCCCAGATTATTTCTGAGCACTACGGTGCCCTTTCCCAACCTGGGCAGTGATCTCTGATGAGTGCGTCCTCATTGACATTCCTTGAGCCTTCTGTCGTTCCTTTTCTGTTCAGTACCATTAACTGAGGAGCTTTCAATACCCACAGTGCTCAACTCTGGGGCTCTGTCGCTAAGGTACTAAGGAACAGAAACAATCTGTAACTGTAAACAATGCCAAGCGAATCCACGCCAGAACAGTAATATCCTGCATGTGTCTAGGAGGGCAGGTGAATGAGGAAATCAGATGTGAAATAAGACAGTTACTCAAATGATCAACTTTCCTGAGAATAAATACACTGGAGAGGATAGAGCTGAATATTTCTTAGTTAGAATTCTTTGCAATAATAGAAACTACCATTCATTGGGCATTTGACATCTGCAGCTGTCCTAAGAACATCAAGTATACTAGTTCATTTAATAGTCACAGAAATCCTAAGAGGTATTATCATCCCATCTTAGAGATGAAGACAACAAAGACTCAGGGTGGGTCAAGCCACAAATACACCCAAGTACAGAGCGTGCGTTCTTAGCCACCACGCCTCTGCGTCAGGGTAACCACACTCCCTTCGGCATTGCTTTCCATCTCGCAGTCTTCTTCTCCACCCGAACTCTCCATCAGTCCTCACATCTGAGTTTTGTTCTTGTCCAGGTACAAGTCATCCTTGTTCCCAGGCAACATGGAGACGCTGACAATCCTGAACAATTCCCCTATGGTCGCAGAGATGTTTTTCTGTTTTCAAAATGATGTCAAAGCAAGCACCTACTTCCTGGAGCCCATCAATATGCTTCTGAAACCCAATGAGAAGCAGGTACAGTCACATGGGGATAAGTCCACCAGGGCAAGGCTTCCTTGGGGAGTTTGAGGCCTTGGCATCCTTGGTGTAAACGTACTTTGTTTTGACTCCTGCATTAGCTGTTGAACATATGGGCCTACCCTACCGCAGTTGGTGTCTTTGAAGACAGCATTGTCTGCTGCATCAAGGAGAACCCAGAGCCAACCATCTTCAAATTAAGCTGCCAGGGGATCCGCCCAGAACTGGAGCTGGACCCCAGGCAACTGCATTTTGACCGACTCTTGCTGCACAGGTCAGAATTCTGGATGACACCGGGACTGAAATGGAATTTAAAGAACATTTAGTCCTAGCCCACCCAATTCATCCTGATTTGCTGGGGACTTTTCCTAGTTTTAGCACTGAAAGTTCTGCCCTGTGGGAAGCTTCTGGTCCTGCGCAAACCAGGATGGTTAGTAGCCCCGTTGAGTTCACAGGTTGTTACCATGGGTTCAGTGGCTGGCCTTCCGCAGAGCTGAGGACCACCCGCACTAAGATGAACTGCCCAAGCTGTGCGTATTGGTCTTTTTCTCAGAACTAGTTTTTTCCAGATTCTCAAAGCAGTCCATTACCCTAAAAGGTTAAGACTCTTCACTAGAAATTAGAGTACGAACATAGAACTTATATGTTCATTTGCTGGAGTTATTCAAAATAGAGAATGTTTATTTCTAGGCTGCAGGGAGAGAACATTGTTATGATATCCTGCATTCCTTGATTATTATCACCAAGCCCCATTCCCCGGTACATACTGATCAGTGAACTAAGCAGTAATTGAAATAGCCAAAGGTGCTTCTGCTCACCTGCCATACAAAACAAAATCATTTGAAACTGATAAAGCTTCTTTTGGTCTCTGCAGAAAAGAATCCAAGATAGTTTCTCTCCGTAATGTCACACCCCTGCCCGTGGCCTGGAGGATTACCAGCCTAGAGCACTTGGGTGACGACTTCACCATGTCCATGATGCAGGGGATCATCCCCCCCAAGGCTGAGCATGGCCTGCAAGTGCACTTCCAGCCCTCCAAACCCGTCAACATCAAGAAAGCAATCCGGTTGGAGGTCAGGTTTCACATATCTACAGATGTGGTCATGAAAATGTGTACACATTGAGTCCCATAACACATAGACTACCAAGACACACACACACACACACACACACAGGAGGTCAGGTTTCACATATCTACAGATGTGGTCATGAAAATGTGTACATATTGAGTCCCATAACATATAGACTACCAAGACACACACACACACACACACACACACACTGTAAGCCAGGTCTCCATATTACATGTTCCCATCTGGTCCCCATTTGACAGTCCTCACCCTACAACAGCCTGCTCTGCACACTATTTTAGCTCCATGAAGGTAGTCTTGTCCATGGCTGATTTTGCAGTACCAAGAACAGAGCACTCAACCAGTACAGAGTGAATGAGTGAGTGAGTGAGTGAATGAATGAATGAATGAATGAATGAATGGTGTTCTATCCCTTAAGCTGGCATTAGATTCCTGATTCAAGCCCAGTGACCCCTCAGATTCCTGTCTCAGTAAATGTCACCCTTCACCCAGTTGCTCCCGACAGACACCTGGAAGTCATCCTAGATTCTCCCTTTCTCTGACACCTCCCCTCCACCCTTCTCCAACAGGTCTTGTCATTTGTGTCTCAGTCTGTCTCCTGCCCATCTACTTCTCTGTCTACACTGCCACTGCCACCTGCATCAGGCTCCTGCAGTGTCTCTCACCTGGTTTTTGAACTGGTTTCCCTCTTTGCATTCCCCATAAGAGGGATCTGTACCGTGTCAGGCACATCAGGTCACCCTCCATCCTGAGGTGCTCTGCTGGTTTCCGGTTGCAGTGAGAGTGGCCCCGGGGTCTCGCCTGCTTCAGAGGCCCTGCCTGCCTTGGTCGCACATCTCACTCCACCCTGGCTGTCAGTCACTGGCTCCCGCCACATGGTCTCTTGGCTTTTCCCTGCTGCAGGCTCCTGGCCTTGCCACTCCCTGCCAGGAAGGTCGTCCCTGGGTTCTGCGGGGTCCGCTAAACAGCACCGCTTCAACGGGGCTCACCTTATCCTCCCAAGGAGAGAACCCCATTAAGTGAGTCACTCTCTTATGTGTCTTCCATCCTTCAGAGCACCTCCCGCTGTCAGATACCCTGTTTCTTTACTTTCTCATGTGACTCCTTTGGGGTAGGTCTCACCTGACTTGCTCATCATCCACGTTAGCTTCCTAGGGCTGCTATTACAAATAACCACAAACTGAGTGGTTTCAAACAGCAGACATTTATTCTCTTACAAGTCTAGAGGCCAGAAGTCTGAAACCAAGGTGTGCACAAGGCTCCACTGCCTGGAAAGGCAGTAGGGAGGAATACTCCTCGCTTCTCTCAGCTTCTGGTGCTGCAGGCGGTCCTTGGCGTGTGGCTGCACCGCTCCAGCCACTGCCTCCATCTTCACCTGGCCTTCTACTCTGTCTGCATCTGTGCCTTTTCTGTCCCTCATAAGGACACTTGTCATTGGAGTTAGAGCACACCTGGATAATCCAGGGTATCTCATCTCAAGATCTCTAACTTAATTACATCTACAAAGACTCTTTTCCAAATAGTTACATTCCCAGGTTTCAAGTGTTAGGACATGGATGTACTTTTTTGGGGGGCCACCATTTAACCCACTGCCCCATCACATCCCTGGGGACTAGCACAGGCCTTGATGTAGAAGGCACTCAGTAGAATCTATAAATGGATGAATGAATGAATGAATAAGTAAATGAGTGTCACTGATTTTTGATGCCTCAACCGATTCTGTAACAATTAAGAGGCCATTCAAGCTTCTCTTTGACTTCCTGCAGGGACAGAAAACAGGAACATCCAAGCAGCCTGACCTTGCTTTGGACAGGTCTGACTGCTAATTAATCCTTGGGCTGAGTTCAGATTTCTCCCTATTGCTTACACAAATCAACCCTGTTTCTACCTTTTGGGACCTGTCCATGGATCTCATCTCTCTTATCACCTGTCTGTGATGGTCCTTCAGAGAGCTGACAACAGATTCATTCAATCCACAAATGTAGACGAATCCCAGGGGTGCTCATCCATGTTTTTCACACCAGCCTCTCCACAGACACAGATCTCTGTGTGTTGAACCCAGGCCACATGGTCGTCTGTGCCAGCTTCACCTCCTTGTTGCTGGAATATGGAGAGTTCAGGGCTTCCCATGTTGTGGGTGGTGTGGGGGGAAGGCAGCAAGGGGAGGCTTGGAGAGGTCACTGTGACAGCTCTTTGCCAACTGGCATGGAAACATTTCCTTATTTCAGGGATGAAACGGCATTCCTGTGTGTTCCAGCCAAACCTGACACAGCTGGCCCCCCCTCAGGCTCCCCAGCGTGGACTAGAACTTCTCTTCCCCAGATTCTCTTCCTTTAACATCTGCACAAGGAAATGCTGCCCTTCCTCATCCCTTTGGGAGGCACTCTGGTGACCTCATCCCACTTTATCTGTGTACCTCTTCAGCTGTCCTCCCTAGTTCCCTCAGCTACAAAGTCTGATCCCACCCTCCCCTCAGCGGGGAGCCAAGGGAAGCAGAAGGCTCTGGGTACCTGGCATCTCCCAGTAGGAGAGAACCATGTAAATTCGGGAGCTGGTGAGGCAAGTCCTTTGTCCTCTCTTCCCTCCTGCTCGCGGCCTGTGCTTCTTGGCATCTCGGCCAAAGGGCGAGCAGCAAACGAAAGAAGGTAACACTGAAGTCGGTCCAGTTTTCTCTGTGAACATTGTCAGAATGCTGGATGAAAGCAAAGATGGAAACTGAACGGAACTCGAGTGTGGCGACAGCTACAGACTTCTCCCCGGCACCCAAAACACAAATAATGGGAGTCAGTGACTTCGTTTTTCAACTTGAGGCTTCAGCAGGGAGGCAGGTGGCCTCCAGACAGACACAGGGGGGCTGCACCCAGGGCCTAGGGGCTCTTCCCTTTATCACCCCCTCGCTAGTCTCAAGAGCTGACAGTCGGGTCCAGCTGACCGGTGACACCAGTTCAGATGCTCCTCAGGACAGTGAGCCTGTAGACCCTGGGGATCTCATCGGGGTTTCTTTCCACATTTCCAACTTTAATAGTAATGAAGCTCACACACAGAAAACATTTGAAATTTCCAAAAGAGAAACCCTAAACACTAATTTTACATGAACAAATCTAGCACTTTTTCCACAGGTTGAACTGGAAACAGAACAATCAGATTTGTAAAATCAGTAGAGCACGGATGATTAGGGGCAGATCAGTTTTCCATGTCAACCGTCAGGAACATGCTCTTCAGGTCTACTTTATCAAAAAGTTCCAAAGAATACTTTTCTGGAATATATACTTGCTGCCCAAACTTCAGTAACGTAGGGACAGTCATGCAAATAACTTAAACCCCCGCAAATGGACAAGACGGAAAATGCAACCCCTTGTCCCCATTCCTATATTGATCGTCCACACCAGCATTCCCCAAAGGGAACTGTGAGACACACCGATCCTACCGGTGACGACAAAAGCTAACTGCATTTCACAGACATTCCATATATCTGCCCTTCTTCATGATTCCCACTACGTGTTACTTAGTTCCGACTCCAGGCACCTCGCAGGTCTTGATTTTACTGAAGAATTTTTCTTACCCTGACAGGTTTCGGATGCAGACAATCTTGTTGGTATTGTTCAGATCGAAAACATCATGGTCTTTGCAGAGTCCTACGACGTTGCCTTGGACATCACCTTCCCCAAAGGTCTGTTGGCCCCTTCTACGCAAGGGTGTTTAGAAACCACATCTTTTAGGGCTCCACATTTTTTTAGGAATTTTGGTAAATAGCAATGCAAAGCCCAGAGTGATGTTAGTAACACGACTACAAGTCTTCATTCTTCCAACTGGAGCCCAACAAGGGATGGTCGTAAATATAAAATTTGCAGAGGTCTTTTCTGAACAGTCATCTGAGATTAAGTGTCTTCTCGGTTGCATTAGTTTTCTATCACTGCTGTAACCAATTACCACAAACTTACGGTTTAAAACAACCCAGATGTATTATCTTAGAGTTCTGGAGGTCAGAAGTCCAAAATGGATCTCACTGGGCTAAAACTAAGATGTTGGCAGGGCGCTCCTTTCTGGAAGCTCTGGGAGAGGATACATTCCTTGCCTTTTCCAGCTTCTAGAAGCCACCCACATTCCTTGGCCTAGGGTGCCCTTCCTCCATCTTCAAAGCCAAGTCCCTCACGCTCATGCTACAATCTCTCTGGTTCTCCCATTTTCTTCTCCCTGTTCTACTTCTAAGGACCCTGTGTCCACCCAGACATTCCAGGATAATCCCCCTATGTTGCAGTCAGATTCCCTTAATTCCCTTTGCTGTGTAAACTAGCATATTCGCAGGTTCCAGGAACTAGGACCCAGACATCTTTCCGGGGTGACAGGGTATCAGCTGCCTGCCACACTGTCCTGACACCCAGATTCCATCCCTCCCAAGAGCATGCAGTTCTCCATTATCCCTCCCTTGTCTGATAGGTCTTCTCGGCAAGATTTATAGAAGGTTACAGCTACATGTTTGCCTAGATGTCATCAGTCTTATGTACAAAGATATTTATTGCTGCATTATTTATAATATGGGAAGATTGGAAATAACCTGAATGTCTATCAATAATAGAATTTATGTTTGTCAGAATAAAATTGCAAATTACAAAACAGCCATACTGTGATACATTATGCAGCCATTATGATAACATTTATGAGGAGTTTTCAATTATATGGGGAAAGGCTTATGGTATAATGCTAAATAAAACAATGTAAGTTTATATGTAATATCCCAACTCTGTATATTTATATACTTGATATACTTTTTTCTTCAAATAATGGGAGTTTCAGCTAATAGAGACATGAAAAGAAGGGCAGGGGTCCTAGGATGGAAGCCAGAAGGAGCTGCCCCATTGAACTGGGAGCAAAGAGCAGTACCTGTGGTTTGTTTGCTAAGACTCAAATCCAGGAAGCTTTTCTAGCCACAGTGTTTTCAGAAACCAAATTCTATGAAACTGTCACCAGATTTTCCATGTGAAGTTTCTTGCTGCCACGCCCACTCACCCCTTTCCCCACTCTGGCCCCTGGCTTTTGCAGGAGCTGAAGGAGGCCTCGATTTTGGGATCGTGAGGGTCATGGAGGAGGTAAAGCAGCCCCTGCAACTGAAGAACCGTGGGAAATACGAGATCATGTACAGGTAACCTGAAAGCCACGGGCACATGGCCATCCACATCCACTCGTGGGGAGAAGAGTGTTTTCTGGGAGATTTTTCAAAATTGATCAAGAAATAATAAGATCCATTTCTGCTTTTAGCCTCTCTTGGCTTCAGGTGAACGGAATTCCAACTGCTAAGAAAGCACCCTTTCCAAGTGCCTCTATTGTGTGGCTCCTGCCCCCGTTTTCTCCCTTTCCTTTGATCCCCAGCTTCTGCATAACTGTTCCTGTATGTGAACTGCATTCAGTCTCAGAGAGGGGAGGGAAGAAGGGGACAGAGAATGAGAGAGACAGAGACAAACAGAGAGGTGAATGAATTGGGTAGATCCTTATCCAGCACCAAGTGCCCCTGTTAGACAGAGACCTCCTGCTAAGGCACCTCTGGACCATGGGCTAGAGATGGCTACCTTTGCTCAAGCTCTATCCCTGGCACAGCCATTCCTGGCTCTGGAGGGGTGATCACAGTATAACGCACAGTGAATGCTGCTAGGCATAGTGGTTAAACAGGGCCAGAACATGGCAGATACTCAACAGGTCTCCTCTCTAGTATCTTGGGCTCCCTGGATAATCACTTAAACTTTTTATTCTTATCTTTCAGCTTTTCCGTGGACTCCTTAGGAATTTTGGCTACCAATGTAAATTCTATGATCTCAGTCCAGCCTAAGAAGGGCTCACTGACCACAACGGAAAAATCCACAAATGTCCAGGTATTCTTTCATGCAAAAAAGGAAGTGAAGATCGAACACAAGCCAATTCTACGCTGTCAGGTAAGAGAGCTCAAAGGGAGGCCTCACTCAGCAGCAAGATTGTGGAACTTGTGTCGAAGAGAAGAGTACAGAGTCAAACATACACTGCAAGGGAAAAGAAGAGGGCTGGGCTGGTTGGCAACCAGAGATGATACACCAGGTCCCCAACTAGCAGGCACAGGTAGGTCAGGTGGGAGGTGGGCAAAGTCATCAGAAATTGAGAGTGCCAGAGAGGACCTGTGGCCCCTGAGGGAACATCAGAGGTAAGGAAGCTGAATTCAGTTATCAAGTGCCAAAGAAGGATGGGGAAGTGAAAACACCATGTAAAGTTGGTCTGTGTTGATCCATGGCAGATACATAAGTTTTGTGGTAGTGTTTGCTAATATTGATGCAATAATATAGAGTGGTACAATAATAAAGGAATGAAATAAAGAAGTTGACTTCACATCAGTGATGAAAACAGGGAATGAAGCAGACAGTCATGGGAATTCTGGAGTTATGCCAGTGACTGACATCTTTCCTGGTGCTTCTTTCTCCCCTTTCTAGATTATTGAGCCCAATACCACGGAAGGAGGTGAAATCATTGCCAGCATCCCAATTAAGTTTTCTGTGAATGCAGTATACTCCAAATACAACATCAGCCCCTCCTCCATCATCAACTTTGGGGCTTTGATCTGTGGCACTCGTAAAAGCACCACCTTCACCATAGAAAATCAAGGTGTTACTGACTTCAAGTATGCCCTTTATAGGATGACAGGGGAGAGCCCCATTCAGCAAAAGAAAATGTAAGACAAGTATTTACTTAATTCATGCCATTCCCTGATTAATTATTGCTTCATATTTTACAAAGAGCTTTCATGCATCTTACCTAAATTCACCCAATCCCCTTTTGTGGGTGAGGTCACTAAGGTTTAGAAATGGTTCATCTGTCAGTATGCAAGAAATCACCAGTAGATCTCAGTTCCAAACCCACATCTCTGACTCCAGATTCCATATATTTTCTACCTGCTATCAAATATATGATCAATTTTAACTGAATGAAGGTAAGGTCTTCTGCTTAGGACTGTGATTGTTGTCCTGGTGCTTCCAGTGCTACAACACTTACTAGTAAGTCACTGCCCTATATATCTTTCTGGGAGGTCAAGAGACTATTGCAACAGTAAACTAAATCAAAAGAAATCATAGCTGTGTCTCATGATGGGGGATGACAGAAAGTACCCTGGAAATGCTGACTGGAGAATGCACGGTGACTTACATGCTGGGACTGCTTGTACCTTCTCCCCATGAGGACACTTTATGACAATAGTTAATAGTTGTTGCAACAGAAAAACTCTGTACTCTTCAAAATGTGGCTCTCAGTTCACCAAAACAATTTACCTTTTTGAGTGTAAAGCTTTTATTTGATTGTCATGTTCTGTTTTGGTAAATTAGGGATGGTTTTACCAATGTCCAAGGCACTTTGTCTTGACTTCTTAATTAATTGACTTTCTAGTTAATTATTAACTTAAAATTGACTTTCTAAGTAATTGTTTTAAATGAGACATACAGATTTACATTGTTTATAATTGTTTTATATTTCTGTGTCTATCTTCTTCCATTTTGGCAAAGTTTGAACATATTGAAAAATTTGTGGTTAAACTGTCTAAAGTCTTTTTCTTCCAAATTTAATTTCAATCTAATTTTGAATCATTTATTTTATAATAATTTAATAATGTTCATTATAGGTATTATAACAAAATTGTGTTTTGCTTTAAATTGTTTTTATAACTTTATTTTTCATTTTAGCATGCACAAGTTCATGCAAACCCTCAAAAGGGGGTTGAACTTCAGTTCTGATTATAAGCAAGTAAATGCTCAGATATATAAAATTCTCAAGAGTTTAAGATCACACCTCAAATACATTTGAATATTTTAGGTGAACTGGACTGTAGACAAACTAATTTTGGGGTAAACTAGCTTCAAGTGAAGTGAACAACTACCAAAACCTGTATTTGAGCTATTGCTTACAGTCACTCTTAAAAACACTATGTCTATAAATGTGAAGAAGGGGACAGAATTTAATCCATTTGCCATTTCATTTTTTTATGTGAGATCAGGTATAAAAGATTTGATGTTTACCAATAATTTCCACATACTGCTTTACAGTGAATTCAAACATTTAAAAATTATTATTTTCTTGCAGTAGTTTTCAATGTCCTTATAAATCATATTTAATAAGGACAGTTACCATATAGTTTTCCTACAGTTGTTAAATGAGTTTGCTATTGATGAACAGCTGACTGCGCTACTCCACTACCCTCCCTCCCCGCTCCTAGGAGAGCGAACAGACAGGTGGTGTTTACCGTCGCCACCCCGGCCTGAGGGTGCCCTCTTGCTTCTTTCATCAGAGGCAGCCACATCGAACAGGCAAGGTCCCAGGAAAGCGAGAGCTTCTTCAAGACTGGCCCTTCCAAAGGAGCTAAGCTTTCTGATTCTGTGCAGAAAGAAGTAAACATCCCAAGCCAGGTGAGCACCTTTTCCTTGTTCACAGAAACCCCGTAAGGCTACCTCCCAACCAGTTCTGGCAACGAATACCTCCCTAGGACAGCAGGATTGAATCTACTGTGGCAGGAATCCTGAATAGTTATGTGGAAATAGCACTTACATTAGGACAAAAGTGTCATGACTTCTAATTTGGATATCCTCTTTTGCTTTATAACTTTCATTGGCTCCTCACTGCCCTAAAATTAAGTTCCAACTTTTCATATGTAGTTTAATCAAGACTCCTGCTTCCGAATCCTTGATTGCTAAGGTGCCTTTCTCTGACCACCACGTCCCTTTCTCCCAGATCACCAGGTCAAGTCTGCCCATTTCAGCCATTCTTTGCCCTTACTGTGACCTTGCCCCTTGGCGACCACACCCAACCATATCTTATTATCCAAACCTCCTCCCTCACCTCAATTTATATTCCCACCAACTTTTTCTCCACAGCTGCACCAAAGCTTGTTACCGCCTGTCTTTGTGATAATGGCCATTCTAAATGGTGTGAGGTGTTATCACTGTGATTTTGATTTGCATTTCCCTCATAATCAGTGATAAACTTTGCTGACCTGATTAAATTAAGAACCTTAAGTGGGGAGATTATCCCAGGAGCAATGTAATCACAGGGGGCCAGCAGTGGTGGGGAAATAAATAGGATGTTGGGCAAAGGGTACCAACTTCTAGTTATATGGTGAATATGTTCTGGGGAGCTAATGTTCTCATGGAGACCCTAGTTAACATGCTGTATTACATACTATATACTTGAAAGTTGCTTAAAAAGTAGATTTAAATGTTCTCATCACAAAAAAATTTCTTAGTTTAAGGTGATGGATGTGTTAACTAACCTTATTGCAGTAATCATTTTGCAATAAATACAGATATCACATCATCATGTTGTACACCTTAAGTTTATATAATGTTATATGTCAATTATATTTCAATAAAACTGAGGGACAGAACAAGGAAGGGACCTCCTAAGAACCAGAAGAGTGCATAATCACACCCCCTTCTTTGGTCACTAATTCTGTGCCAGATGCCATACCAAGTGCTTCATACAAATTGTTTTGTTGAAGCCTCCAACGGTCTCAGGGTAGGGGCTTTACCCCATTTTATGGATAAACTGAGACTCAAAGAAGTCACTTGTCCAAGGTCAAACAGTAATATGTAACAGGGCTGGGATTCACAATCTTAACCATTGCTCCATCTGCACCCCTCTGCTGGGGGATTCCCACCTACGTAAGTGTTGTGAGATAGAGAATATTTCGATTCCCTTAAACCCCAACTCAACCGTGACTGGTTAGAAGCAATGTTCATAGAAGGAAGCTCTGAGAGAGCCCTTCCCCCAAGGCCCCCAAAGACCCCCAGGCCCTCCCTGCCTGTAGAGGAGCGCTGGGGGCCAGAGAGAGCCTGCGGCGAGAGGCCCCGCTTGAGACTCTGGTGGAAGAGCTCAGACTCTGCCACCCACTCTGCCTCCACGCCTCCCACACCCCACCCTCTCTGCAGGCTCGCTTCGCCCACGGCATGTTCACCGTGTACCCCGTCTCTGGCGCCATCCCTTCCGGAGGAGCGCAGGTCATCACCGTGGACTGTGTGGCTGACCCCGTGGGCAGGTGTGAGGAGTTCATAGCTATCCATATCTCCGACCGCGACCCAAGAGACCAGCCTGGTGGCATTCCTTACAGCCTGCTGGCTGAAGCCTGTCTGCCAGGTACTGGGCGCTCAGATTGGACGATGCCCCTTGGAAGACCTTCCTCTGTGACACTTCCCCCCACCCAGTGTCTAGCATCTGGATGGTGTGGCTGCACCGCCTCCTCTGGGGCCTTACAGCTCCCTCTGCTCCTTTCAGCCATGTTGTTCCTTTGAGGCTTACAGGCATGCACCTCTAGAAGAGGATGCTCCGCTTTAAACTCGTAGTCTTCCTGAGTTCAGCCCGGGATTCGCAGGTGAATAATGCTATCTGGGAATCCCAGTGCCATGGGATGTGGCGCAGGATCCAGGAACACTGACCCCTGCTGGGGCCAGGCCACTCCCTGGGGCAACAAGCACAGAGAACAACGGTCAGGGACTGCACACTGTAACTAACCCAGCAAGCTCGCACACGAAGCACAGGACTCCTCTCACTGTGGCTGTAGGCACGCTGTGGCCTCACCCCAAAAGTGGACCAGATGCCTCCTTCCTTCCCAAGCTCTCCCCAGGTCCCAGCTCCTACCCCTCCTCCCACTGGGAGAAGGTATTAGCGTCTGGTGACCAACCAGAGCAATATAAGAAAGGAAAAGAAGGCGGAATTTGCCCACCACCCCCATGGCCATGTGTGATTCCCCCTCCTCTCCTCTGTGGTTGTTACTTGCCGAAATCCCAGCCTCCAAATTAGGAATTGCAGACAGCAGGCATGGGCTCCCAGGCTTTGTCTCACGGCCTTCCCTCCACTCCCCAGCCTTCGTGACTGACAACACTGCCTTAATATTTGAGGAGCACCAGATCTGCAGCAGCCCCAACCTTCTCAGCTTCCTGCAGACCATCGAGAGCGGGGGGCTGTTCGTGGAGGATGAGAACAAGTTCGTCTTCTGCAATGTCCTGGTGGGCCATCAGGCCAAGGCTCGATTCAAGATCGTCAACACGGGAAAGATCGCCTGTGATGTGAACATCACAGTTAAACCTGCCTCCAGCAAGGTAAGCAGCCCCAAGTGGCGCTGGCTCGCCATGGGTGGCATACAGCCACAGGAAGAGCTCTTAGAAACCCCTGCTGTGGAGCCTCTGTACGTGAGTGGGGATTATGTGGCTCTCAGGCCCTGCTGGGAGTGGTGGGAGGTCACTGGACCGTTTCCCCCAGGCCGAGAGCCCTACATTTGTCCCAGTGGGTGTCTCCTCTGGGTACCTCTATGCTGAACTGGCATACATGAATGAGCATGTCATTCATCCCTCACACACTCACTGTGTGCCTCCATTAGACAGGGCACTGTGGGGAGGGCCAAAGAGGAGTGCCAGCTCGGCAGGCAGCCTCACATTCCACATGCACCTAGTGAGGCGTCTTTGGGGAGGGCAGGTTATAAGGGAAAAGTGGAATGGTGAGCATTCAGTGAGCCCCTGATGCAGGGTAGGCACTGTGCTAAATGCTTTACATTTATTACCTCATTTTGTCCTTACAGGCTTACAATTGCCTTATCAAACTCTGTGTTATTGTCTTCGTGTTACAGTCAAGGAAATGGAGGCTCAGAAAGGCTAAATTCTTCCCCTAGGAGTCCCCTAAATTCTTCCCCAGAGCCTGCCAGACTCAAAGCCGCTTTCCTCTCTGAGTCAGACCATCCTGAGATACTTTTTCCTCACAGCAGAACAGAAAATGCAGGGTACTAAGAGGATGGGCTTAGTCGGTGTCTTTCACTCACCCTTAACCTCCAATCAGATGTGCTACTATTATCGCCCATCTCAGCTCAGCTGCTCCAGTTCTCCCCTCAGAGGAGGAATCTTGGCCCACGTGGTCCTTGTGCCCAGAACTGGCATTGTTCCCATGGCTGATGGTGGTGACAAGATACCCAGGAGGGTTGGCCCAGCCTGGAATGGAGAACAGAGTGCACATTCCCAGGAGGCTGTCACCGCAGAGGGGAGGGCCCAAGAGACTACTCCCTTTTATGACATCCCGCAGGTCCTGGTGACCTCCAGCCATTACTCTCCGACCTTATTTTGGACATGAAGTGGCAGCTTTCTCCCTATTCTGTACTAACAACATGAAAAATGAACAAGCCTGATTTCTAAACAAAGATAGGCCTTTCACCAGGGATTTGCAGGCGTTGCATGTTCTCCTCCTCCCTATTTGCAGACTGTCCCTTGGAAAGAGCAAAGAAACCTTAGTGCCCTCGTCCCTCTTAAAAACAAGAGGGAATAGTCTTGAATTCTAGCTGCCTCCCATGAGAATAAAAAACCTTTTGAGACCATGCCAAGGGCCCCTACACTCCCTGCAGTCTTCCCAAAATGCTGCCAAAGGTGGGAACAGGTAAAGTGCTGTGGGACGCTGCTCCATGGAGCTAAAGCTCTCAGAGTTGCATGGAGCAGAAGCTCAGGGTAGCCCAGACAAGTGAGGCTTGCTTCAGAGACTGCAGGCAGAGGTCAGAACACGCCACACAGCCAGAGGGCTATGGGACTCAAGATGTCACCTGAAATCCAGCTTTGAGAAGACCAGCAGAGGCTTGGTTCATCTTCCAAGGGTTACATGTCTCTCACTCATGGTATCTTCATTGTTCCAGTCTCTAGTCTGGCTTCCAGTTCAGCTTCTCATCAGCAGCCACCAATGATCTCTGGGCTTCTTAATTTAGATGAGCCAGAAAGACAGAATTCTGGCTCTCTGGGATCTGGTTTAGTTCATCTATTTGAGTCAAAGATCACAAGTCTAGCCAAGTCCAGCTAGTTATTGCTCAGGGCTGGGTCCCAGGGTATCAAAGCTGCTCCTTCTAGGGCCAAACCATGCGGGCAAGGGACATGTCCACCACAGAGCTTAGATGAGGGAGACTTCCCAACAAGGGCAATAGAGACAAGAGGCAGGCCTGGTGTAAATGCAAAGTAGCTAACACATGCTGGCTCCTGTCCCCCTTCCCCAGGCCGTTGCTCGCATCATTGACATCTTTGAAGTGGAACCCAACAAGATGTGTGTTGCCGGCCGCTCACACGCCTTTGCCACAGTGTCCTTCACCCCACAGACCATGCAGACCTACCAGTGCGTCTTCGAGGCCACTGTGGATGGCTTGCCCAGGTACAGCTCCTCAGTTCCTCTCCTGTGCAGCAGTTCTGCAGGCCACAGTCTTGGAGGCTGACAGACCACAATCTTCCTGTCTCCTGCAGTAACCTGACCAAGAACCGAAGCCTTGTGTTTGACATTGTTGGAGAAGGGAACCTCCCTCGGGTGACTGTTGTGCGGCCAATTCTCCACAACCAAAATGGGAACCCTTTGCTCCTCTTTAAGAGGCTTCTGCTTGGGCAATCAGAGAAGCTGCCTCTCATCCTCAAGAACAATGGCACCATCCCCAGCCAGGTACTGCAGGAGGTGGAGCATAGGGTGGGAAGGGAGAAGAATCATTCAGAAGTAAGACTTGTGACACTGAGGTCTCTGCCATCCCTAACTTTTGAGAACTTCTTCTTTGATGTTCCTCATACATTAATTTGTGTAAGACATGCAACGTGAAGAGGGAACTAGGTGTGGTCCCTGCCATCAGGAATGTAAGAAAGCAGATTACGTAGCACACTAATAATTACTAGATGAGTCAGTGTGCCATGATATACACCAATCCGAGTGGGTAGGATTATGGGTATTCTTGGTGTTTTCTTTATTTTTTTCTCTTTTTTCTATAATGAACATTACATTTGTAATAAGGGAAAAACAAAACCTTAGGGGTGAGAGATGCGACATCTGAAAGGACTTTTGGTTCAGCAATTAAATTGTCTTTATTTTATCAAAAACAAGGAGCTAAATTGTGTAAATAGGATTTTTGAAAATGATCTACTCCCACCTAGGGGAATCAAGGAAAATTTCCCTACAAAATGACATTTGAGCCAGGCATTGAAAGATAGTTGGGTTTCAGTAAGTGTGTGTGGCAGTGAATGCATCCCTTGTGGAGACAGAATACTACAGAGTAAAAGGCACAGAAGCAAAAAAAAAAAAAAAAATGTAAGCCACAAACAGGAAGTCGCAAGCAGCACCCAGCCTCATGGGAGCGTGGCATTCAGGTAGAAGAGCAACAGGAGATAAAAGAGAAGGGGAGAGTAAGGGGATGACTTGTGGAGGGCTTTGGATTCTGTATCTATTTTAAACCCTGTAAGATATTTTTCCTATTGTTTTATTGTCTACACAGTTAAGGCTCATTTAGATTTACCCACATAGTTGTCATTTTTATTGCTATTCACTTCTGCATCTCCAACTTTCCGTCTGAGATCCTGTCCTACCTACTGAAGGATTCTCTCTAGTATTCCCTTAATGCAGGTCTGCTTGTGGTGAATTCTGTTTTTATTTGAAAATTCTCATTTCTCCTTCATTTTTAATGTAATTTTTTACTGGCTATCAAACTCTAAGCTGACAGTTGCTTTCTTTCAGCATATGAGAGATATTATTCCTTTGGATTTCCAGTGTTATTTCTGAGACATCAGCTATAAATCTAACATGTGCCATTAAGGCAGTCTTTTTCCTCTGGCTGTATTTAACATTTTTACCATTTTCTACAGTTTCACTATGATGTGTCAACATACAGATTTTTTTTTTTTGTCTTTGGAATTCACCAGACTTCTTGATTCTGCAATTGGTATCTTAAATCAATTTTGGAAAATTCCCAGATATGTCTTCAAATATTGCTTCTATTCCATTCTGTCTCATCTCTCCTTCTGGGGGCCAATTAAATGTATGAAAGAACTTTTCACTACATCCCCTATCTCACAACATCACTGTGTTTTCCATCCATATTTCTCTGAGCTTTATTCTGTGTAATTTCTTTTAACCTGTCTTCAGTTCATTAACTCTCCCTTTAGCAGTATCTAACCTTCCATCAAGTTCTTAAGTTATTATATTTTCAGTTCTAGAATTTCTATTGGATTGTTTTTCAAATACACATAATTCATTTTTGTGATTTCTAGTTTCATGCTGAAATTGCCAGACTTGGATTTTATTTCTTGAACACAGTAATCACAGCATTTTGCAGTCTATACATAATAATTCCAAAATATGAAGTCCTGTGGATCTGTTTCTGATATCTGCTATTTCTGCTTATGTTTGCCCATGTTGTCCTGTCTCCTTACGTGCCTGGTCGCCTTTGAGCATGTGCTGGGTATTATATTTGAAAAGTCATTTAGAAGTAATTAGACTAAGGGTGAAGTTATCTTTATTCACAGACAATGTTCATTTGCTTCTGTCCAGCATTTGGGGGCCCTAGAAACACAAGATTACCTTAAACTGGTTTTAGGCCTTGAGATTTTCTCAATTATATAGATGACTCAGAGTAGGATTGCTATCCTTGGGAAAACTAGTTTATATCCAGCCCCCCTTTTGTCTTACTATGCAGACCTTGTTGGGGGGTAGGGGGGGTTCAAGTCTAGAGCAAAGAAAGCGCTCCCACCCTTCAAGGGACTTTTGCCCCCTTAGCACCAAGAGACCATCAGAAGTACAATTCACCCTCCCATCTACCTCCTCCAGATTGGTAAATGCCCCAGGTCACAAACAGCCCAGAGATTTAGGCTGGCCTGTCTGGATGTCCATGCTCTTCCAGGTCTTGGTGTGGTTACCCCTCATTATCTTCTTATGTCTGTGAATTAAAAAATAATAATTTTGTTATTCTTATTATTGTTGTCTTACTTTTTTGTTGTTGTCTTGAGTCCACATCACCTAGTTTACCATTACCCTGCATTGTTTCCATTATTGTATTTTTATAAAATGTTTTAGCCTCCAGTTCAGTGTATTCCTGCCCTCCCTCCCACTCCCTGTTTTTCTAATTTTTCTTAACAACTTTTGCACATCTAATCTCTCAGATTAACTTTAGACATCCTTTTATAATGTTCCTTTAAAAATCCCATTAGGAATCCCATGCGTTATTTGGGAAAAATTCCTGCTTTTGGGGTATTTAGGCTTTCTACCAAGAGCAACATTTAGGATTCCCACCCATTTATGTAAATCTTCTTTCTATCAATATGTACTTTTCATATAATTTCTCTGTATAGTATCTTATTAAGATTATTTATAAATATATAATTTTTATGTCAGAATTTTCACTATTTCTTCCTTCTTCTTGCTTCATTTTTTAAACTGTTCAATCTTGTGCATGTTGGTGCCAGCTTTACTCTCTTCTTAAAATGTCTGATTATTTCTCCTATCTAAAATCAGATATATGCCTTTAGTTTTTTTTAATAGAATATATTGCTTCTAGTAGGATTGAAAACATCCCTTCTCTCCCAGTAAGCTGGATAACCACCTTGGTTTTCCTCTCACTTGGCAGGATGCTCAACATGACGCTATCAAGTAACCAGTGCATGATTTCCTAGGAGATAGTGGCTTTTAGGAACTCACAGTCATGCAAGCCCTCTTAGAATAACGGGCACTCATTTCCATTGTATTAGTCTAGTGTACATTTTACAACTGCCTCTGTCAGGAACAGAGGCCTTGCCAACCCCATTCGACACTACTTAACTGGATGATCTGGAAAGTCACCCATGCCCTCTGGACCTCCAGTTCCTCACTTGGATAACAAGAGCTGAACTAAATTTTCACTTGTCCTTTCCAGGTCTAATATTTATTATATCTCCCTTTTAATAAGAAACTCAAGAAAAGCAAACACTAGTTATGATGACTTTTTGGTTACTTCCTGAAGAGCATCTCATGGTTCTCACTCCAATCTCAAAATCCACAAGCAGCCTGTAAGCTTAACACTCAATCCTGCTTTCCTTCTGCCAGCTGCATGTTGACCTACAGGACCAACTAGGAGTCTTCTCTCTGAAAGGGAAGCTCAATACCTCCTACATCTACATCACAGAGGGAAAAAAAACATATGCAAAAGGTAAGCAGGGGGAGTACAGCTTGTAGAGGTAGTGGGTCCCAGGAGCTGGTTTGTTGGGGGACTGATGAGGACCCAGCCCGTGTAAGATGCCCAGCCTATCACCAATGACATCTCAATGCAGGGCTCATTCCCTCACTGGGGCTGGCTTCCCTTGGGTCAGGGTCTTTATGGACACACCTTCCTTTACACTGGTTCTAAATCATGGCTTTCTTTTCTCTTTGCAGCACAGAAAGCCCACACAGCCTGCCTGGTTGTTCCTCCTGGAGACACAGCTGGATTTGATGTCGTTTTCCACTCTCAGGAGGTTGGGAGAATGACAGGCACCATCCACTTGTCTGTGATCAACAACCAGTATGAGGAGACAACCATCCACATGGTGGGAGAGGGCTATGAGGATGACATCACGTTGGACAACATCCATGGGCTGGTGACTTCCACCAGCCAGGAGGCCTCAGACATCTCTGAGGTCATGGGGGAAAACACTGTGGAAGACTTGGTGGCAGGTGAGAGAAGCAGCAGTGAAGTATTGACAACTGTTGGCTCTTGGGCCACTTTCAATAGTATGAAATTTGAATCACAGATCACCTGGCTTTCTGGGGATTCGAGAATGAGCCTCCTCTTCATTAATGTTTGCTCCGTCGTGACTGGCTTAGTCACCTCAGTCAGTCACGTGTTCCTTCAAGGAGCATTCACTGAGCATCAGTGTACACGTACCAGGCACTATCCTGAGCCCTGGGGTTCCAAAGAGTAGTAAGAGAATCTCTGCTTTAGGAGCTTATAGCCTGAGCTCAAATTCCAGTGTAGCTAATAAGTAAAATTCAAAATCCAAATTCCAGATGAGCTAAGAAGTGAGCACACGTCTCTCTGTACTCTTCCCTATCCATATCTTTCAGCTGGCTCCTACCTGTATTGTCTGTTTCAGCTGAACCATGTACCCTAGACGTTCTCAGTGGCTTGTCTAATTAGAGAGGGTGTAGGTTGATGCCCCCTCTAGAACATTGTTCTCCAGAGCCCCCCTGCTCAGCGCACTGTCTGAGAACCTACAGCATCAGCATCATCTGGGAGCTTGTCAGAAATGGGAATTTCAGACCCCATCCCAGCCACTCACACCTACTCAGTCAGAATCTGCATTTTATCAAGATTCCTAGGTGACTTGTGTATAATATGTTAAAGCTTAAAGTGGGCTCCTCTACAGCCCGATAAGTACTACAGCTTCATTTGGTTGACTTTTCTTTGGGATAGGAGAAAATTTACTTCAACATTATTGTCAAAAGGCATTGTTTAGCACCCCAATTGTGTGACTAATTGTTGTGAAGTGCATTATAAACACAGTCTCACAGTTTTTCCGGAAGTTGAATTACAGCCCTGGAATGTAGCACTGGGCAGTCTATATAAGATGGGTTAAAACCAGCATTCATCTCGTATCTGGTGTTTCACCCCTGTTTGTGGCTACCGGGTGACATCCCTCTGGTCAGAGGGTAAGCAGGACCAGCAGTGAACCCTAGTTCAGAAATCAGATTACCTATTTATAATAGGGTGACCAGGTTTAAGAAATCAGAATACAGGAGCCCATATTAAATTTGAATTTCAGATAGATGAAGAATAATTTTATAGTTTAAGTGTATCTAAAAACACCACATGAGACATGCTTATACTAAAAATTATTCATATATCTAAAATTCAAATTTAATGGGACTCCCTTATTTTACCTGGCAACCCTAGCCCTTAATTGTATTGTTTCAGTAAACAAATGGAGTTGGGAACTTGTGTCTTCTCTTGCAGGTGAGGGCTAAGGTGGGAGGGTGGGTGGATAGACAGACGGACAGACAGGCTAAGTAGATTCCCCAAGGAAGGAAAGCTGCTGCTCAGGGACTCCAGGTTTTTCCAATGTAACTGTCCAAGGAGGGAGGGGTTGCCTGAGGGGGAGGCACAGCATCTTTAAAGTGCTGCCTCCTCAGGGAAGCGAGGCACTGGGGAGGACTCACTGGCCTTCTGCTTCTGTCCCTTAGCTGCCCTGGTGGACCACATCCAGTTTGGGGACTGCCACATTGGCAACAGCTATGATGTGAGCTTCACAGTCACTAACCACGGCAAAGTGAATGTGATACGGTTTGAATGGCCCCTTTTAGCTGCAGTTTCCTTTTCCCCACGGGTGAGTGAAAGCCATTCACTGTTTTCTGGACTCCCTTACGCCTAAGCCAACCCTGATTTGATTGACAATCTGTTCCCATGGATACATGGGATGGGATGGATCAATCTCAAACTGAGAGACAGCCCAGGAGCCATCCCTCCCTCAGACCTGTCACTTGAGGACACTTTCAAGTCCCCTCTGGTCTAAGAGCAGAGAATGAGGTCTGCCAAGACTGTTGGTAGGCTGATGTTGAGGGATTCCATGGAAGCCTGTGTGGATAAAAACAGGGCCCAGTCTTCCTATCCCAGAATCTAGACCAGTGTCCCCGTAGGTGTGTGTTCTGTAAAGCACTAGTCCTGCAAAACTGGTTCACTTAAAGCTAAAATGGGAGTGGTAGGTTCCGTGAACAGCTGAGATCTAGAAAATGTTGCAAGTCACATCATAAAGATTCCCAGTGCCATTCAGCAAACTAAAACCTAGTTAACTTTGTTTCAGCTGGAATCTTTTAACCCCTTCTTTTAGCACCTCATAGCAAACATTTTAAGAATTGCTGACCAAACTCAACATGAAACAAGGCCTGGGACAATGCAGTAGCAGATCCCAGCCTCTGACCAGCAGTTGCTTTTCACAGACAATTCACTTCTGAATACCCAGGACACTGGATACACCCAGATGTTTCCACCACCTCCTTTTCTGTTTCAGCCACCAAGTCTGAACCTTTCAGCCACCAAGCAAGGGGGGCTGGGGGCCCTACTTTGTCACCTTTAAATCTTTGAGTGCTATCAGAAAGAATTTTTGCTTCCTGGAGGGATGTAGAGTGCAGTCAAAGCAGGCAGAGATAAGCCTCTTATCGTCCACTTAACACCCACATACTCAGACACTGGTGCACACCTCCACGCGCACACACATTTGTGGTGAAGTGCATTTAATTGTGGAGAAGAGAGCTTCATCTTCTCCCTTCACTCCCAAGAAGAGGGAAGATTTTATCTTTTAGAAACATGAGAAGGCTATCATACATATAGTGTATATGTGGGTACATGTTTGTATGTGTTTATGCATGCTAAATCATAAATGATCTTATTCTACAGACCAGATTGGATTTCCCATATTCCCATATACTTCAGCGAATCTCAGTCTTTTTTATCTCAAGACTCTTTTACACCCTTAAATAATTGTTGAGGAACCCCAAAAAGCTATTATTTATGTGGATTATGTCTATCAATATTTATGATATTACGGTTTTGCAAACCTCTTCAATATCTGGCTTAACAAAATACAGCTGGATTCTCATATTTGCTTCTCTCTTTGATCTGATGCATTATCATATGTCATGTAACCTCTAGAAAGCTCCAATGTATACTCATGAGAAAATGAGAGTGAAAAGATCAAATAACATCTTAATATTATGATGAAAATAGATTTGACCTGATGGACTCCTGAAAAGGTCTTGGGAACCCAAAGGTCAGCAGATCACACTCTAAGAACTGCTAATAAGCCATGCACATCTATCCATAATCTTTATAGATCATATTAAGAAGCATGGTTGGTTAAGTGTGTGGTACCTGGAGACATACTGCCTGGGTCTGAATCCAGCTCTTCCAATATTAATGGTATGACCTGGAGCAAGTTACAAGTTTCCTGGTCTATAAAATAGAGGTAATAACTGGACCTCTCATAAAGCTGTTGTGGGGATTAGTAGAATTGTGTAAAGGTTTAGAATAGTGCCTGAAGCAAGTGACAGTTTGATAAACACTAGCTACCCTTGTTTTATGATTATATTTCTATCTAAGAACCTCTTGTACATATTTAAGACAATCCTCAGATCCAAGTTTGAATAATACACTTTTTTCCAAGACTTCCTGGCTCTACCCTTTCTCTAGAATGTCATCATCAGATATCAAGAATCCTCAGGATGTGATTCCCAAAAACACTAATACCAGGCTTTTCTCTAGATTGGCCACCTCCACCCTGGGTGTGCCAAGGACATAATGGTGACCATGAAGTCAGATGTGCCTATCAACCTGAAGAAGATGGGGGTCAAGTGCAAGCTCTCCAAGATCATGTTTCAGCAACCTACAGACCAGGTCCCCGACTGGGATGACCGCATGCACACAGTCAAGTGGGTGGACGTGATCAGAAACACGCCTGGGACCTTCCCTACAAAACGAAAGGTAAGTAGGGACATCAAGCACAAATCTGAGCAGGTCTGCCATGCTTTGATGCTCACTGCCCTCACATTTGGCATCTCATTATTTCCTTCTTTCATGGAAAGAAAAGATTCCCCTTCTACTTGACCTTGATTTCAAAAGTGACAAGCTGAACGTCCAAACATGCTGCCTGTGATTTGTACTGCATGTGCCACACGAACCACACATCTTAACTGGTAGAGCTTTAGTTTCAGTCTTGATATCTAATTGACTGAGGCTTCCCACCTTTGTCTTCTTCAAAAGTATCATGGCTAGTCTTTTGTTTACTTCTTCCCTCCAATGTCTAGAATTAGAGTAGTTACAACCGTTGGTTCATAAGAGTCCATCTTTGGTCCCTGCATGCCGTCCGTTTAATTATTCATTTGGTTTCTTTAATAACATAATACACAGAGATGAACCCACACCCAACACAGAGAACAGAGCATGGACTACCTGTGTGGTTCTCAGCCATTTCACCCCTTGGTTCCCTCCTGGAGTATTCGCTATCTTGAATCTTGTGGAGTATTCGCTATCTTGAATCTTGTTTGCTCACTCCCTTGATTTTTATATTTTGTTTCTTTTTTAACCTATGCACCCTAAAAGACACACCATTGAGTTGTAGTTTTTAACTTTATTTAAAGGTTGTTGCATGTGATCTTCCATATTGTTGCTTGTGGTTATAATAAACCCATTTCACCACTATATGAAATTCCACTATTATTATCGTCCATTCTTGTTTCAAAAATTATTTAGGGTTTTGCTGTTACAGACAGTGTTTCTGTGAGCATTAGTGCCCCAGGCACATGGTGTTCATTTGGAAGAGTTTGTATTCCTACAAGTGTAATTGCTGAGTCATAGGACCTGTGATGTTCAGTTTTCCAAGGTTATGCCCAAGTGTTTTCCAAAGTGGCTGCACAATGGACACTCCTACTAGCAAAGAGATTTTATAGACCCACATTCTCTCCAATACTTGGTACTGTCAGACTTCTTGATTTTTGTCATTTCAATGACTGGAAATGGTCTCACTTTGGGCCTACTTTGCATTTCCCTGATCACTAATAAAGCTGAATATTTCTTCATATGATTATTCACTGTGCAAGTTATCTCCTATGTAAATGCCTTTTGCCCATTTTTCAATTATGATGCTTGTCCTTTGTATGAGTTACTTTATTTTTTATAAACTCTGCTGTTCCTATTATTCATCTGCAAATGTGCTCACCCAATTTATAGCTTATCTTTTCACTTTCTTTAGTGTATCTCTTAATGAACAATAATGTTCTTCATTTTATTATAGTCAAATTTATTCACCTCTTCTTTTACATTCATTACTTTTTGAGTCTTATTTTTAAAACGCTTCCCTACCAGGGAAGAACATATTCATTTTTTTACCTTTTTTACATTTAAGGGCTTTGCTTTTTATATTTGAGCCATTGGCCCACCTGGATTTCATGGATAATATGAAGCAAGGATCCAGTTTCATATTTTTCCATCTAAATGACTAATCATGCTAAATCCCTCTTTTGTTTTTAGCTCTTCTGTTTCCCCGTGATCTGCCCTGACTCCCTTGTCATCTAAGTTTCATAAATATCAAGAATTTTTCTTCCTCTATATTCTACTCCATTGTCAGTCTGTCCATCCTTGTGCCAGTCTTATGCTGCTTTAATTTCTTTAGCTTCATAATCAGCCTTAATATCTGGAAGGGAAGTCTTTCCTCTATACTGTTTTATTCTGAAGTGTTTTTGTTATTCTTGGCCCTTTATTTTTCTCTGTGATTTTGGAATCCACTCACTAAGAACTATGAAATCCCTGGTGGAAACTTGATTGGAATTGGATTGCATCCATAAGTAACTGAGGAAGAATTAAAGGTTTTATAATATTAATGTGTCCTGTCCATTAACAAGGTATATCTCTCTATTTATTTAGGTCTTCTTTAAGATTTTATTTTACTATCATCCAGTTTCCTTAATAGGATTAGACTACAGGGTTCTTCATCTGTTCTTGAGTCAATTTTATTAAATTATTTTCCTAGGAATTTGCCCTTCAACTAAGTTTTCATGTGTATTCTCATAAAGTTATTCATAATATTTTCTTCTCATCCATTTAAATATGGAAGATTGGTGGTCATGTCCCCCTTCTCGTTTCTGATATGGGTTATTTTTATTTTCTCTTTTTTTCTTGAGCTGTTTCTCCAAAGGCTTTTTAAACCATTTCAAATAAATAACTTTTGGCTTTGTTGGTCCTCTCTGTTTTAGATTTATTTTCTATTTCATTCATACCTCTTCCTATCCTAATGATTTCCTTTCTCCTACCTTCTTTGGAATCCATCTGACCCCAAAACTCATGTCTATGAAGTCCTAATGCAGTCAGCAATCTCTGTGTCCTTTCCCATTTAGGAGACATTTTAGGTTTGCCTTAATCAATTATTCTGGAACTTGAGTTTGTGAGTTGTTGTTGATTTGCATGGGTAAAATGTAGTCCTCTGTCATCCTCCCTTTATTCCTGCGAAGCAGCTGGCTCTGAGTCACTGAGGACATGGCTGCCTTTGTTACAGGTGATAGAGACAGACCTTGAGCCCGCTCACTCGGTACTGGAGGAAAACTACCGGGAACTGCAGCTTCAGATCAGCGCCAGTGTGGATTTTGCCTCATACCAGTGCCCAGTGACCAACGTGCACTTTAAGGAAACGCTGGTTTACCAGACCCGAGTGTTTGAGTGAGTCATCCAGAGCCCCTAACGCTCATCAGAGAAGCTCTGTCTTTTCATCATTGACTCATTCCTTCATCAAACATTTATTCAGTGTCTAAGACAACACATACCAGACATCATATCTGTGTGGCACCCAAGAGTGTCTTCCTGGGTCCAGAGAAGCATTCAGCCCCATGAAGGTATTTAAGCTCACATTTGAAATCAAGACATAGTCCAGGAAACAGTCTGTCAGGAGGATGGCATCAGGTGATCAGCTTCAGTGGGAATAGTCCTTGCAGCAGTCCACATTACCACCCCGGGCTGGTCCTTTCTGGCCCCCCTAGGTGACAGCTCAGGCAATATCCACACTAGTGAGGATGGAATGCATCTTAGCTTAGGAGGCGACATTTCTCATAACCACTCCACAGGTTTAGCTTCCAGGATCCCTGCAGGGGACTTGCCCAGTTACAGGAGTCACCGCACTCAAAGAACCCCATGGCTGTGACCTCCCTAGGGGTAATCAGAGCTCCTCCCAGGCCAGGTGTGCTTTTCCAATCAATCAGGGGTCACTTTAACTATGACTAATGTTGCCTAATAATGCAGCTGACATATCTCCTTCATCAGGTGTCCAGGAAACAGAGCTAGAAAGTTAATGAAAAGTCAGATTGTCCTTAAAAGGAGAAAGGGTTATATTAACTCTCACCCACGCTCAGACAGGAATACAAGGATCTGCAGGTCTTGCTCTCCAAGGGCTCATTGCAGTTCGGGGGGAATGGGTGAAAACAGGTGAGCTGACAGTTTCCCTATGGTGTCGGGAGTGTGCCGTTAGGGGTACCTAAAGCGGACCATGGGGAGAGACAGGGAGTTAGGGAAGGCTTCTCAGACAAAGTGGCGCCCCAGCTGAATTGTGGAGGACAAGTAGGAGGTGGCCAGAAGTGAAGAAGTGAGAAAAAGGGCCTTCTAGGCAGGAAGAGCAACATATACCAAGATAGATAAAAAGAGAAGGCCTGTGACTATTCTTTGAGAATTTCAAACACAAAAATGTAAACTGCTGACACTTCTGCTTTGTAAAAATTAGTCAATAACTTGTTCAACTCATTTTGTATTTGCTGCACTTAAAGCGTCCTCTCAAAATATCACAGAACCAAAAGATAGAAGGTGGGCAGTGCAACCCTCTGCCGATGGCCTAAAGCAGGGGTCGGCAAACTGTGGCCTGCAGACCACATCCCATCACCTGCCTCTTTTGTAAATAAAGTTTGGGCGCACAAGCACACCACCTGTTCATGTATCGTCTGTGGCTGCTTTTACACTGAAACAGCAGAGTGAGTGATATGGCACACAAAGCCAGAAAACATACTAACTGGCCCTTTATTAAGAAGTTTGCCAACCCCTGACCTAAGCCAAGAACTCTTTTCTGTGCCACAGAGGTTTCTCCACTTTCTAACAATTTTCTTTCAGGTAACAACCAGGGCTCATAAGTTTACACAATAAACATAAGCCCCTGACGTCAAAGCACTTGACTTCAAGCACATCTGCGTGGTCTTCCTGGAGGAGATAATGGAAATTGAATCCCCACACCCCACCCAAGGCCTACGCTCCCCACAGCTTTCAACTCTCACTGCTCCCCTAAAACCAGGAAGAGCATGTGTGTTTCTTTCTCTGACACAGTCATTTTCTTGCCTCAAGGCTTCATCCTTCTGCCATGTTTGTGATCAAATTTAGTAGTGATTCCAGAAAAAGCTTCTGTCTCCTGGTTCTTAGCAAGAAAACTTGAAAGCTCATTGCGTAGGGTGCTGGTGGTATGCAAGATGATTTTAAATGCTCAACAGTGTGTATATTTTTGCTTTTAATAGCTTTGTGCATATTTATGTGTTTTAGAAGAAAATATGGCTAACACATCAAATTATGATATCAGATAAAATTGCTTAAAACTTGCCTTTAAAAGAAATATTTAAGAAAAAAAGTGGTGACATAAAGGAGAAAGTAGCAGGGTAGATGATGTGCAGCAGGACAAAAATCATCTGCAGCCCATTTCTAAAACCCATTCCCTGACCTGTTTGCAGGCTTGAACTGATTAATTCAGGAAATGTGCAGCTGCAGTTCAACTGGATCTCCAACGAGACCTCAAAGGCTGAAATGCCAGATAACCAAGGTAAATGTGATGACAGGTGAAACTCAGGGCTCGAATTTCCGTGATTAGTAGAAGAGCCTTGTTCATGGAGAAGTGCGCACTACTAGGACAACCCCCTCAGTAGCTAAGGGGGAGCACAGCAGAGATCTGGTGGTATCTTTAGAGCCAAATGGGCCTGAGAAACTCAAGAGCTGACCTCCACCCTCCTGGAGCCCAAGCCCTGGGCCCCTACCAGGTCAGCACCCTGCTCTCACAAATCCCTGGGAATACTGTCTTTTAGATCTTAACCTCTCGGAGATTACAGAGCCTTGGAGAAACTGATGGAAGCTATGAAGTGTCTCCCCAAGAAAATACACACCAGTGCCCAATTTGCAGTTGATACATATGAAGCACATAGAGAAGGGCCCAGCACTTGGTGGACACATATTCACTACTATTGTTGTAACTTTGGAAATTCACAGACCCTCATCCTTGGGAACCCCCACTTTTTAAAACAATGATTCTCTGAAAATTATATTCACAGTCTATTATTGTTGAGACAGAAGACCCACAGACATCTCCTTGACCCACCCCCTTGAACCAAAAGAAAACAAATTTGAAAACTCAATGCAATTAATAGAATTATTTTTTGAGTCTCCTGTGAGAGATATGAGCCAATTCCTTACTCCTGGTGCCCAAAGCTAAGTATACCTACTAGAAGAGGTGAGCCCACAGACCTAAGTCCCTAAGGACCTGTGAGTGGGCTGCCTTCCACCTGCCTTCCCACTGCAAATAAAGAATTTCACTGGTTCTCTGTCTGCCCCCAGGTTCTCAAACAGACCAGCTGAGCCAGAGTACACTGCACACAGCCAGCACCCTGGACAGTGCTACAGACCACAGGAATGACGCCTCCCCACCTCCTTTCTCTGTGGAGCCCTCCTCAGGCATCGTGCCTGTGGGGAAGATTCAGAAAGTTAAAGTGAAATTCTCCCCGCTGGAGGTTGGAGACTTTGAGAGCAATCTTTTCTGCCAGTAAGGAGATGTGCTTCCCAGAGCAAACCTCTGTGGTTCCGATCCCTTCTGTCCCACCACTGCCACCATTCTTTCCTGCCCTGGGCCCCTCCACAGCCCCTAACTGTCATATTTCTCTTTGGAAAGGTTCAAAGGGTCCAGGCTTTGGAGAGCAAGGAGAATTTGGTCTTTTGTTTTGCTCATCAACCCTCTCTAGATATTTCCTCCTGCCCACCACCCCCTTCCCAGCCACATACAGGATCCCACTGGGCAACAGAATGGTTGACAGTCGGGTGGGTTCCAGTCTTTGGGCAAGCATGAACTTAGGAAGGCTTTCTTGTACCTTTTCTGAGTCTTGATTTCCCCCATATGTAAAATGCAAGTAACAGTACCTACCTTGTAAAGTGGTCATGCAGATTAAATGAGTTAATTCAAGTGAAGAGCTTAGAACAGTGCCTGGCATGCAATAAGCATAGTAGACATTAGACAGTGGTGATGGTGGGAGAGGTAGACCTGGTCCATAGTTGGTGAGGAATAGAGGAGGCCAGGCCCAGGTAGAGAAAAGCCAATCTGATAGTATCTGTCAGTGAAACTCCCTGATATGGTACCCACTCCCAGGAGGGCTCTGTGGAGAATACCCACCTTCCAGAAGAATTCTGTGAACCACATGGCCTAAGGCGGTAGAAACCTATGTGGAAAGCCTTCTGGAGTCCCTGCAATCACGCGGCAGAGGACCCTCCCACACCCGAGCCACCTAAGCTCAGTGCCGGGGCTAGAAGTCTGCCCACACCCAGTCACCCTCTCCAAGGAGCTCAGGATACTTTTTAAGGAATTCTGGGTCACTTTTCGGATCCCACTAGATGCCTATGAGAGGGCCCAGACGGTAAGACTGCTCATTTTACAGCAGGGATGTGCCACTGAGCACTGATGGAGGGAGCAACTTTAGGCCATACTTGGATCCACAAAAGGAACCAGAATTCAAGCTCCTTGTACTCAGCCTATTAATGCATTCATCTCCTCAACAACTAATTGATGAACACTATATATTAGCCACTATTCAGAGCACTGAGATTTTGTCCTTGACGAAGACAGACCCAGCCTCTGCTCTCATGGAGCTCACATTCTGGTGAATTCATTTCCAACCAAGAGGGCAACATTGGATTTTTTAAATATATAAATAAATAAAAACAAAAACAACCTTCTCCTCTCAGGATTCCCAACCTGCCACCTGGAGAGCAAGGTCCAGTATTATCAGCAAAGGGGCGGAGCTCCTTGCCCATCTGCCATTTTGATCTGCAAGACTCAGACTACCTCAGCAGTCATCAGCGCCACCCAGACCTCCGAGGGCCTGGTGGTGGGGCTCTGGACCCAAACACCCGGGTGATTGAGTTCAGCAGTGTGGGCATAGGAGGCAAGAACCTCCGGTGAGTCCCTCAGGTTTGCATTGGTTGTGTTCATATGAGTCAACCCTTCTAAAGAGCTCAGAGGAGGAAATCAGAGAAGTGAGCTAGTGTGGTTCCTAGGAACAGGCTTGATATGCTGGGTTTGACTTTATAGAGAACTGCTACAGAAAGGAAGCTGAGTTCTCTCTATTTAGTTCTGACACTAAACATGTGGAAGTCATGAAAACATAACCTCTCACCACCAGCTTGACTACAGAGGATCCCTGGGACAGAGGGACCCTGGGTATCATTATCATTCAAAGTGGAGAACTCGAGCCATATTTTTGGATTCCCAAATGAGATGCACCTCTCATCTCTATAGTAACAAAGTGCCCAGGGAAGTTCCAATTCCCAGAGAGGGGAACTGTGCTGGGGCAGGTCCTAAGAGAGTTTCCTTTAATCTGCACCCCCTCCTCACTCTCTACCATCAATTCTTCCCCCTTGGCCAGGACTTTTACGATTCTGAACCCAACCAGCAGCACCTACTCCTTCTGCTGGATCTCTGAAGAAACAGAAAGTCTCCAGAACCTGCCAGCTTTCACATGTCTCACCGAGAAGGGCTCCATCCACCCTGAAAAGAAAGCTGAGGTGTGTGTGTGAATGAGGGCCATCAACCCAGGGCTGTAATTATCCTGTCTCTCTGCATAGCAAGTGTGCCGTAGACCATAGGTAGAGTTAGGGAGAACGGCCCGAAGTTACATCAGTCAGCAAATACTTCTTGAGGGGCCTCCATAGATATTAGGCAATCCTCATGAACAAGACAGACCTGAGCTCTCTTGGTTGGCCATGGAGAAATATATTTGCAGTTTTAAAAATTGGAATTATAAAAGCAGGCAAGTAGGGCTGGACACCAGTACCCGAGAACCCTAGGACTCGTACCATAAGATGAAATAAGGAGTTATTTTTGTCCAAGGGACTAACAGCAGTGAAAAGGCACAGATAATGCTTCACTTGGTCAGGCCAAAGGGCAGAAGAGTAAAGTGGAGTCATGGCCCATGGCTTAGTCCTCATGTTTACACAATGATAGAGGGTAGGGAATTAGACTTAAAGAAATAGGAGCTCACTGGCCAAAACCGATCTGTGCGCCCTATGCCCTATAACTTCTACAGAGAATCTTGGAGGCAGACATTAATCCATGAAACAGAAATTATGGATTCAGATATCTTCAAGAAGGTCGCACAGGTGAATGAAGCAGGCCAGGGGGATAATGATAGGAATGCTGTGTACCAGGGCTGGCTGGCCAAAGTGCTGCTCTGGCAGATGACAGTCACACAGACCAGTGGGCCCAGGGTTGCCATTTCTCCCAAACATTCTGGGAAAAGCCACAGTTGCATATTTCTAGCTGAATCTCTCCATTTTCACATGCATCCAAGACTGGGCATGAGACATGATAGCCTTGCCAGCAGAGACCATGGCTTGGGTGGACCCCTGAAGAGGGCCTGTGGGCAGGGCAGACAGACATTGATGTTGCTGCACACAAACTTGCAGAGCTTTACCGAGAGGGCAGAAAGGCAGTGATGACCTGGTACCGTCAGCCCTCATAACCCCAGGGCTGATAAGCCTCCAAGGGCACGCAGAGTAATGAACAGAAGTGCCTCTTACCACTGTGTCCCAAAATGTCTTCTTAGGTGGTCTTCCAGTTCATACCCTCCCATCTTGACATCACAGAAGCGTTCTGGACTTTCTCAATCCCTGAACACAACATCACAGTCCCTTTCCTGCTGGTAGGCAAAGTCACTGACCCTCTTATCCATCTGGACAAGCCACACCTCCACTTCAGTTGTCTCCTCATCGGTAAGGCTGCTGTGTCGGTTTTTAGAGATGGCACGACCTTTGGGGCAGGGGAGCGGGATCCACGCAGCAGTGCTCTCCAGGCGCAGACGTGGGCGGGGACTTTTCCCGGGGCCTTCCAGGAAGGAGCCTGCCGCCATCGCTGTTCACAAGCCGCAGAATAGTCACCTCGCAATCTCGTTTCCATCAAGTATCTTCTTAGCACACAAACTAATAACCCAAGGAAATGTAGAAGCCTTACTACAGATCTCACTTGGAAGAGTCCTTTAGGGCCTGGACTGACTTATGTTCATTTCCAGAGCCTCCTGTCGGCCCCTTCCGACTTGTGCCCCCAGATTATGGGCTGTATTGGCTTGTCTCTTGGCCTTTGCCAAAGATTTCTCTGCCTTTCAGGTTTTTCTTCAGTTCAACTGAGCCCTTTGTATGCCCCAGGCATTCCCTGTGAGCTGGGAATGCAATGGATAAAGCCAAAGTCTCTACACGTAGGAAGGTTACACTCAGCAAACGGACTACCAAAAAATAAAAAAGTAAAATGTATAGCATGTCAGCTGTTGATAAGTGTTCTAGAGAAGAATAAAGCAAGGTAGAGGGAATAAGGAGTGCCAGTGGGCAGTGGGAAGGTGACATTTGATCAGAGCCCTGAAGGAAATAGAGGAACTGATTGCCAGGCCACTTACCACATGCATGTGAGGTGTGTGTGTGTGTGTGTGTGTGTGTGTGTGTGTGTGTGTGTGTGTGTGTGTGTGTAAAACATAACTAAAGCTAGAGGATTTTTTTTTAGTAATTCATTAGAGTTTTTTAATTTATATAAGAAATATTCTTTATAATAACTCAATGTGTTATTATATTGAGTGTTGTATAAGGAAAAATTTAATTATCTCTCCCCACGCATCCTATCTCATCCTCTCCTTTCCATCAAAGGAAACCAGTGTTAACAGTTTGAAGCATATTATTTCCATACATTTCTTATACTTATACATATAAGTAGGTGGAAGGAGATTATGGTGTTTAGTAGGGTTTTGAACACATAAATGAACAATGTAGCATAAGAATAATAACAGCAAGACAAACAGAATTTAATTTAGGAATGCAAAGGTGGTGCATTTCAATATAATATTACATCAACAGGATTAAAGAATAGCCATTAGCTCATATTACTATACACTGAAAAATCATTGCTAAAATTCAGCACTTTGAACAAAAACTCTAATAGTAGAACAGGAACAGAGGAAAAAATTAAGGTTAACCAAAATCAGGAGGGAAATATTTTCTTGTAATAAACCACTAAAACCGCTTCAAGTAAAATCATGGATTAAGCAAAGATGCTCATTATCACCATTATTATTGAGCATTTTCTTAGTGATTTTAGCAAATAAAGTAGAACAAGAAAATTAAATGATTGGCACAAACATTGAGAAAAAGAGACAAAACCATCTCATTTTTATGACTTCACACATAGAAAACCTCAAGAGGCTCTAGAGAAAAGGAACACAAACTTCTAGAATCAACAAGATAATTTAGTAAGTGGCTGATGTAAGAAAAGTATGCAAAAATCTGTAGTTCCTCTTTCATTTAGCAACAAGCAGCTAGTAACATAAACAAAAAAAATCCATTCAAAAGTAACAAAACTATGTAGTATCTAAGGATAAATGTAACAAGAAAAGCACAGGACTTATATGAAGAAAACTCTAAAATCTTGTTAAAATGACCCCAACCAAGATCCGAGTATCTGCCAAATCTCTCAATCAAATGCAAATTTAATCAAGTTCTAATTAGAATCCCAACTAGGGTTGCCAGGCAAAATACAGGATGTACAATTAAATTTGAATTTCAGATAACAATGAATAATTTTTTAGTATAATATTTGAAACCTACTATATACTAAAAAATGATTTGCTAAATCTAGCAACCTTAATCCCAAAAAGATCGGAGGTGGGGGGAACTGGCTGAAATGATTCTAAAGTTTATGTGGAAAAACAAATGCTCTGCAATAATCAATGACGATAAGAAAAAGCAAAACAGTGATAGGAGATGTATTAGTTGGGGCCCTATTAGGACACTCATGACATATCCCGGGTCTGACTCAGAAGAGTTCAGTGCAAGGATTATTCACAGAGATGTGGGTGGAATGATAATGCGTGAAGCCCCCGTTAACAAAAGCAGGAAGGCACTGGACCTGGAGGACCAGGAGAGAAAAGGGTGCCACCAGAGTCGCAAGAGAGCTGTGCCTGAGGCGGAAGAGCCACCCAGCAGGAGCAGGCAACAGGTAAAGTCCTAGAAGGAAGAGGTGGGGTCCCCTGGGGGAGCAAGGTCACTTAGAAAGAAAAGGAAGGAAAAAAGATTAAATTAAAGGCCAAGAATCTTGGAAGAGGAGAGAAAAGAAGTCGGAGAAGCCCTTCTAAGAAGGCTTCCTGTCGCCTGCGGAGCAGTATCTGCTGAGGTACTTGCGGAGCAGGCACGAGCACCCCACCGAGGGCCGGTGTTTCCTCCCCAGGCAGAGAAGCCCGGAGGACCGTGCAGATCATCAACAAGGAGGAGCAGGGGTTCCACTTTGCCTTCCAGGATGACTCCCGATACTCCGAAGGCTTCAGCAACAGCCTGGTCATATGTCCCATGGAAGGCTGGGTCCCACCGCTGTCAAGGTAAAGAAGGAAGGCCTGCAGGACTGCACGCTCCCAGCATGGCAGGGGCCCCAGCCCTACCAGCCAGGAGAATCAGTTTCTCTTAGAGCGCCCCACTTATGAAGTCCCTTCCAACTCTAAAATTTAGATATTAACAATCCCATCTCTATCCTACTTTCTCCCTGTTGTTCATTTGCTGATGAATTGTGGAGCACTGAGAATTTTAAACCTTTGTTCCCAATACTTTGTCTTATATTTCTATCCTTTTCCTTGTTATCTACTGTATTTGTGAATCCATAAAGCGATGTCCTGCCTTGCTTGGCAAATCCTCAAAACTCATCATAATTTGGAGCTGTAATGCCCTTTCCTCATAATATATCTGCTAATCCACTAGGCTCATATATTCTTCAGCAGATTGTAACAGGCTGGTGCAACAGGTTGTAATCTGCTGTTTTTGTTCCCCAACCAGCTTCCCAATTGATATTTTCTTCACACCAAAGGAGGAAGGAGATGTGAACTTTAATTTGATCTGTAATGTGGAAAAGAAAGCCCAGCCTCTGACCTTAAATGTCAAGGCTGAGGGCTACACCATGAATGCAGAGGTCAAGTGCAAGGACAGGACTGGCTTAGTCACTCTCTTGACTCCCAACGAGACCACCATCATCAGCTTCTATGAGGTAAAGGTGTGAGAGGGCCTTGCGTTCTCTCTCTCTCTCTCTCCGTTTCTTCATTGGCTGGCAAAGATAATATAAGTGATTATTAGCTGCTGTCTCTGTTTCAAATGCCAGGGAGACCTGGAGAGCACACCATGCCAGGAGCAATGCCATCCCCAGACATGTATAGTTTTGATGAGACAACTTTTATTTTTTAAGGGGTGGAAAAATAATTGGGAAAAGGAAGAATGTTTGTATTAAAGATATAGGAAGAATGTTTGGCCACTAAAGGAGGTCTAAGAATTAAATTGTCATCTTATTTTCCAAATATGAGGGGCCCCCAACACCTTGTAGCTCTTGATGGAATATCTGACTACATTAAACTATTAATACTCAATTCACTAACATCACGTACCATCCGTTTCCTATGGGATATTTCCCCCCAACATGTTACATATCCTGACCCCAGAGAAGGTCATAGTTGCATCCACTGACCATACCGCTCTCTTCTCTGTCTCTCAGGTAGAGTTGAATGAATGCGTCCAGTGTGAGTTCAACTTTATCAACACTGGAAAGTTCAACTTCAGCTTCCAGACAGAGCTGTCTGGCCCCAAAGCCCTGCTGCAGTACATGGGGTTTTCACCCACTGATGGCACTGTGGATGTGGGGCAGAGCACCCAGGCCTCCTTGTCATTCCAACCATTTAAGAAGTGTGTCTTAAAGGGCCTGGAACTCAGAATCAAGGTGAGACCGTTTAACATTGTCTGACACTGAAAGTACTCATAGCATCCTCTCTTGAGAGATTAATTCTCACCCTACCATAAGTCTCTGGAGAGTAGTTGTGTTGGGAATAGCCCCACAGTCTCTAGTGTAAAGGCCTCATCCAGACTGAGGTGCTCAGTGAGTGTCAATAGGAAAACAACTGACCATCCAGGCACTGGAATATCATGTAGCCATTAAAATGGATAAGAGCGATAGATGGGAAGGAGGGAGGGAGAGAGAGAGAAAGATAACATATACATTTTCCAAGATAAGTTATTGAATGAAAAACCAAGGAATTGTGATGCCAGCAAGAATGGCAGGGAAGGGCCTCCAAAAAGCTACTCTTCCATAGTGCTGCAGAATCTATCAAAATCAATTTTTTTCAGAATTCTTGAAATTAACCAAAGGTTTATAACACTCCTAGGAGAACTTATTCAAGGAAAATGGCTAAATATCCATAAGAACAGTGAACTTTGTGGTATTTTTAACTTGCCTAGACCCACACCCTTCCCCCAGCTCTGCAGTAGCCTTGAAAACCAACAACTCTGTAATCAAAGTGAAAACCAGCATATGTCACACTACCATCAGACAAAATAGCCTGTCAGACAAAAATTAATACTAGAGACAAATAAGAACATTTTATAATAATAAAAGAGTCAACCCATCAGGAAAACATAACAATTGTAAACATGTACACACATAGCAACAGAGCCCACAAAGATATGAAGCAAAACTAACAGAATTGAATGGAGAAATAGACAATTCAGCAATCATAGTTGGAGATTTCAGTTCACATTTTAATGGGCAGAACACTGGGCAGAAGATCAATAAGGAAATAGAAGACTTGGACAGTACGATAAATGAACTATACCTAAAAGACATCTACAGAACATTACATCTAACAACAGCAGAATACACATTCTTCTTAGGTGCCCCTGGAACATTCTCCAGGCTAGACCATATATTAGACCGTAAGACACACTTTATCAAACTTAAAAGGATTGAAATCATCCAAAGTATGTTCTTCAACAATGATGGTATGAAATAGAGAATTAACAACAAAAGGAAATTTGGGATGCCCAGCCTAAGACACTTTCTTTAAGTGATCAATTTATTTAAAAAAAGCACATTTAATTATCAGAGATGATGTAACATTCAGCTTCTCTCAGTCTTTACCAATATTGTTAAATATATGCTACCAATAAGAATTTGAAAAAGCTGTTTACCGGTAATTATTTTCTTTGAAGGAGATATGTTCAAGATCTTTTAAAAATAATTCTGAAGGAAATAGTTTGTTTCTGTGTTTACATAAAATTAATAGATTTTTAAAATATTTTCTAAGACTACTTTGGGTCATAGATAGCATATATAATAATGAAGTTTTACTCTTGTGTTGAAATAAACAAAACAAATACAAATACCAAGCCAAAAAAATCATAACAAAATCCCAGTTACTAAAGTTAGAGTACTTTTCATGATGCACTGATTTTTGTTTTTGTTTTCCAGATTCTAGGTTTTATTATCCTATTATTTATTATATATTGAAATATAAATTTATTTTATTATTTTATTTATTGTTTATTATTTTTCCTCATTACAGTTTTGTCATAGTAAAAACACTTAACCATGAGATCTACTCTTTTAATAAATTTTTAAGGGTACAATGCATTATTGTTGACTATAGGTGCAATGTTGTGTAGAAGCTCTCCAGAGCTTATTCACCTTGCTTAACTAAAACTTTCGTAACTCCCTGTTTTCCCTTCTGCCTAGCCCCTGGAAACCACCATTCCACTCTTTGATTTTATGAATTTGACTGTTTTAGCTACCTCACTTAAGTGGAATTATACCCTATTAATCTTCCTATGACTGGCTTATTTCACTTGGCATACTGTCCTCAAGGTTCATCCATGCTGTCACATACTGCAGAATATTTTTTTATTTTCTAAAGCCAAACAGTATTCCATTTATGCACATAGCACATTTTCTTTTTCTATTCATCTGTCAATGGACATTTAGGTTATTTCCACATCTTGACTATTTTGCATAGCACTGCAGTGAGCATAGGAGCGTTAATATTTCTTCAAGATACTGATTTCAGGTCTTTTGGATACCAAAGCCAAGCAAAGACACCACAAGAAAAAACTGCAAGCCAATACCCCTGATGAATATTGATGTAAAAATCCTCAATAAAATACTAGCAAACCAAATCCAGCGGCATTAAAAGGATCATACACTATGACTAACTGGTGTTTATCCCTAGGATGCAAGGATGGTTCAACATATGAAAATCAAATAATGTGATACATTACATTAACAGAATAAAGAATAAAATTCACATGATCACCTCAGTAGATGCAGAAAAAGCATCTGACAAAATTCAACACCCTGTCATGATAAAACTCTCAATAAAGTAGAAATAGAAGGAAACCACTTTAATGTAATAAAGGCCATATATGAAAAACTCACAGCTAACATCATACTCAACAGTGAAAAACTGAAAGCTTTTCCTCTAAGATCAGAAACAAAGCAAGGATACCCACCCTCACCACTTCTATTCAACATAGTACTACATTCAGCTAGGCAAGAAAAAGAAATAAAAGACATCCAAATCTGAAAGGAAGAAATGAAATTATGCCTGTTTGCAGACAACATAATCTTACATCTAGAAAACCATAAGATTCCATTAAAAAATCTGTTAGTACAATAAACTAATTCAGTAAAGTTGCAGGATACAAAACCAACAAAAGATAAGTTGCTTTTCTGTACACTAACAATGTACTATCTGAAAAAGAAATTAGTAGAACAATCCCATTTACAATACCACCAAAAAAGAATAAAATACTTAGGAATACCCATAAAAAGGAGGAGAAAGACTTATATAATGAAAACTACAAAACTACAAAACATTGAAGAAAGAAATTAAAGATACAAACAAATGGAAAGATGCCGCCCTATGTTCATGGATTGGAAGACTTGATATTATTAAAATGTCCAACGCCATCTGTAGATTCAATGCAATCTCTATCAAAACCCCAATGCCATTTTTTTTTACAGATATAAGAAAAACAATTCTATAATTCATACCGAACCACATAAGACCACAAACAGCCAAATCAATCCTGAGAAAGAAAAACAAGGCTAGAGGTATCACACTTCCTGATTTCAAAATATAGTACAAAGCTACAGCAATCAAAATAGTATAGTGCCAACATAAAGACAGACATATAGACCAATGGAACAGAATACGGAGCCCAGAAACAATTCCATACATATAGTCAACTGCTCTTTGACAACGGTGCCAAGCATACACATGGGGAAAGATTAAACTCTTCAGCAAATGGTGTTGGGAAAACTGGAAAAGAATGAAATTGAACCCTTTTACATGATACACAAAAATCAGCTCAAACTGGATTAAAGAGTTAAATGTAAGATCTAAAACTGTAAAATTCCTAGAAGAAAAGAGGGAAAAACTTCATGATGTTGGTCTTGGCAATGGTTCCATGGATTTGACACCAAAGCACAGGCAAAATAAGGTAAGTTAATAGAATAAACAAGTAGGACTACCTCAAACTAAAAAGCTCCTGCACAGCAGTAGAAGCAGTCAGTAGAGTAAATAGACATTATCTTTATACAAATCCTTAAGAAGAAGGTGACTGACAGGGAAATGGGGGTAAAGCAATTAGAACCTAGGGTGAGTTGCTGACTGTTCCATGATTTAGATGGCAATTAAATAATAGCACAATATAAAACAAAACAAAACACAAAACTGTAAAACTCCTAGCCTGGCATTCAGCAACAGAGAAGTGCCAGGCGTGTGGCCACAGAAGGGCCCATCCCTTTTGAGAACTGTCTTTTTCAAAACTGTTATTTCTTACAGCAAAAAGAAACATCACATATCATAGACCTTCCTACTCTGGCAGAGAAATTCAAGCTGGTAAACTTTAATCCTTTTCAGGGAATCAGTCACAAAAATGTAAAGACTTAAGAAGCCTTAAATAAAAAAATGTTTTTTAAATGCATAAGGTTGTTTGTAAAAAACTTGTACCAATGTTTGTTATAATATTTATTCTAATATATTGAATGAATATTGGATATTTTGTTTCAAATCAATTATCAATTTATGAAATTTCTTATTATAAAAAGGTTTGGAAGAGCAAATTAAGTTCACATACCCATGGTGCATGGTTTACCTTGTTGGTGAGAGTCCAGGCGATGACCCATATTCTTTTTGTCTTCCTACGCTTTCATCCTTGGTGTATTGGCCTTTGACCTCAGTCTTGTTCTCTCCTGGTCACAAGATGACCATCCCACCTTCAGCCCTATGTCTGCATTTCGGAATAGAAATAAGAGAAGAACCTGAAGGCAAAATAACTTCCCCAGCAAGACTTTACCCCTCTTGAGATAGGACACCCTCTTGTCCTCTTCTGTTTACATCCTGATGACCAGAACTATGTGTAAGGACCACCCTTTGTGGCAAGGGAAGATGCAAGATCAGATGTTTCCACCTGGGTACGTTGGCAACCAGAGCTCTGCCAGTAACGAAACACTGGGACGCAGCTGTTGGGTAGTAACCACCAGGCTCTGCCACAGCCCTCCGCCTTCAAGCGAATCACTGGGGCAGGAGCAAAGCAAGGGCCTGACTGCAGAACATCCCACTTCACTTTTCCTAAATAAACAAATGTCTAAATGAATCAGAAGCTCTGCAGATGGAGCCCTGGGACCTGTATTTTAGAGCCCCCAACTGCCTGCCTCCTTCACGGGAGGACTTCAAGGGCCCTACTCTCCCACTTCTGGTCTCATCCCACCTGCCATTCCCTCCCCACAGATCAGCCATGGCCCAACCTTTACGTGCAGCATCGCAGGCTGCGCCATGAGCCCGGCCATCCATTTCTCCTTCACCAGCTACAACTTCGGCACCTGCTTCATCTACCAAGCTGGGATGCCCCCATACAAACAAATCCTGGTCGTCACCAACAAGGAAGAAGCATCCGTGAGGTGAGCACACTGCCCAGAGCTCCCGGGTGATTCTGCAGCTCCTCGGGAGTCACACAGCCTCCACACAGGAGGGGTCCTGCCAGGACAGGAAAAGGAGGGCAGTGGGAAAGAGTCAGACACAGACGGGCACGAACCCTGAGTCTCTTTTCCCCACCACTGGAACTGATGCTTGGATAGCCACGAGCTACTCTGCTAAAATCCTCATCCTGGGGTGAGGAGGGTAATGCCAAATGGCCTGATGAGAGGTTGATGGCTTCCGTTTACTTTCCCCATGTAAAAGATGTGGAAAAAGTGAATTTCTCAGGCCGTTATTTTGCAGTAAATGATAGATCTACTGAACCTAAGCCTTCTGAGTCAAACCCAGCCTCCCTGCACCACCCCGTGTAGAATGTTACAGTCCCATTTCCTGGGCTCTATGCCATACTAACAAAACAATCTCCAGAGACTGGCCCAGAGATCTGTGTTTCCTGAAAGCTCTCTAGATTAATACTGTGCGAGAGAACTTTCCACAAAGATGGAAATGCTCTGTGTCTGTACTGTCCAATACAGTAGCAGACAACTGTGTGTGTCTATGGAGCACATGACGTGCCTAGTGCATCTGAGGAATTGAATTTTTTTATTTGATTTCATTTTAATAAATTTTAATTTTAATAGTCACATGTATATCTAGTGGCTATGATATTGGATAGCATAGGTCTAGGTTCAAATCCCAGCTTTTCCCTAGCTATGGGACCTTGGGCAAATTTTTGAAACCCTCTGTGCCTCTGTCTCCTCACCGGAAGTAGGGGATAAACAGTGTCTCCCCTACAGAGCCATTAGGAGGATTAAATTAGTTCACAGAGTCCTTAGAACATTGCCTGGAACACAGGAAATGCTCGCTGCCTCTCTCTGCAGCTCCTGATGATCTTGATGATCCTGAATGTTGAGTTACAAGAACGTCATGTATTTTTAAATACTAATTTAAAACCTTACGTATTCATACTCATTCTTGCATGATTTGATTTAATCTGAGTCTATAAGGTATTAAGCTCTGTTATTGGCCTAGCTGGATGCCTTCGCTAAATACCTAAAGGCAGACGAGATGTAATTGAGAAAGAAGTCTAGGTGCCCTCCTACTCACAGCTGGAATAGGATGGACGTGATCTTTGAAGATCGCTTATAGTCAAAGCAATTAGTGATAATAACAAGAGCTCACCTTAATGGAACGTTTCCTCTGTGGCTGATTTAGTAACGTTATGTCAGTTAATCTTCACAGCAAGTTTATGAGGTAGCTATCACTACCCCCATTTTACAGATAAGGACATAGAGATCCAAATGGGCTAATGAACTTTGATGAGGCCTCTTGGCTACTTAGCAACAGAACCTGGATCCACACCCCTCTGTCTGACTCCAGAGCACATATTCCTCTCCACTGTGCTTTGCCACCGAATTACTTAGGAAGCACTTCCTTCTTATGAGAAGGCAGAAGGAACCATGTGCAAATTAACAAGAAAGAGGGGATAGAGTGAGAAGAGCCGTGGGCAGGGGGCCATGGGACTTGGAGTTTGAGGCCTGGTTCTGACAGGGGTCCAGGGTGTGATTTGGGCTAAGTAACCTGACTGTGCCCAGGAAGGTGTGGGCTGGACCATTTGCTGATGTCCCTCCAGCCCTTGACTTCTATGACTCCAGGACAACAGGGCAGGACATCCATCAGTACCCGGCTCAGAGACAAAGGGACAAACCAGTTCCTCTGGGCCGGCCTTCTTAGAGCTGACACACCTGCCTCCTGATTTTCTCTAGCATTGATTGTTTGTATACCAATACCACCCACCTTGAGGTGAACTTCCGTGTGGATGTAATAAAGCCAGGAAAGACACTGGAGATTCCAATTACCTTTTATCCTCGGGAAAGCATCAGTTACTGTGAAGTCATCCCCTTTGAAATCAATGGGCTCTCACAACAAGTCGTTGAAATCAAAGGAAAAGGCACAGAAATGAAGGTAAGAGACAGCTGGGGAGATCGTTGGGCTTGGCAGCCTTCTTGCCTTTCCAGCCGCCTTTGCCCACTGAGCCCACATCCTTTCTCCCCTGGCCGTGTGCCCTGCCCACAGCTGCTCTGTCAGAGGTCAGCCAGTCCCACTGAAGGGTGACCCGTCAGATCAGACTCAAGGGAGTCACAGATCTTATTCAATACCAAAGTTCACTGTGTCCTAGGATACGAGTAATCCAGACACTAGCCTTTTCCTTGTAGAAATTTGAGGCTCTCAGATTCAGCAGCCCAAGCATGTCCTTCTTCTCTCACATTAAGGCATGTTTTGATTTCAGGTTTAATAAGCAAGATTTGTTTTGGATTTGTATGCAGACATGTTTCAATTATGGAACATCTTTCCTTAATGCTGCATTGACTCACATTCTCCAGCCAGCCACAGATCCCAGGATTATATTTGGTGGAGGGCATTCCTTCTAACTAGGGGCTCCTAATGAAAAGGAATGGTCGGGTCCTGCTGCTAATCCCTTTCTCCCCTGTGTCTGGTAAACATTTAAGGTGTCTGTCTGGTGGGAGTATTTGCATTTTAATACGAGGTTTTGGAAGACAGGAAGCTTCCAAGATTTTCAGGAATGCACGGAACATTTTCAGCAACCGAGGGAAAAATGGGAGGGGTGTATTCCTAGCAGCCTTCCATCCAGCCAGAGGAGCAACAAGATATTGCCATCTGGCGTGTCTGCCCCCAAATCAGAGACGGGGTGTCTTCTGATGTCACTGAATCATTCATTTGTTCATTCTTTCTGCACCCATGTGTGTTAGGTACTTTGGGGAAGTCCAGGAGTGACTTAAACATGTTCTCTGACCACAGGCAGGTGCTAGAGACTCTCTTTTGCCTTTTTAGGAAAAATGGAAACATGTGGGCTGGCTATCAAGATAGTTGGGGGACAGGTGTTGTGTAGGTCAGTGACTGATTACATGACTGGCCAGTGGGTGCTGCTTGGTGCGCATCAGTGCCACCCTGGGCAGCCAGGCCCAGCCTGACCTTGATCCCATCTGGGCCAGCACTGTGACCAGAGCTCTCGATGAAGAGTCTGAAGGGCAGCTGCCTCTCCCACCTCTGTGCCACCAGTCCAGGCCATGCCGCCGTCGTTTCACACTCCTCAGGGCTCTCCGCCATGCCCCTTGCCGTCCAACTCCACAGAGCCCCAGGCCGAGCACCCTCACAGGGCTGGGTCACTCTGTGCTTCGCTGGCTTCCCAATTCTCCCAGAACAAAACCCCACCACCCCTCCACACTTCCCAGGCTGCCCCCTGGCTCCCAGCCAGTTTTTGGCAGAGCCACTCCCTCCAGCCCAGGGCCTCTGTCTCACCTGAGGGTTTTAGCCCCAGGAAAGTTCTTTCTGGTTCAGTGAGACTGAATAACAACAACAGAACGATGGGGATATAAAGAGGCTCATACCAAGCTTTATTCTCACTGCCATAGGTCTAGTGTTAGAACACGCCTGCACCCAGCAGTCTACAGGTAGCAAGCCTGTCTCGGTCTCTGCCTCGGCTCAGCCTCTGCCCCAGGCACTGCCTCTGCTCCTGGCCTCTCCTCCCCTCTCTCCTGTTCTCTTGCTCTCTTCTCTAGGCTGTGTTCTTAGCACAAGGGGAGCTCTTTTTATAGGAATATAGGCAGTGATGGCTTATTGCCAACAGGAATACAAGTGTGCACCTGTTCGGTAGGCTAAGTATTACATCACTGTGTGTGTATAATGGGTAGATGAGATTAGGGTCGGGTGAGGATCCTGGCCATGGACCTTCCATTTTCCCTACAGGTAGTCTTCTCCTGCTGGGCTGCTCTCCAATCCCAGGTCCACCCCAAGTCAAACCAACTAGACCTGACCCTTTCTTCAGTTATCAGTGTAAACATGCCTTCCTCAGGGAGGCCTCCCCAGACACCAGCCCCTTGGGCCCCTCCAATGTGCTGTCAAGGCACCCTGAGCTTCCTTCACATCTCTTAACCCAGTTGTAATTATGTAATTGTGTAACGAGTTGTTCAGTGGGCATATTATGCACGTGAATGTTTATTGAGTGAGGGAGCGAGTGCCCATCCAGTATGAAAAAGACAGGCCTGGAAGAGAGCGGCCACCATTGCCTCATCAGATAGATGTATCATAATATTTCTTTTTCTCAGTAACTGACGGACCCTCCCTCCCTCCTTCTCTCTTTCTTGTCCCACAGATTTCAGTCCTAGATCCGGCCAACAGGGTTGTGAAGTTAGGAGCTGTCCTGCCAGGACAGATTGTGAAAAAGACGGTTTCCATCATGAACAGCAGCCACGCCCAGCTCACATTTAGCCTGTCAGTCCTGTTCTCAGTCCCAGAACTCCAGGAGCCCAAGGTTAGTGCCGGGGCTCCCAGTGGCCTCTCGTGCTTCCCAATGATACAGGTGACAGACAGCATGCTGGCAACACCAGCAGCTCACAGTTCTCGTGCACCTCCAACGTGTCTGATCTCTCCGAGAGCTTTCCCTGTGCCTCCTCCGCTCACTTCACCGCAAGGGTATAAGGCCGGTGCTTTTATTATTCTTATTTTCATGTAAAGAAACCAGGCTCAAAGAGGCAACACACCTCTACAGGGCAACAGAGGGAAATAGAAAGAGACCTGGATTTGATGGGATTTGGTAGATATGGATAATATATATACTCATTGTAGAAATTTTGAAAAATATGGAAAATCATAAAGAAAAACATTTTACCCATAATCTTACACCCAGACATAATCACTTAATATATTTGGTGCCTCTCTTTCCAGTGTTTTTCCTACAAAATTTTCTACAGAAATAAAATTATGATGTTCATATTGTTTTGAAACCTTTCATGATCTTGTAGTATATCAGAAACATTTTCCATGTCATTCAATGTCATCTGTTTATTTATGTGTAATGAGGTATGTAATGAGATCATGTAGATGGATCAGTTCTCTCTTTCTGCTTATTGTTCAGGTGTTTCTGACTTTTAATCTTATAAACAATATTGTATTGTTCATGTAAATAAACTTTGTGTGCATCCATGACTCTGCTTAAAACAAATTCCTAGAAGTAGGCTAATTGGGCCAAAAGGAAGGGTAGGTTTCAATACATATCACTGGTCTGCCCCCTGAAAGGTTGTCCCCCTTTCCACTCCCATCAACAGTGTGAAAGAAGCTTGCTTGCTGATAAATCCACATCCTTGAGTTCCCTGGAGAGAGAAGCCACCAGTGCTGGCTGCCTGCTACCCATCTCATAGTCAACAGTGTTTAGATGGCCTTGGGAAATGGACCAAATGGTTTCAATCCAAGGATGGACTGTTATTTATTCCTTCATTCGGTTCATTCATGTATTCACCCAGTGAACATGTGCTCGGTACTAGAAATGTAAAGGGTTGTCTAAGGTATCATGAGAGGAGAGGTTATTTGCAAGAGGGTCGGAAGGAGAATTAACACTTAGTAAATGCCTGTTAGGTACCATGCCTTTTATACAGATGATCTGAATCTTCACCTAGAGTAAGGCGCAGGAAGTTTAAGTAACTTACCAAAGATGACGCAGCTGGTAAGGAAGAGCGGAAGTGCGGTGGCCCCTGGAGCAGCAAGACCTCCGGGAGGGGAGTCTTAGAAGGTCCCTGTCCTCAGCTGCTGAATCTCGTTGTCATTTTTCAGGTCATCACCTTGATACCATTCCACAACATCAGTCTGAAGCCCAAAGAAGTCCGTAAGCTGGAAGTCACCTTTGCCCCGAAGAAGCGTGTCGCTCCCTTCTCTGAGGAGGTGTACATGGAATGCATGGGGCTGCTGCGCCCCCTCTTTCTCCTCAGCGGCTGCTGCCAGGCCCTGGAGATCTCCCTCGACCAGAAGCATATTCCCTTTGGACCAGTCGTGCATCAGACACAAGCCATGCGTCGCATCGTCATGTTGAACACGGGTGACGTGGGTGCAAGGTAGGAATGTGGTACCCCGACCTGGGGTTGGAGCAGAGCTCTCCCACCCTGAGTTGGCCTAGATTTGGATTAGATGTTAGTTTTAGGAGTATGGCTACTTTTATTTCCTTCCCCTCCCTTTTACATCCCCTCTCTTCCCCCAAGATGTGACAGAGGTGGCCTCACCAGGTAATTGCTGCTTCCATGATACTAAAATGCATATGATGGAGAACATTTGCTCAGTGCCTGTCAAATGCCCTGTATGTGGTTTATCTCATTTAATCCCAACAACAATTATATGACTGATCCATTTTACAGATGAGAAAACTGAGGTATAAAGAGATTAAGTGACTTCCAAAATTGTGTGTTTGGTAAGGACTTAGAACGTGCAGGTGCAATGTTGAGCATTCTTACATTTAAGACCCCATTTAATCATCCCTACAGGGGATCCCTACAGGACCCTCTAAGTTAAGTACTGTAGGGTCCCCATTTCACAGATGAGGTTGAGGCTCAAAGAGGTTAGGTGACTTGCCCAAGGTCACTCAGCCAGGAACTGGAAAATTCAGGATTGGACCCCAAGTGTACCTAAGGCAGCTCTGCTCTCCAGGCTCTTCCCTCATGGTAGAGGTGCCCACCCCAGTCACTGCCCAGGCAGACCACCTCAGCTGTGCAGGCTACACACCGCACTCCTGCAGTGGGCACCTCTCACAGAGCCCAGTGTGAGCAGTGCCCCAGGGGTGCAGCGTGGCAGTTCTGGCACTGGAAACAGATCTGCACCGTCCACCTCCATCTCCCGCCTGGACCTCAGAGGGGTGACCACACAGTGCCATATGATCCTGATGCCACCAGAAGCATGTGCAACTGTTACATGAAGGGATCATCTCCTCCTTCCTGGACCAGACTAAGAGGCGGTGCAGCAGTGGTGATGGCCATGGTCTCAGAAGGGTTCTGGTCCTGGCCTGGCCACTTCCTAGCTGTGCAATCCTGGGCACTGATCTGTAAGCCTGTGCACGTGGGTGTTCCCAAAAATATCATTTGTGGGCAATAAGATAAGAAGGCAGTCCCCTCCCCGCCGCTCAGCTCTGAGAGGGAGGTGAGCCGACTTACCTGGTGACCTTGGCCCCTGGCCACACTTGCCTCTACTCAACTCTGAGAGGGAGCTGAGTTATACCCAGGAGTGACCTGACCCTCTTCCCCACCTGCCTCTGTGCTCAGCAATGTTCTCCTCCCAAGTCCCAGGGGGAAGCCAAGGGGACAGACCTCCCAGCTAGAAGCCCAGGCAAGTCTCTTGTTCTCACTAATATCCTGAGGATATCCCCAAGAATATTAGTAAACTATCTTCCTTGCTTTTTTTTTGTCTTGGAAAAGGTTTAAATGGGATGTCAGAAAATTTGAACCTCATTTCTCCATCAGCCCAGAAGAAGGCTACATCACTGCAGGCATGGAGGTTTCTTTCCAAGTGACCTACCATCCCACTGAAGTGGGCAAGGAGAGTCTTTATAAAAACTTGCTCTGCTTCATCCAAGGGGGCAGTCCTCTGAACCTCACCCTGTCTGGAGTCTGCGTGGGACCACCTGCAGTAAAAGAGGTCAGTAGGTGCTGCCCACCAACAGGCCAGTAGCTGCAGTGGACCCAGCAAGCCCCGCAGCTGAGCTCAGCAAGGTCTTCTAGAAAAAAAAGGCTCTGCTCAGACAATCCTCAGTGCTGACATCAGACATTGAGCCCTGCTCCCTCCCACCACAGGGTATTCCTGCTAGTTGGAATATTCCTTTTTCCCTCTTCATTTAGTTAATTCCTATTTGTTCTTCAGCTCTCAACTCAAACATCACATTCTCAAGGATCTGACATCACTGAGAATGCACTGACATCTGTGGTTATATCAAAGTCTGTTATAAGCTCTGTGAGTAAGGGGTAAACACCTTTCTCCTCTATCGTTAAAAGAAGGGCCTTAGGCCCGGTGGAGAAAGGTAAATACTAAATGACTTAACTCATTTGTGGAATATAAAGCAAAGCAAAACTGAAGGAAGAAAATAGCAGCAGACTCCCAGACACTGAGAAGGGACTAGTGGTTACCAAAGGCGAGGGGTTGGGGACGATGGTGGGGAGGGAGAAGGGACTTAAGAGGCACTATAATCCTCAGTCACAGCATAGGTAAGTCACAGGGAAGGCAGTACAGCACAGAGAAGACAATTAGTGACTCTATAACATCTTACTATGCTGATGGACAGTGACCGCAGTAGAGGTGGGGAGGACTTGATAATATGGGTGAATGTTGAAACCACTGTGTTGTTTATGTGAAACCATCATAAGATTGTGTATCAATGATACTTTAATTTTTTTAAAAAAAGAAAGGCCTTTGGTTAATCCTCTGCTAGCCCTTTTTCTAGAAACCTAACAGGGGACTGTCAGCTGTGTTCCTGGTAACAATGTTTATCATAAATATGACACCCAATCTCTACCTCATAATTTTGTTTATTTCAAAAATTTTATGAAAATGGTATCAAACAGTATGCTATAAGCATCACATTCTCAAGGATTTCACATCCTTGCAAGTCCTGGCAAGAATATAGGCTTTGATTTTTTGAGCAAATACCTAGGAGCAAAATGGCTGGGTCATAGGGGAGGTATATATTTACCTTTTCAAGAATCTACAAAACTATTTTCCATAGTTGGTGTGTAATTTAACATTCCCACCAGTAAAGTCTGACATTTCCACTTGAGTCACATCCTCATCAACCCTTGATACAGCCAGTTTCTTAAATTATAGCCATTCTCATAGGTACAAAAGGGTATCAGATTATGATTTCTAACTCGCATTTCCCTAATGACTAATGAAGTTGAGCATCTTTTCAGGTACTTATTTGCCATCCATATGCCTTCTTTGTTGAGTTTCAAGTCAAATATTTTGTCTATTTTTATTTGGGCTATTTGTTTTATTATTGCGTTTTAAGAGCCCTTTATATATTCAGGACACAAGTTTTACACTTAGATCTTCAGTCTGTTTAGAGTTAATTTTTAAGTGTAATACAAGATAAGGATCAGAATTCATTTTATTTTATTTTTTTTTTTATATGGATATTGAATTGTTCTAGCAATTGTTGAAAAGATCATCCTCTATTCACTGGACTGCCTTTCTGCTTCAGTCAAAAACTAATCGATCATAGATGTGTGTGTCTACTGCTGAATTGTATTCTTGTCTATTGACTTATCTGACTCCCTCTACACCAGTACCACACTGTCCACATTGCCAAATTCAATGGCCAGTTCTCACCCTCATCTTACTTGACCTGTTGATAGCATTTGACACCTTGAGCAGGTCCCTCCTCCTTTAAACACTTCCTTCACCTGGCTTCCTGGATACCACCCTCTCCTTTTTCTAAATACACTTACTTCTTGATAACCTAATCCAATTTCTTGACCTTAAAAAAAAAACATTCCTTTACTGACAACCTTTCTTTGAACTCCAGATTTGAAATTCCATCGCCTATTTAAGGTGCCCATTTCTTCCAGGTGGTGAATTTCACCTGCCAGGTGCGCTCCAAGCACACACAGACCATCCTGCTTTCAAACCGTACCAACCAGACATGGAATCTGCACCCCATCTTTGAGGGTGAGCACTGGGAGGGGCCCGAGTTCATTACCCTGGAGCCTTATCAGCAAAACAAGCCCTATGAGATTACCTACAAGCCATGCACCATGAACTTGGAGAATCGCAAGCATCAGGTAGGCTGGACCCCCACCCCACTGGTGTCTAGGCATGGTTGGAAGGAGGGGTTGTGCGAGAGAAGTAAGGAGACAGTTTGTGAACTCAGAGAATGTTAACACAAGAGGGGACCCCACAACTCATGCTGGAACAAATGGGAATCAGACAGATCATCAAGTCTGAAGCTTCTCCTCCTGTCCACATGTTTTCATGTATAGTGGACCCTCTTGGAGTCGGGCTCAGCTCTGAAACAGAATCCTGGACTAAAAAGCATCAAGCAATTAATATTTAGCTTAACTATACAAATAACATAAGAGCGAGTAAGAAAATTCATAAAAGAAATGAAGCCATAGTCTTCCCAAAAAGAAAAATGAACTATTTTCTTCTTTCTTCACTACCAGTCTATCCAGAAACAGCCATAGCTGCCATCAGAGCATACTCAATTTCACATTGTTTATTTTCACTTTACATCATAACATAAGCTTTTTTTTATTTAACTGGGTTACCTTTTTGGTAATCATTTTTAATAATAGCCTAATATTTCATTGAATGAAAGTTTCCATATTTTATTTAACGTTCCCCAGTTGTGAATGTTTAAATTATCTCCAAATTTTCACCAATATTGTAAATGGTACTGATATATATGTATGTGTGTGTATGTATGTATCTTTTCCTCTGAAGGTATTTTTCTTCAGTAAGTTCCCAGGGGTTGGATTCCTAGTTCAAATGAACTAGTACATATGAACATTTTTATGACTCTTGAAACATTACAAAGCTACTTTCCAAAGTGCAATGTTCCATTCATGTTCCAGAGCTTCCATTAATCTTGTGTTACTACCACGCCCGTGAGATACCTAATAAGGACCCTCTGTGTCATTCTGACCACATTTCTCCTTCTCCTTAGGGCACCCTCTTCTTTCCCCTCCCAGATGGGACAGGCTGGCTGTATGCACTGCTTGGGACTTCCGAGCCCCCCAAAGCTGTGGCCAGTATCTACCGTGAAGTGCCGTGTAAGACACCCTACACTGAACTCCTGCCCGTTACCAACTGGCTAAACAAGTCCCAGAGGTGAGAGAGTCGGGCAAGAGGTTAGGGTGGGAGGATGGAGGGAGGACTTCCACTGTCCAGCCTGGCCCTTCCACTGGCCAGCGTCTCTGGAGGACACGGGGTCAGGGGGTAGTAGTGAGGGCAGAGGACTGAGAGTCAAAAACAAAACTCCCCGATGCAGCCAGGCACTGCTTGAACTCAAAGCCTCCAAAGAGATGCTCCTTGTTCAGTGCTCTCTGTGGACAGTGGGTTACCATGACCCTCCTGGAACGGTGCCTGGCACAAAATAATTGCTCAATGAATGTTAACTGTTACTATTTTTATCAAATGATAATCACGTTTGTTATGGAGTGCTCTGTCTTATTACCCAAGCCACTGTCCAGAGAAGGATGTCCCTTGGATTTTGTACTGCTGTTGGAATAGAATAGAATGCAAGGACTGGAGGAACTTGAGGCCAGCCAGCCTGGACGCTTCTTTTACACAGAAGGAGCCAGAAGCTGGGGGCAGAGGCATACCTTACCGAAGGCCACCTACTTAACATGGTAGATAGAGGCCCAGACCTAAGCTTGAATCTAGTTCTGCCAATAAGTAGTCATGTTAACTGAGCACATTATCTTCCTTCTCTTGGCCTCTGTTTCCTCACTAGTAAAATGGAGATGATAATGATACGTACCCCCTACAGGCATCATGAGGAATAAATGCCTGTAACATATGTAGAGCCCTGATTCAGTGTCTGGCACATAATAGACAGTCAATAAATAAATGGTCAATAGACAGTCAATAAATACTGTTATTGTTAGTGATTAAGTGAAGATCAGAACTCTCAACCTGTGTTCTTTCTGCAAAATCAAGAGTAAAGATATCACCTTTCTTCTTTTCCTTTGGGCATATGGTCTCACTTTCTCAGTCTTCTCCTCATGTCCTCCTGTGCTCCCCCAGATTCCGGGTCATTGTGGAAATGATGAAACCAGAGAAGCCAGACCTAAGTGTCACCTTAAAAGGACTTGATTACATTGATGTACTCTCTGGCTCCAAGAAAGACTACAAGTTGAACTTCTTTTCCCACAAGGAGGGACTATACAGTGCTAAGGTATCCCCATGCGAAAATCCCTGCCCTGGAACCCTGGAGGTTTGGCCCTGAAGTCACCGATCTGGCATTAGGAAGTGAAGATGACCTCCCACAGCCATCCTGTCCTTCTCCTGCTGGGCTGACCATTTCAAGTGACCTGGTGAAGGCATTCAAAATCCCCAGTCTCTTTACTGTAAGACCAGATTGCAGGGCCAACCTGCCATCGTAGAGGCCCATGCCAAGCCCACAAGGCAGCAGAGTTATGAAAATCCTTAAAAGCAGGTAACACTGAACCAGCGAACTCCAGACCATAGTAACAGAGCCCATTTTCTGATTGCTTACAGATAGTCCGGCATCGTATTGAACACTCAACATGTACAGTTAGTAATGTCAGAGCCAGGGCTCACCCAGGGCCATCTATTTCCAGGGCATCAGAGGGGCTTTCACACATGAGCTGTTTATCCTAATTCATTCACTAGTTCAACAAGTATCTACTGAGCGTTAAATGTTGGTAACACAGCAATGAGCAAAGATAGGTACAGTCTCTGTTCTCATGGGACACACAGCCCAGTGAAGGGAGACAGACATTAATCAAATAATTGAATTGAGTATATAATTACAAAATGAGATAAATGCTTTGAAGAAAAGGACTATATATGAATCAGTAGATTAAAGGGAAGGTCAGGGCTGAAAACAATATACGGACATTACCCCTACATACATAGTGTTTGAAGCAATGGTGGAAGATGGTATGACCTAGAGAAGGATCTTAAAGTGAAAAAAAATGAATCTAGGAACACATCTCCCCCCGCCAGGCCACCTCTGCCCCCTGGCCAGCATCTCATGCGACCCACCTGGCAGCGTGACATCTCCTGCCCTACAGGCCCTGAGGTAGGCCGCTCTGCTCAGACCACACTCACAGATGGGCTGACAGACCCTGCAAATCAAGGAAGCTGGAAACATCTGAAGGAAAAAAAGAAGCCTCTATAAAATAGAAATGCTAGCTCACCAAATACAAGCCCCTGCGATTAAGGAGTTAGTAAAGCAAACAAAAGATTTTTAGTGAATATTATTAATATTCTCAAAGGAATAAGGGAAGATAATCAACCCATGAAATAAGAACAGGCTATTGTGGAAGAGAATCAATTAGACACAGAAAACAAAAAATAGAATATTTGGAGTAGAAAAACATACCAGAAGGTTGAATAGTGTAATGGAGTCTGAGGAAGAGGTTAGTGGTGAGGAGACAGAGCTAAGTACTATCAACAGACTTTAGCAACATGAGCAGAAAGACATTGCAAGAATGAAAGGAAGTAATGACAAGTGTTGGTGAGGATGTGGAGAAATTGGATCCCTCACACGCTGCTGGTGGGAGTGTAATGGTGCAGCTGCTTTGGAAAACAGTCTGGCAGTTCTTCAAATTTTTAAACATAGAGTTACCGTATGATTCAGCAATTTCATGCCTGCATATATACCCAAGATAAATGAAAACACGTCTTCCTCCAGAAACCTGTGCATAAATGTTCATAGCAGCACTATTCATAACAGCCAAAAAAGGGAAACAACTAAATGTCCATCAAACGGTGAATGGATAAATACAATGGAATAGTATCTGGCAAGAAAAAGAAGTTCCAATACATGCAACACATGAATAAACCATGGAAACATTATGCTAAGTGAATGAGCAGTCATAAGAGGCCACAGATTGTATGACTTGATTTATATGAAAAGTCCAGAATAAGCAAGTCTATAGAAATAGAAAGTAGATTAATGATGCTCAGGGCTGGAGGGTACAGGTTAGGAGGAAATAGGGAGTGATTGTTAACGGGCACAGTGTTTCTTTTTAGGATGGTGAAAATGTGCAAAGATTGTGGTGATGATTGCACCACTCTGTGAATATACTAAAAACCATTAAACTGTACACTTTAAATGAGTGAATTGTATCTCAATAAAGCTGTTTCAAAAAAAAAGAATGGAAGGAAATATGAGACATAAATTAAAAATCAAGAAGTTCTAATATCTCTCTAGTAGGAGCTCCTGAAATAGAAAAACAAAATAATAGAAGGAAGAAAATACTCTACAAAGTTACTGGAGAAAGATTCCCAGGGCTATTTAAGAAAGATTGTCTTCTCACTGAAGGGACCTACCAAGTTGCCAAAGAAGGCAAATGAAGAAAGCCTCCCATCTAAATACATGAGAACAAAATTTCAGACAATTCAGAGGAGGGAGAAAGTCCCAACATGATTCTAGAGAAAATGAAAGGAAATAATAATCACAAAAACATCAAATTTCATGTGGCAACACTGAATACAAGAGGTAATGGAATAAGCTGTTCAAACTACTTAGAATGATTTTCAACCTAGACTTCTTTTTCTGGACAAAACTATTATGAGGATAAAATATAGACATTTTTAAAATTGCAAGGACTCAAAGTAACCCACCCATATACACAATCCCATCCAGATGAAGTACACACAAGTTTTTAAATTAGCAGTTTTTTAAATAACTAAATGAATCCAAGAAGAAAGTACAAAGATACAATGAACAAAGAATCAAAATTAAATTGATAGGTAATTTCAAATAATTGTTGAAAAGCAATCTGAAATGAATATTTCATGTGACCTCAATATAAGAAATATCAAGGAGAAGAATAAATAAAACAATGGAAAAAATTTCTCATTCAGTTGGAAGCAAATGGGGAACTAAGAGATGTTTTCTCGCTCATAGAGAAGGGAAGGGAGAGAATAGAGATATTTGTAAACTGTAGTTGTGAACAGAAAAATATAAATATATGTATTAAAATTTAAGTGTAAAGACTTTTGAGTAACAATGACGGTGAAATAAGATCACAGAATCTTTTTACAGTAGTATGTATTAAAATAAGCAAGAAAAAGTTATTTTTAAACAAAAGCACTTCTGCTTCTGGTTATGAAGTAACTAGTCCTCCCACCACGACCATATAACTGGACAAAATACCTGAGGTAAGCCGCCTCAGGCATTGGACAAAGCACAGCAACCCCAGTGAACTGAGGAGGAAGAAATCAGAGTTTGGTGCAGCTCAAACAGCTGGTCTCTGCAGGGTAGGGTACAGGAGAGGAGGGAGCCCTGCACGGAGGGGGAGGAGCATAGAAGTCTGCACGGAGTTCCCCTCACAGGTCTCGGCTGAGGGTGGGACTGCACATGCACAGGATGAAACTAGGTGGGATTTACCAGAGAGCACCTGCTAAAAGAGGTTGATAAAGGAACAAAGGTACAATAATACATAATCAGTGCTAGGGAATGTTGGCGGTCTGGCCCAGCCAGAATGGAAAGGTTACATTAACACCCATTAACATCCTAAGAACCCAGCTGAAATACCAGAAAGGCAAGAAAAGACCCATGCCCTTAGAATAAGACCCTCTGTGGACCAGCCCTTAAAAAGCCTAAAACCAAGCACCTGTAAGATATGCAAGGGAGGACAACATTTGGAGATCAAATCCCATCAACTCAGAAGTTCTTGGGAAGCACCTTGACCCTTCCACAGATCTGCTTTAACAAAACATAAAACCAAACCTACACAGTTTAAGATGCTAAATCAGTGATTGAACTTCGTCCTACAATAAAATCAACACCCTCTTATAAGGAAGATAACAGAATCCAGAATCATCTACAATGATCATTAACAGTGTCCAGTACACAAACAAAAATTGTGGAGCAAGAAAATGTGACCCATAGTCAAGAAAAGAACAGACAATGGGAACTGACTCCAAGATGGACCCGATGTTGGATTTAGCAGGCAAGGATTTCAAAACAGCTACCTTAAACATGTTCAAGAACTAAAAGAAAATATTTCAAATAATTAAATAAAATTGGGTGAGTAAGTGAGTCTTAATGAGTAAATAAGGAATCTCAGCAAGAAATGGAAACTATAAGAAAAGAACCAAATGGCTGTTCTAGAACAGAAAAATGTAATACTCTGAAATGAAAAATTCATCAATGTGCTTCACAGTAGATCGGAGATGTGAGAAGATGCAGTGAACTTGAAACAAATCAATAGAAAGTTTCCTATCTGAAGAACAGAGAAAAATTATTGAAGAAAAATAGCCAGAGCCTCAGGAACCTCTGAGAAAATAGAAAATGGTCAGTACATGAGTAATATGGGCCCCAGAGCAGAAGTGAGAATGGGACAGAAAATTATTTGAAACAGTAATTGCTGAAATTTCCCTGATTTGATTTTCTAAATGATTTACAGATCCAACAAACTTAGGAAACCTCAAGCAGGAAAAAAAAAATGCACACATCACAGTAGAATTGCTGAAAACCAAAGATATATAGAAAAGCATAAAACAATCAGATAAAAAAAGATTGTTACATACAGGGGGACAATGAAAATGACCACTGACTTCTCTTCAGCAGTAATGCAAGGCATGTACAAAGTGCTGACAGAAAAAAAGACTATTACCCAGAATTCCTCATTCACTGAACATGTCCTTTCAGATGGAATAGATATTTTCAGATAAAAGAACATGAGAGGATTCATTACCAGCAGCTTTGCATTACTGCACATGCTAATAGGTGTTCCTCAGTCTGAAAGGAAATGATGTTTTAGGGAAACTCGAGTCTACTGGAAGGAAAGATGAGAGCACCAGAAGTAATAAATAAGTTCATAAGTATCATTTATATACTAATAAATGTGTGTTAATTATATAAATGTGTATTATGTGTAATAAACTAAATAGTATATGTATACATCTTAGCACTTCCTTAAAAAGACAACTGATAGTTTATAGCACAATACTATTATAGTATAATACCTTTGTAAGGTTGGTGTTCTTATGTATAGAGAGGTACAAGATATGAGAACAGAAGCACCAAAGACGGGGTGGTGGGTGAACGAAATTATACTTCAGTGAGGTTCATAGCCTCAAAAGTGAGAAGTGCGAGGAGGCTGCAGAAAGGGTCAGTTGTAAAGTGGGAATCAATAAAATAAACAAATTTTGACAAGTTAAGAATTCACGTTGTCAGCTCTAGAGCAACCACTAAAAATCCATTATTCAAAAATACATCTAAGGAGCCAGTAGAGGAAATAAAACATATTCCAAAAGAGTACATATTGATCCAAAGAAAGGCAGTAAAGTAGCAACAGAGGAACAAAAAATAAATAAAAGGGACAAATGGAAACAAAATAGCAAGAGGGCAGACCTCAACCCAAACAGATAAATAATTATTTGAAGTGTCAGAGCGTGAACACTCCTATTTAAAGACAGAGAGTGTCAGCAGCAATGACGGGAAAAGGTTAAAGTATAAAGTATAAAGCCAGCTAAGTGCTATGACTCCTACTAACAATAAGATCAATAGCCCAAAGTATTAGAAAGGGCAAAAGACTTGAAAAGACTCTACTTTCCAGAACTAGGTGTGTGAATGACTAACGAGCACATGAGGAGAGCTCAAGATCATCAGTCATCTGGGAAAAGAACATACAAAGGTGAACAGCTTGTCACCTAGTCACTTGCAGAGCTGAGGGGACAACATGCTGTAGTTGGAAGTGTGAATTTTGAAGTCAGTCCAACCTGGGTTCCAATCCTGGTTCTGACACTTCTCTGCAAGATACTTCACTTTGCTAAGCCACAGTTTCTTCACCCTTAAAAATAAGCGGGAAGGGAATAATAATGATGCCTACAAATTATGTGAATTAAATAAACAAGTATTTCCAGGGCCTGGCACACAGTAATCATTCATTAAACATTAGATACTGCCATTATTATTATTACCATTAACTACTCTGGCCAACAGCGTGAATAGGAGCAAAGCCCACTACAACATGTGCCTCCTGAGTTCTTGCTTGTTCTCCAGGGCCAGCCAGCCGTCCCCAGTGGGGACACCATCACCTTCAGCCTAGACAGTGCTACTTGAGCCCCTTCAAGCAAACCCAGGCTATTTAATCAGATCTCACCTGGGAGGAGCCAGACAGAATCCTAGAGAAAGACTGGCAGGGATTCAGAGAGGCTGTGGGTGGCCGTGGCAGCCTGGTACCTGTGCTTCCTGCGCCCAGGCACTGCTAATGTAAGGATTTCCTGTCATCCAGAGAACCCTCAGCTCACCCCTCTGCTCTGCCCTCCTTCCTCCCCCTCTCCCTGTGTACTCAGGTGATCTTCCGAAACGAGGTGACCAATGAGTTCTTATACTACATGGTGAGTTTCAGGGTGACCCCTCCAGGCATCCTCAAAACCATCGAGATGGTGAGCCTGGTCCGGCAGAGCACGTCCGCCTCTGTCAAGGTGGAGAACCCCCTGCCCTATTCAGTGACCTTCTCCACGGAATGCAGGATGCCCGACATCAGCCTGCCCTCCCAGTTCGTGGTGCCAGCCAACTCCGAGGTACAGCCTATGCCAGGGGCCCCCTGATAGCTGAGAGAGGAGCCTCTGGACCCACGTCCTGATCCCTGAGTTTGGGCCCACCCTGGCGGTGGGAAGAGAGGCAGGGCTGATGGCTCAGTCACACTCCTGTTCTCTCCTTTCCTCTACTGCCCAGGTCCTCACAGAAACTACAGGCACTTTGGAGCTCTGGTTCAGACATGTAAAGGGAACTTTTTATTATGAACCCTTGCCTCTTTTTATGTGTTTGCCTTTTCAAATTTTCTTGTCTTTAGCTAATTATTAAAGTATTATAGAATGTATGTGATGAAAAGGTAAGCAAGAGGCACAACAGTGCATCAAGTGTACAACACACACACAGACTCACACACTCATACATATGCTTGTTTATGCATAGACTATTCAGGGAGGACTCACAAGAAACCTTAGACTTGTTGGGAGGATGTGACCTGGAGAAATGAATTTTCTTTTGATTCCTTTCATTAACTTACCATTCCAAACTCTCACTGTGCAGATTTCATCAAAATCTCTTCCGTTTCTCCAACTCCAGCCCCCTGCTTATTCCGTGCTTCCCACTCCAGCTCGCCTTCCCCTGCAGAATCTAGAATCCATTTGTTCTTCAGAAAGTCTCCACACCCTTTATTTTGTTTTTATATTTTTTATTGTGAATTGTCAAAGCTACACAGAAAAGTATGTAAAATATATATATATATATAACGTATTAACACACATTCACTCAAACAATTATGAAATAAATCTCTATATAACTAATACTCAGGCCATGAAATAAAAAGTTGCCACCATCCCAGAAATCTCTCTCCCACGACAATACCTCCCCCTCTTCACCCCTGAAAGTTATGACTATCCTTATTTTGTAATCATCATTTCTTGCTTTTAAGCAGTGTAAATATGCCTGTTCTTGAACTTTCTGCAAAAGAGATCATACCATATACATCCTTTAATGTTTCATTGCTTTTGCTCAGTCTTGTGCATTGTAACAATCATCCATGCTGTTGCACACAGCTGAGGTTCACTCATCTTTTCGCTGCTGTCACTCCATTATATGACAATACCACCATTTAGATGTCCAGGCTCTGGTGGCCAGGTGGCCAGCCATTTGTGGTGGTTTCAGTGTTTGCTGTGGTGAAACTGCTGCCATGGATCTTACTGCACAAGTGCCCTCTTGATGGCCTCGTGCATATATTCCTCCACAGTGGGCACCAGCGGAGCATCACTGGGTCACAGGGTGGGCACACCTTTAATTGCCAATCAGTAAGGAGAGTTCACCAACCCTCGGGATTGTCAGATTTTTTTAGGGTCTCCCAATCCGATAAACTCTTGATAAACTGGAGCTCCTTGTGATCTTAATTCTCCTTTTAATAAACACCGATTTCAGTTGGGCCATAATCTGTGTAGGAGCTTTGTGTCTGTGTTCGTGAGGGAGAATGGACCACCAGTTTCCTGTCTCATGCTCTGTCCAACTTCAGTGTCAGTTCTGCTAACCATATAAAAAGAGTCAAGGGTTTTCTTGTGTTCTCAGTTCTGTGAAAGTTCATGAAAGATTGAAATTATGTCTTCCTGGAACTCACAGATGAAGTCACTGGGACCTGGTGTTTTCTTTGTGGGAAGATGGTCTACGACTCACTGTATTCCTTTAATGGGCTTAGATTTTCTGTTTCTTCTTGAATCAGGAATGAGAGCATGTCTATTTCATCCACATATTCAGAATATTGGTATAATGCTGCTGATACCCTCTTATTACCTTTTTTATATGATGTCTCTTTTTCATTTCTAATGGTTACTGTGCCTTCTGTTTCTTGATCAGTCTTGCTAGAGGTTTCTCAGCATTGTATCTTATTATCCAAAAAGCATGTTTGGCTTTGTTGGTACTCGCTATTGTGTGGTTTTCTAGTTTCTTAATTTCTACTCTTTTTAGTATTTCTTTCTTTCTGCTTCCTTTGGGTTATTTACTGGTACTTTGTCTTATTTCTAAGCTGATACTCTCTTTTTACTCTATTTTTCAATAAGAAGACCTTGTTCTTTTTTTAAAGAAACAATACCTACTCGTGATAAAAACAAAATTTTAGCTGTACATAAGTATATGAAATAGAAAGTGAAAGTCCCCACAGTCCCATTTCCTCATCCCTAAGATAACTACTGGTAACAATTAAATATTTATCTTTGCTATCTCTTTTCTATACATACATTGACCTATCCTTGTATGTCATGTATCCTTGCATGTCACAAAAATGAGCTCATGCTTTATATATATTTCTGGAACCTCCTTTCTTTCACTTACAAAGTCATCAATACCTTTCAGATCAGTGCTAATAGCTCTGCCTCCTCCTTTTTAATGGCTGCATAATATTCCATAGATGTGGCTAAACTATCAATGATTTCATCAGTCTCTCAGTGCTGATGCATTTGAATTGTTTCCCTTCTTTTGCTATTATGACCAATACTCTTTGGTCATTGTTTTGTTTTGCTATGGTTGACAATGAAAGAAGAAAACCTCCCCTAAATGAAAGCAGAACCCAGGAAGCAGTTGTGAGATTGGCTGCTGCCCTTCAGCCTCCTGCTCCCAGCACCCACCCCCTGTCTATTAGCATGCTTCTTAAGAGAGGATCCAATACCTATTTTTAGATTTGAAGAGATTCCAGATATAGAAATACCTGGAAAGCTAGAAGGGATGCAGGGGAGGGAACATGGACTGGTTTGGACAGAGGTGCCACAGGCTCAAGATTGGTGTGAGCGTTTGCTTGTGAATCACCCTTTCTGCCACCAAGCTGCTCTGAGGTCACAGGACAACAGAGGGTTGGTGAGACTTCCAGCATCACCAAAGCCTCTGTCTTCTCTTGCAGGGCATTTTCTCCTTTGAATTCCAGCCTTTTAGAGCCGGAGAAACCTTTGGGAGACTAACAATGCACAACAATGATTTGGGTTACTACTTATATGAGCTCAAGTTGAAGGCCTTGCCAGCCCTGCCTGAAAAGCCCATCCACTTCCAGACTGTTCTGGGCAGCGGCCAGACCATCTTTGCCAAGTTCACCAATTATACACGGCAGAGGACAGAATACTACTGCAGGGTGAGCAGCCCCTGCCCCACCCTCTGCCCTTCCCTAGCCAGAAGTCTGAGCTCAAATATAATAGGAGGAGGACACAGTGGGTGCAAAAATGTGAGGTTCAGAGAGGTGCTTCATCTAGCCTGGGAACTCTCAGCCGGAAACACACCGTGCCAGGTCTGGGTTCTTCCTTACAGACTTCCTGTCTTAGCAAGCTGGGGCAGGAGTGGGGCAAGTTTTGCCTCCCAAAGCAGGCCCAGTACTCAACAGAGGGAGACAGTAGAGCTTAATGGTCATGAAGATAGCAGAATCCAGCAGACCTGGATTTGAATCCTGGTTTCTCCATTTACTCTTTGTATGAATAATTTACTAAAACTCTCTAAGCTTATCTATAAACAGCAATAATACCTCAACCTCCCAGGATTTCTGTGAGGATTTTAAGATATGTATGTAAAGCCATTTTCATAGAGCCTTGCTCATAGGAAATGCTCATATGTGTGATCTATTGTATCAGTTGGAATATAGGTTTAACTACAGAAACAGAAACCCAAAATAACAAAATAGAAATTTATTCCTCCCTCAGATAACAGTGTGGGCACAAGCAGTTTGAGCTGGAATGGTAATCGGGCACCCAGACTCCTTCTATGCTGATGCTCATCCCCCTGTAGAGAGTTACTTTGATCCACAAGGACCAAGATGGCTTCCAGGGACACAGCTGCAAGGGGAGACGTGTAGCCCCCACACTAGATGGCCATGTGCCCAGCTAACACCAGGACTCCCATGGCTACAGTCAAAGGGCATAGGCTCTTGACCAGTCACGTCAGTCAGGAGAAGCTAGGTTATGTTGTAGTAACACCCTGGATATCTTGGTGGCTTAAAACAACAAAGGCATGTCTCTCATCTGTGCTGTCTATCCGGTGAGGGTCAGCAGGGAGCTCTGCTCATCACAGCCACTTGGGGATTCAGGCTGAAGGGCAACCACCATCCCAAACGTTTCCAGTCAAAGTACCAGAGGGGCGAAAAGACCCCAAGGGACTTGCATGGGCAACTGCTGTGGAAATGACACCTTCTGCTCATGATTAATTGTTCAGAACTAGTCCCACCCATCCATGAGGAACCAGAATGTCCAGTCTTCCATGTGCATGGCAGGAAGGAAGAGCTGGACCCGGGGACTCCATTGTCTGCCGTGCCCACATAATCCAGCTGTGTGTGTGGGCAAGTTATTTAATACCTCTTGGCCTCAGTTTCTTTGTAGTAAAATAGGGGTAATAATTAGTAATAGCTACTCTTCAAGGGGGTTATAAGGGCAGGGCCCTTTTATAACCTGCCCGACCTCACACAAATGTGGGTAGCCTAACACCCGAGAGCACGGGGGCGGGGGCGGACCCGGGCTGCGGTATGCTCTTCAGGGCTTCGTGTGAGCTGAGCGCGTTTGTTCCCTTTCAGACCGACTGTCCAGACTTCCACACGGAAAAGGCCATTAATGCAGCCCCAGGGGCTCAGGGAGGCACCGAAGTCAGTGTGGAGGTCTACTTTGAGCCCAGCCACCTGGGTGAGACCAAGGGCATCCTGATCCTGTCTTCGCTTTCAGGGGGGGAGTACCTCATCCCCCTCTTCGGAATGGCTCTGCCCCCCAAGCCCCAAGGGCCCCTCCTGATCCGAGCTGGGCACAGCATAATTATCCCCTTCAAGAATGTTTTCTCCCATACGGCCACCTTCTCCTTCACGGTGGAGAACCCCGCCTTCTCCGTGCGCGCTGTAGACTCGGTGCGGCCCAAGAAGATCAACAACATTACAGTCCACTTTGAAGGAAACCCGTCGGGCAGCAAAACGCCCATCACCAGCAAGCTGATTGTGGCCTGCCCTCCCGGCCAAGGCAGCGAAACAGCAATTAAATGGGTTTACTATCTGAAGGGGATCACCCCGTAGTGGGAACCGGGTCAGCTGCATCAGCAAAAAGCCATCTCCTCCGCCTTAATACCTGTGTATTGCTCTAGCCTGGCAAAGAATCGAGAAAACAATCAGAATTCTAATGGTATTGTTTTATCTTCCTCACTCAATTACAGACACTGATTTCCATATTATATGTATTCCAAAGATTATATGAAACATATATATATATATCCCATGTTAAACATGGTAACTACAAATAATACAGCTATATTTTACTTCACAGGGACAAGTCTCTGAATTTAGTTTCTTAACATAACCCCAGAGCTCAAATACTAAGTAAACATCCCCTTTCTGCCGCACAGCACCAAGCAGTGCATGACGCCAGGGCGCCACAGTTCCTTTTCGGAACCTGTAATGGCTGAAAGAGCCCTTAGACATGACTACCTTGATGGGGTATTTCATTCTGCTTTCATATAAAAGCCAAATAAGTCACTATTTTCAAAGTGATGAGCATTAATGACATTAGGGCAGTCATTGCAGCAACAGGGACCACGATGCTTCCTCCATCTCTGAATCCCACTACTGTTCCCCACAGAAGGTGCTCGCGGAAGGCCAGGTCCTGGAGAAAAGCTACCTGAGACCCCGGGTCCTCACCCCCACCCCCAGCCCTGTGCACTGCCATCAGCCTGTAGATCAGATCCCCTGCCTCAGCTCCTGCCCCCTTCTGAGCCCCTACAGCCTACCTGCCCTGCAGGGAGGAGGAGGTGTGAAAGAAATGGCCATTTGGAAATGAATGCTCCAAAAAAGTGGTTCTCAAAAACAGTCCTTGGACCGGCTGCAACGACAGCACCTGGGAATTTATTCGAAATGCATATTTTCTTGGGCAGAACCTCCAGAGGTGTGGCCCAGCAGTCTGCATGTTTTAACAAACCCTTAGAGCTATTAGAGGTGTTTTTTAATGGAGAGAATCTTCTACTTCTTTTTTACCTCCCCACAACCCTCAGCTCAGTACACTCTACACACAGCTAGTACCAGACGAAATTTTTCCTAAAATACTTGCAGACCTACATTTAAGACAGTTTGGTTTTGTAACCCTTAAAGGTGCTGCTAATGGGCATAAAGGCAAAGAACTAGATGACAGGTTGCTCCAGTGGTTAAATGAGCAAAGAACGCACTATGCAGTCTGAAAGGATGCAGAAATGAACAAGCACGTGCTGACTAGCAAATACAGAGTCTGCAATAAACCTGTGGTTCTCAAATTTTCATATCTATCAGAATCACCCAGGTGGCTTGCTAACCCACAGACTGCCGGGCCCCATCCTCAGAGAGTCTGATTTAGTAGCTTTGTGTGGGCTCGAGAATTTGCATGGCTGCCAAGTTCCCGGCGGCGAGGCCTTGCTGGTGATCTGAGGACCGCACTGGGCTCAGAACGGTTTTGAAGCTGCAGCCTCCTCGCAGAAGCAGCGGCCGCTGCTGGGAACTGTTAGGAATGCAGGATCTCAGGCCCCGCCCCAGACCTGCTGAATAATAATCTGCATATTAATCACATCGCCGCGGGATGACGGGCAAATTGCCACGAGTCGCTGCTTACAGGCTACTGGCAGAACGGGCACTTTAGTTCAAGCCCTGGTCCCAAAGCTCTTCATTAGACGGTAGAGAGGAGTCGCACCAACTCGGCGTGGTTACTTGGTGGAATCGGCTCTCCTCCCGCCCACTCACCAGAGGCGCAACCGCGCGCAGGGAAACAATTGCCCACCACCACCTTCTTCTAAAGGAGGCACCCCTTTTCAGGAGTTTTAAGCCTTGTGTTATAAGTGATTGAGAAGAGTAAAGAAAGACAGAGGAAGCTGTGTGAAAGTTGACCGAAACACCAGCTGTCAAAGCATGGTGAGACTCAGAGATTCCTCTGTCACGAAGGTCAGCACTTTGATATGTTCCCTTGAGTCTAGAGGGCCCCCAGCCACCACCTCAGACACAGGCTCCTACAAACTAGTCACTCCCAGTTAACACCACCGGCAAAATGGTGCCTTCAGGTGGCCAAGGGCAATTCCCCCTTCCTCAGCCCTGCTCCAGCCCCCAAGCTACTGAGGCCATAGCCCAAAGCCTCACAAGCCCAGAGAGCAGGCAGACCCTTCTCCCTAGGACCAGGGGCCAGACCTGCCCCAGGACGAACTGCCTCCAGGATAAATTGAGATGGGGTACAGATCTTCCCTTGACGGGGTTCTCATGCTTCCTTGCCCTCAGACAACAATAAAATCCTTTCATACTGGCAAATTTGAAATGGCAAAGCAGTTCAACGGCTGGGAGAGAGGCTTGGTGAAAATGAGCATGCTGACACAAGCTAGTGGAAGTTAGCTTTGAAAGAACACATTCCCAGCAGAGCAGACCAGGAAACATCTCACTGGGGGCAGGGTGGGGGTGTTCAGTAAACTTCAGGGCCACCAGAGGCCACAACTCCACGGAGCATTGTGCACAGAAATTATGTGAATGGGGCCCTCTGACATCCGACGCAGAGGCCCTGGTGAGTATGGCATCTTAAGTCTAACCATTTCTTTGGGGGGGAGACATGCCTCAGGTCAGATGATACTGTGACATCATGAGGACCTGCCAAATCTCAAAAAATTCCAAGTGTGGAATTTCCCAAGCCTCTTATACCTTCAATATGTTGCCCTGAAACTTCAACAAAACTACATTGTTGTTAGAGAAACTGCTTTGCCCAGTTTGAGATTTAGAAACAGTTTTTGACAGTATCACCAGCATCCTCTTGCTACAATGTCCATAAGTTATGTATCAGCCATCACAGAAATGCAGATTAGTTACAACTGTGAAACTGGCCAGTTCGCAACCAGAAGAATCAATTTTCTACTAGTCTAGAAGAGTCTGAGCATGGCAGGCCTGGCCAGGACTGGCCATTAGAAGTCAGAGAAGAAGTGAGGACAGTAGAGAAGGTAATGGTGGCCCTTGGACTTTATTCTCAGCACCCCTGCCAGTCCAAGGGTACATAAATAACCTCAACTAATTGGCATTTTCTAAGATATCAGATAAAAGAAACCACTTCTTTACAGGAACTTCTGAACTAAAGGTAGGACAAAGCATTGGTTTGGACATTGACTAAGAAACTGGTTTCTTGCAACTTCGTCCAGAATGTGATAGTCCTTTGCTGTTTCAATGATTAAAAACTGATTCACATTATAACCCTTGGGAAATTCAGTTCACCTTTTAAGAAAAAGCCAAACAGCTAAAGGAAACAGATGAAATATTATATTAGATATGAGTCCAGATATGTTCAACATCAAATATCATCAAAGTCCTAAAAACATAACATTGCAAGACATTTAGAAATGTCCGTATCAGTGCTACTTTATATCAATAAGAGTAGGAAACTGTTAAGCAATACATTTTCTCTGAAGACGAATCTATATTTGGGGCAGTTTTCAGATCGTTGGTGCATTCACTTTCATTCATCAGATAGTGTTGGCAAAGGTTTTTAAAGCTGTGAAAAACCCACCAGTAAAGGTGTGGGTAAAATTGTAATATTTCCAGAATATCTCACCTGGCTAGTGTATTTGCATATTAACAGGCATTACTCGGGGGTAGAGAGCTGTTTATCTCCATATAAATGGGTAATTACCTGGGCAACCAAGGGCTTATCTGTACGTGAGAGGTCAGGGAGAGGCCCTTGCTTGCCTCTGCCTGAGCAGGAGAGACACGGCCCTGGACTGCAGTTTGTAAGCAATAAACGGGCTTTAAACTTTATTTCTCCCTTTGACTGATTTCAGTTTTAGAGGTATTTTGCCCCAGGATTTCCTCTCCCGGATTTACAAAAGAAAAACACATTTCTTGCAGATTTTTCCTAGACATAATTCCTACATGACTTACTGAGTTTGGGGATAGTTTCTATATTTGTTTTCTATGGCTGCATGACTAATTACCACAAATTTAACAGCTTAAAATAACACAAATTTCTTATCTCATGGGTCTCCATGGGTTTCCGTGGGTCAGGAGTCCAGGATGGATTGAACTGGATTCTTGGCTCAGGGTCCCACAGGCTGAAATCAAGATGCCAGCCAGCTGCACCCACATCTGGAGGTTCAGCTAGGGGAAGATGCGTCTCCATCTCCCTCATGTGCTGACAAAATTCATTTCCCTGCATCCATAGGACTGAAATCCCCATTTTCTTGGCAACTGACAACAGGGACAACTCTCAGCCCTAAAGACCACCACAAGATCTTTACCAGGTGGTCCATATAGAGAGTTCACTGTTCAAGTCCAGAAGCCCTCTCCATCTTCAAATTTCTTCTAACTTCTTTTAAAACCTCATCTGATTAGGTCAGACCCACTCAGGATAATCTTGCTTTTTATTAACTTAGAGTCAACTGATTAGGGATCTTAATTCTATCTTCAAAATCCCATCTGCTATATAACATAATATAATAATTGTTAGAATGACAGTTGATTATATTACATGTCTTGTTCACACTCACAGGGAGGGGAGGGGAAATATACAAGGTATGTACCGATGGCAATCCTGAGGGCCATCTTGGACTATTGTCTATCATAGCCCCTTACTGGTTCTGTCCCACAGATTCTGATCTTTGGATTGAGGATAATGCTCCATTTTCAAGATTGTTAACAACTTTACATGCATACTTTTCACTCAGTGAAAAGTACCATCAAGTGCTAATGCTCATTGGGCTCCACGGTGGTCTAGGCCCTGTCCTAAGTCCCTGTCCACTATGGAAGCTTACCATAAGGAACTCTGATGCATTTCCCTATTACTTATCTCTAATCACACTATATCTATCAAGTGCTTTTTAAAATTTGACCCCATGGCTTCAATTTCTGTTCCACCTTTTAGTGTGAGACTCAATGCACTTGAAGAGTGTGCATTACAGTGGAACCATCTGGAGACCTGCACTCGTTAGATTTGGGGCATCTGCTGTCTGTACCCCAGCAGGGCAAGGCGCCAGGGCATGGTAAACACATCCCAGGTCCCAGATGGTGGGTTGACAGCCACTGTTGGTACCTAAGATTTTAGGTGGTAGACAGGTAGTACTGCTCCTAATTGAGAATTTGTATGTTTTAGAAAAATATATAACTGTTCACACCTATGATTTTAGGACATAAGCAAGGCTAAATAGGAATTTAAGATTATTTTAAGTGAGTTGATTTGAGAAAAGTATTTTTTTAATAATAGTACTAGTGGCTAGGATATGGCAAAAATCATATTGGTGTTACTCCAATGGGAAACACTAGCATGTGAGAAATTGGTGACTAAGTAGTAAATGAACTAGAGGATTCGGTTAGTATTGAATAAATTATGCTAAGTGAGTCAGCCTCCAAAGACCCCCTTCGTTCTCCTGAGCGGCTACAGAAGCCCACCAAGCGCCAAGCCTGAGGGCCTGCAATACTGGCCCAAACACCTCCCCAATAGGATTCCAGAGGTGCGCGGCTGAAGGCGGAGAGAGGAGGAGGAGCCTTGCGGGGGGCGTGACCAGTTCACCTGCGGCCCTGAGAGGGGCGAGGCTATCAGGGGCGGGGACTCGCGGCGGAAGGCGGACGCTGCTGTGGGGTCACGTGATCCGAGTAACATGGCCGCTACTTCCTGAGCGCCGGCGGTGCCGGTCTGAAGCAGCTCGCGTGAGCCTTTGTGCGGCCAGAAGCAGGTGTGCAGGGGCGGGGTCCAGCCCCGGGTTCCGAGGCTGCACGCGGCGGCCGAGCGAGGCTGGCGGGCCCCGGGCGGCGTGGTCCATGAGCCGGCGCCGGAGGCAGCGCGGAGCCGCAGACTCCCCTGGTCCCGGCGCGGCCCTGGCAGCCGCGGGCTGAGGAGCGGGGCTCTGGGGAGCGCCCCGACCTGCCACCATGAACCCCGAGAAGGACTTCGCGCCGCTTACACCCAACATCGTGCGCGCCCTGAATGACAAGCTCTACGAAAAGCGGAAGGTGGCAGCGCTGGAGATCGAGAAGTAAGAGCGGCCGGCACCCGGGGTTGGGAGTGGGGAGCGGAGCCGGGACCCCGCTCTGGCTTTGCTGGGTTCCCGCGCAGCGCGGGGCCTCCCCATGCCTTCCCAGCCAGTATTACTTCCCCAGGTTTCAGGCCCTTGTCGCAGTGCTTTAGAGCGGAGATTGGGAGTCACAGCGTTGCGTCTGACTGGCCGCGTGACTTCAGCCAAGTTCATTAACCTCTTGGGGCTGCCTTGAGTATGAAGTGACTTAATTGTTTGTGTAATTCTAGGGCTGCGTGAATCGACATAATGTATGTAGGGCTTAGCACAGTGCCTAGCACATGGTGCGTCCTCGTTGTGGTCTCCATGAAAACCAGTAAATCAGAGAGTGGCCTCTGATGGGAGAGAGGTAGGAACCGTGAGAATTCGGTAGTGATCTTGACCTGCCTCATCTCTTACCCAGCTTCTGAGAAGTGACTGTTAAGTGACCAAGTGGAGAAATTTACTCGTAACCTCAAAATCTCAAGGCTTAGAGGACTATTTGTTTTATCTCTGTCATATCCCCCTTCCCTGGAAGTGAAAGTAGGAATAATCTGACCTTTCTTGGCTTCTGCGGTCTTATTACATGTATATGTAACCATGGCCTAATATTTTGCTTTATTTCCCAGTGTACAAAATACAGTGTTTCACTGGAATATTTTACTGAGATTTTTCTCCCATTATTTTACATTTATATTTTTTACAGTTAAATCTTTATGATCAAGTCAGGTGGGTGGGTGATTTCAGAAGATGCAAAGAAGTAAGCTGTGAAACTAGAGAAAAGCCAGTCTGAGAGGCGATACGGATCGTATTTCTGCCCTGTCCAGTAGGGTAGTCGCTGGCCATGTGTGGCTGTGTAGATTTAAATTGTTAAAGATGAAATAAAAATATTAAGTTCAGTTCCTCGGTCTCACTATCCCATATTGCAAGTGTTCAGCTATTGGCTGCCATGCTGGACAGTGGATTTTAGAACATGGCCTTGGGCAAATTCCTTACCTCAGGGTTTCTTAACATCAGCACTATTGACATTTTGGAACAGATCATTCTTGGTTGTGATGGGCTGTCCTGGGCATTATAGGGTTTTTAGCAGCATCCCTGGTCTCTGCCCACTAGCCCTCCATCAGTTGTAACAACCCAGAGTGTCTCCCAACATTTTCAGATGTCCTCTTGGGATGCAAATCACCCCGATTGAGAACTACTACCTTAACTGCTTGAGTTAAAACTCATCAACTAAAGGGTTTGGACCTTGCGAAGAGGTCCCTCCCATTCAATCTTATGTTCAGTATATCCAAAACCACCTAGCTGCGTCTCTCATCAAGCACAGCTTTCCTGACTGCTCTCTTTCCATACTGCTCCTTGCTGGTACCCATGCTCTCACTGATGCTAGGAAGTCTTAATGATGAGTAGTGCTGTACTGAATGGAGACCCCGAGCTGATGTATACATGTGGCCCCACGTCAATGAGTTTTACTGACTTTGAAGCTACGTGGACACGCAGTCTTGTCCATCACCCACTCCACTTCTCTGTCTGGTTTTATCATAGCATGAGTCATCTGTTGAGCCCTTAAATATAGAAATAATCATCTCAGCATTATTGTTGCCTCCAGCAGGACCTGTATAAGTCCTTTCACTATGCAAGCTGTTTTCTATGGGTTTTGTCTTCAATGAGATTCATTTTGCATTCAGCATGGCCCTGGGTTAGTGGAATTCAGAAAAAACCCTAAGGCCTTAACTGGTCTGTGAACTCCGTAAGAGCAGAGACCCTGTTTTATTTACCCTCAGCACTTGGCACAGTGCCTAGTGGCATTTGACAGTTGGTGTCTAAATGAATGAATTACCAAATATTTTTGGTGGGGAAATAACATTGCAGTCTAAGGACACTGCAACTCAAAGAGTACAGCCCACAGACCAGCAGCATCAGGATCCCACAGGGGTTTGTTACAAGAGATTCTCCAGCTTCACCCCAAACCTGTGAATTAGAATCTGCAATTCAGCCATATCTCTCGGTGGTGTGTGTGCACATTGAAGTTGGAGAAGCACTGGCCTCAGTGACCCTGCAGTCAATTTCCTTAATTACCCCCATATAGGCTGTTTCTCCAAATACAGTCATGGTGGGATTGAGGACTTCAACATATGAATTAGGGGGTCAGGGACACAATTCAGTTCATAACAGTGATCTTTTTTTAAATGATCACGTGTAAAGTGCTGTCCGCCCGATTTGTGGGGAGGAAGATAGAGACGCTTCCCCTTGTTTCCCTTGTCTCATTTATTTTGCACAGTTGCACTGTGAGCTAGGTAGTGTTACCCATTTCACAGATGAGGAAACAGAGGCTCCTGCAGGTTAGGTAATCTTCTCAAGGTTTCACGTTTAGAACCTGGATGAAAAACCCAGGTTCTTCTGTCTCAAGAGGCTTCTCCACTGCAGCAAATGGTTTTCCATACCAAAAACAGACTCTTTATTTAATGAAAGAAATTTCATACTTGAATACCTCCATGGTTGTTCTAAACTGCCACTTTCAGTTTTACAGAGTCCATCTGCTCAGGTGACAGGGCTGGTTCTGCCTGTGGTGTTTCAAGGAGGGATTAAAATTCCTAATAAGAGGAGGGTGTTTTGTCTTGATGACAGGCCTCTCAGACACTGAAAATACAGAAATAAGGGTGCTTGGCTCAACTGAGGGACCCCTGCACTCTCATATCTCAAGACCAGGCTGTAAGTAACCAGGATCTGATAGCTAAATGTGTGAGCCTGTTGTGCACAGTCCCCCGCAGCCTCACTCCTATGTGCCCACACAATTTTGTATAGGATAAGGCACTTCAGTTAAGATTTTTAAATATTATTTTCAAGTTTTTTTGGCTTTTAGTGTCAGGGGCTATAGTCATTGATCAGTCCTGACAAAAAGGCAGGTGAGCCCCCAGGCTCTGCTCTCCAGAAGAGTCTAGTGTGGGAGAGAAATGCCAGCAGGCGCTCTGATAAATACAGCGGATGCTCTCTCTGCTGCAGGAGCCCAGCCTCACTGCAGGCTGCGGAGACACGCCCTTCATGCTGACCTGGTGGGCTCAGGGTCAAGTCTCTAGTGCTCCAGAACTTTTGAGTTCTAAAAACCAGTAAACGTAGGTCCCCAGGCCATGCCCTCTGGGAGCATCAAAGCCAAGAGAGGGCTTGTGGGATTAGAGCTCCTGAATGATGCATCCTTTTGGTGGAGGGGAGTGGGTGGAGGAGGTGGGGGAGACAATGCTTTGTGATCAGGTAAAGGTTGAACTGTTGAGTTTGACCTGGCTCTTTGGAGCCCACCACCTCTGTGGGGAGCCACTGTTCATTACCCAGTGGCTAAAGACATTTTTGGCATATGGGTCAGAATTCCACCCTTCTCTGCTCTTTATCAGCAGTGGGACCCTCAGCAAATTGCTTCATCCAGGTGTCACAGACTGGCCACCTGTTTGGTTTGGCCTGGATCACAGGGCATCCTCAGTTGAGAAATTTCACAGTGAAGTTCAGGTTTCTCGCTTCTCTTAAGAAATTAGAAGATATGGCTCTGGGGGGGCCACATTCCCACATAGCAGGACAGGGTACTAGGGGCCTGACCTCCCACCTGGGACACGGGCCCCCCAGTTTGCTTCCTGTATGGGCAAGTCCATCCCAGCCCATCTCACCTCCCTTGGCCTTCTCACTTGTGTCTCCTGCCTAGCCTGCTCCCCTAAGCATCTGAGTTTGTGACATGTCTCCGTGCCTCAGTTTCACCATCTTTAAAAAAATGCACTTTGAAAACATTGAACTAAGTGAAGGAAGTTAGTGGAAAAGGCCCTGTATTGTATGATTTCATTTATATGAAATGTCTAGAGCTGGCAAATTTAGGAACAGAAAGCATTAGTGGTTGCCTGGGACTTAGGAAGGGGTTAGGGGAAATTGGGGAGCAGCTACTAATGGGCCAGGGTTTCTTTTTAGGGTGATAAAAATGGGCCTACATTGATTGTGGTGATGATTGCACAACTTGGTGAACATACTGAAAACCACTGACTTGTACATGTTAAAAGGGTAAATTTGTGATGTGTGAATTCGTTCCCAGTTTTTTCCAATAATGTCTGTAGTGTTCAGTTACAGTGTGAGGGAAGCACTCATTAAGTGGTCACAACGTTGTCACCTGAGATCCCAACCTGCCTCTGACTCCCTGACTCATTTCTCCTTTATAGTTTTCCCACTGATCTTATCCAGTGGACACAAGGCATATGTTGTCAGCTAATTCTGAGGCCTTTGCCAAAGGTATTGGCCTTGCTCAGAGGCAGAAATCCTGCTTTTCCCATTCAATTATTGGACACTAGTGAGCAAGTAGAGCTTAAATACTCAGCAAAACAGATGGAGGCGATGTTTACCCAGATCCTCTTTGGGAATTGCTGCCTGGATATGCTATCTGGATACAGCATGTGACACAGAGACCTGGGGCGGGTAATTGGACTCTCCAGGGAAAAAAAAGGCAGCAGCCCCAAGTCCATGCTGCAAGTCTTACAACACAGGATGCCACAGCTGGGCATGTATCTTACCCAGTGGCTTAATTTCTGGAACCAGGAGAATAGCAGGTGTTCAGTCAACATTTAGTGAATGAACGTGATCTCTTGGTGTATGTAAGATCCCAGTTTGTCTTTCTGGTGCTGACTGTACACCAATACTGTTATATGAACATGTGCAATGCAGAGCATGTTACATGCTTATTTAATTCTCTAAAAACATAAAGTCACCGAAATTACTAGCCCCACCCTACGGCCAAGGATGTCTCCTCTGAAGACATAGGAGCATGAGTGCAGGGGCTAAAGCCTCTGCCACCTTCCAGCTGGGGCATTGGGACATTAACCAGCTGAGATGGGATTGGGAGTAAGAGCAATGGTAAATGTAAAGTGCATCCTACAGGTGGTAGCTATATTTGAGGAGGGGCTTAGGTAACATAGTGGATAAGATTTTAGATCTTGAACTCAGAAAAGCCTAGGTTCAGT